GAATGCCGACATATTTAATTCTCCATCTCTTTCTTTGTTTAAGAAGCATGTAGTAGCGTGGCTTGTAGGATTGAGCTCAGAGGACACCGAGGCTGTTATCGCGTTGGGCTGACCTGACCGTTGACCCTACACTACAACACACAATCACTGATACAATGACTAACTAATACACTACCCACCACTCACCTCCATTCGACCTATTCACTTGATCACTTAATTATTAAGAGAAATCATGATTCTTTTTAGTTCAGGAAAATATCGTAGTCCAGTTCCAAGCAAGATAAAAATTTTACCCAGCAAGACGTGCTATAACAATTACACTCGCTTACATTTCCCACTATACAATTTACCCGCAACTCATGTCTACGCACAGGCCCCTGCCTATGTAGACATTTTGATAAGGTATTTTTATTTTTTCTCTTTGTGCCATTTAGTTATACAGTATTATACTTTTGTAATTATTATATTTTTTAACGTTAAGGATTGTATAATTATTATGTAAATACCACAAAATGTATTATGCCAGTTGGGAAATAAAATGTTATTTCATTTCATTTCATTTCATTCATTTCATTTCATTGGAGCATTGTAAGCTAGCCAGCTGAGCAGAGTGATTTTAACCACACAGCAAAATTATCGACCTTGAAAATGGTCGTGTATACTTTAGAGTTAAGGAAGATGTCATAATATGCTGAAGTTGCCGTTGTGACTTTATAATACACGAAGCATGAAATGTTGGGATGAAATAAAACAACACAATACCATGATTTATTTGGTTGATATTAGAGATTATTTCTAGGTTTGTTTACTATTCGAATGTTCGAATATACTCATTCAGATCGAGTCGGGCTCGAATACTAAAGTATTCGTTCAACTATTCGAACTTTCGAATATTTGCACACCCCTAGATTAAAGTGGATACGAACTAGACTTAGAAATATTTAAACCTGACAACATGTGCTGAAAAACAGGAAAGAACAAACCACGACACGAAAAATTCAACAGTTTGTACAATCCACTATGTAACTAATTATTTAATATCACAATTAATAAACAACATGGACCTCCAACACTTAACACTTCATGGATTACAAGGAACACGGGTAAGGGTGAGCTTTTTTAAAACGTGAAAAAATTGAATTTTGGCGCAACGACAACGTGAAATTTCAAATGTGGTCTGTGTTAGTTGGTAACAGATGAAAACAATTTTTACCAAAGTTCATTTAATTTCGAACACGCTGAAATTATACCCCTGCGGGATATATGCTTAACGGTTTTCAAAATTAAATTTTGGCCAACTAACACCGCGAACTTTGAATGATTTGCACGATTCGGTTAAAAACTCACCCTACGGAAAGGAAGCTGGACACACATTGAGACACAACGACACAATCTGGATTCTATGCCCTCTCCCCGCCGTAGGGGGTTGTGGGTACGTCTCGTCAGCTGATCCTAGTTTCGCTCACGTTTCGAATTTTAGTGATGGGCGGATCCAAGAAAATGTCGGTACCGGATCCGGATCCGGATCTTGAAAAATTCGGATCCGGATCTTCGGATCTTCGGATCCGGATCCAGATACACACTGTCATAAGGGCGGGTTAAAAAAAAACGTAATTAACAGAATGCCAATTTAAATCATACTTTTATTATTTTTTATGTTGTACAGTGATACAGACAGCTTTGTGTTAGTAAAAAAATCGGTGTTGTACATTGATACAGACAGCTTTTTGTCTTAGTAAAAAATCGGTGTTGTACAGTGATACAGACAGCTTTTTGTCTAAGTAAAAAATCGGTGTTGTACAGTGATACAGACAGCTTTGTGTTGGTAAAAAATTGGGGTTGTAAAGTGATGCAGACAGCTTTTTGTGTTAGTAAAAAATCGGGTATGTACAGTGATACAGACAGCTTTGTGTTAGTAAAAAAATCGGTGTTGTACAGTGATACAGACAGCTTTGTGTTTAGTAAACAAATCGGGGTTGTACAGTGATACAGACAGCTTTGTGTTAGTAAAAAAAATCGGAGTTGTACATTGATACAGACAGCTTTGTGTTTAGTAATCAAATCGGTGTTGTACAGTGATACAGACAGCTTTGTGTTGGTAAAAACTCGGGGTTCAACAGTGATACAGACAGCTTTTTGTCTTAGTAAAAAATCGGGGTTGTACAGTGAAACAGACAGCTTTGTGTTAGTTAAAAAATCGGTGTTGTACAGTGATACAGACAGCTTTGTGTTGGTAAAAAATCGGGATTGTACAGTGATACAGACAGCTTTTTGTGTTAGTAAAAAATCGGGGTTGTACAGTGATACAGACAGCTTTGTGTTTAGTAAACAAATCGGGGTTGTACAGTGATACAGACAGCTTTCTGTTAGTAAAAAAATCGGTGTTGTACAGTGATACAGACAGCTTTGTGTTGGTAAAAAATCGGGATTGTACAGTGATACAGACAGCTTTTTGTGTTAGTAAAAAATCGGCGTTGTACAGTGATACAGACAGCTTTGTGTTTAGTAAACAAATCGGGGTTGTACAGTGATACAGACAGCTTTCTGTTAGTAAAAAAATCGGTGTTGTACATTGATACAGACAGCTTTGTGTTTAGTAATCAAATCGGTGTTGTAGAGTGATACAGACAGCTTTGTGTTAGTAAACAAATCGGGGTTGTACAGTGATACAGACAGCTTTGTGTTAGTTAAAAAATCGGTGTTGTACAGTGATACAGACAGGTTAGTGTTAGTTAAACAAATCGGTGTTGTACAGTGATACAGACAGCTTTGTGTTAGTAAAAAATCGGTGTTGTACAGTGATACAGACAGCTTTGTGTTTAGTAATCAAATCGGTGTTGTAGAGTGATACAGACAGCTTTGTGTTAGTAAACAAATCGGGGTTGTACAGTGATACAGACAGCTTTGTGTTAGTTAAAAAATCGGTGTTGTACAGTGATACAGACAGGTTAGTGTTAGTTAAACAAATCGGTGTTGTACAGCGATACAGACAGCTTTGTGTTGGTAAAAATCGGGGTTGTACAGTGATACAAACAGCTTTTTGTGTTAGTAAAAAATCGGTGTTGTACAGTGATACAGACAGCTTTTTGTGTTAGTAAAAAATCGGTGCTGTACAGTGATACAGACAGCTTTGTGTTAGTTAAAAAATCGGTGTTGTAGAGTGATACAGACAGCTTTGTGTTGGTAAAAAATCGGTGTTGTACAGTGATACAGACAGCTTTTTGTGTTAGTAAAAAATCGGTGATGTACAGTGATACTGACAGCTTTTTGTGTTAGTAAAAAATCGGTGTTGTACAGTGATACAGACAGCTTTGTGTTAGTAAAAAAAATCGGTGTTTTAGAGTGATACAGACAGCTTTGTGTTAGTAAACAAATCGGGGTTGTACAGTGATACAGACAGCTTTTTGTGTTAGTAAAAAATCGGTGTTGTACAGTGATACAGACACCTTTTTGTGTTAGTAAAAAATCGGTGCTGTACAGTGATACAGACAGCGTTGTGTTAGTAAAAAAATCGGTGTTTTAGAGTGATACAGACAGCTTTGTGTTAGTAAAAAAATCGGGGTTTTACAGTGATACAGACAGCTTTGTGTTAGGAAAAAATCGGGAAAAAATTTGAAAAAATCGGATCCAACAAAACCGGATCCAGCCCAAGATCCGGAATTTTTTGGATCCGATCCGGTGCCGGTTCTAGCTCGGATCCGGCGGATCCGGTAGTCCGATATCCGGATCCGACCATCACTAGAATTTGATGCTTATTTTACATCAAATTCGGTACAATGTCTACATGACCACAGGAAATTATTAGAATGTTGCCGTGATTGCAGGAGACAACGATGATGCTGTTTCTGTTTTATATATAATACAATAATATTCAGGATTTTGCTGTTATTGTGGGAGACAATAACAATATCTAGAAACCAAGGAGATGATAATGATGTATACTCAACCGCGGTGGATGATCGGAATTTTGCCCGGATTGGGGAAGACAGTGATAATGTCCACTTATCATTATCTTATCTTATCTCACTGGGGCAGGCTGAGACCATGAAGCACTTCATCCGAAAAGTTTAATTATTGCACACCCCAGAAAGTTGTTTTATTGATAGACTCTCAGACAGGCATCCGATGAAAGCGTGTAGTCTTCCTATTAATTCCTTCTCGGGAAGGTATCTACCTCTTACCAAATTACCAAGAGTAATCCTTCTAGCTTTTCACAATCAAAGAGCAGATGATCGGCTGTCTCCCTGACATACCGCAATGCCTACAGATCGGTTCGCCATCAAACAAGCCCATCTGTTGTAAATATTTCCTGAATCGCCCATGGCCAGCTATCAGTTCTACTGTTAGTTTTATTCTTCACCTGTCTAGCTTCAAAAACTCAGAGGCAACCCGTTTAGAAGGCATGTGCAGAGTAATCTTGCTAACCCTAAGGAGCTGCGTTTCCACTCAACGTTTTCAATGCGTTTCATTGGTCCATGAGTCAATAGAGGTGCTCTCACTTTATTGTGATATACCACAGAAAGGTTGTAGACCAAATATTGTTGCCGCTGAGGCAGCATTTGCCTCAGCTGATAAGAATTTTGTTGCAACTGAGGAAAAACTATAATGATGTATTCTGGACCGCGGGAGACAATAATGATGTTTGCAAAACCATATTAGCTGATCAGAATTTAGCCGCGATTGCAAAAGACGGTGATAATGTCTACATGACCCAAGTAGATATTTAATATTTTACTGTGATCGCAGATGATGTTTTGTAACATTTCCCTGACAGCTGAGCGATAAAAAAATTATGCATGGAGATTTTTGTCAGTTATTATTTTTCGGATGCTATTTTTTTTGTAGTAAGGGGCCATGCTCTGAATGTTTGCACTGTGTCCCGCACCACCTAAGGACGGCTCTGATTTAGACTATAATTTATAAATTTGCATGAAATATTTAGTTACAAGATAAAGACAATTTCATGGTAGATTAAGAGTCTGAAACAATTTGCTAAACAGGTGAAATGGCGGAAGGTAGCTGTACGTTTGATGTGAAGAGTTTTGCACCACCAGACACCTTGTCAGGATCCAAGGTGATCTACAAGACAGAGGCTGGGGCAGTGGTGCGTCAACGTGGAGTAGCAGCAGACATGCTGTCAGTGGCTGTTAGCTCTAGAGTGGACGACCGCAGAATCAAGGTGCTAGACTGTTATGTGACCAAGTCCTTAGTTGTGTCCACTTATTCAAATGACATCATTTTCAACTTCTGCTTTTCCCCTCCTATTAAAAAAATATTATAAATAGATCCCAGCGCTTCTTAATGCACTAGATTATAACTAGTGCAAAGCCAAAACCGCGTACTTTAGTGCATAGTCTCACATAATATTGGTGTAGCATTTATTTTGGTGATGTTTTTGGAACTGACCTGGGCCCAGACCAGATGCACCAGTATTGTTTATCAAATAATGATATATGTACAATTATATATAATCATAATGATTTCAAACATAATTTTTAATTTTTACTTTGCCAGCAAATGTTTACTCTCTTTAGTGATGCACTAAAGTCAATGAACTAATTTGTTTCAAACATTTGACTAAAAAGTTTATAACAGAAATGTTCTCATATACTAGTCGTGGCTCATGTCTCAATTGGTAAATATTTAAAAACATTTAAGCTAGCATATGTCTCTGGGCATGCTCTTTAAAAACCGCTGCATGCATTATGTGCTTGGTAGGTAGAGTGTACATTTATTGAATATTCTTATCATTACACGATACAGTAAATAAAATAACTGCTGTTGACAGTTGATGCGGGTAGCTTGTGGCATCAGAGGTGGTACATTGCGTCACAAAGTGACTCACTCTCACCACTCGTGGCTCATGCAGCTACTAGACATGTTTGATGTCATGGACTATCCTGTGGCTGGCTACCAACCCTCCCAGGTCATACTGGAGCTACATCAACACCTCTGGGACTGTGTGGTGGACTACAGGTAAAGTACATCACTACATCTACTGGTCAGTGCCATCGATGTTTAATAACTCACTGGATTGCGTGCTCAGGTCGAAGTACGGCTCTGAAAACGGGCCGTCGCTACCTCCCTCTGTCCGCCAGGAGTTGGTAAAAAGGCATGACTCACCCTAGTGCCGAGCGTCGCGCTTGCTCTCGCCGCGTATTGCTATGTTAGTTTTGTGGAAATATTCTGCATAAAATTGATTGTAACGAGCTTAAGGAGGTTTTACAAGCAGATATTATAAAAAATCTAAGTACTTACTCACACTCTACAAACTATGTGCAAAAGTAAATCCCATAAACAATTTTGTGATGTTATGAAAGAGTTAGATATATTTATACACGGCCAGAACAAAATCTATATCTATAAAAGAGGAACTATGTATGTATGTACCTTATGGACTCCGAAACCACTCGACAGATTGTAATGAAACTTTCAGGCATTAAGCATTATTCAAGGATGGTTTGTGTGAAGTTTGGTGCATATCCGTCAAAAGGGCTCCACCCCAGAGGGTTTTAACCCTTACCACTCTCGTGTCGGCCGTGAGCCGACATTGGCCGTTTCGCAATCTTATCACGTGATGGCTTACAATTTTTTTTTTTAATTCTAAGAATTTTACAGACATATTTTTTAATTTTTATTATTAGTGTAATTGGAAGTTAAAATTAGTGATGGGCGGATCCAAGAAAATGTCGGTACCGGATCCGGATCCAGATACAAAGTTAAGGACGGGTTTAAAAAAAACTTAATTTTTACAGAAATACAATTTTAATCATACTATTTGAAATTTAATTGGTAATGTTTTAACATTGACGAGGTGTTAGCCCGTCCTACGTACGGGAATTCAGTAGTCAGTTTAAACCGTGTACAATTCAGATCAGCTAGTTCACACATATAAAGACAAAGTTTCTTGCAGTTTTAATGTAAAAAAAAACGTCTTGTAAACAAATGTTGTGTGGCCAAATATGTTTTTATTCCATCATAGGCCTATATGATATGCATTTTAAATCCGATAATTGTACAATAAATCAGCAATTCTGCAATTTTTACGATGTGAAAAGCGTTGAAGTGAGATTTGCAGCCGATTCGCACAAACGCACACTGATTATAAGTAGCCCACATTAGAGAGAGTAATAGTAAATTGAGAAGTGTATAGACCTAGTCAACGATACCACCTTCCATAGCATACCTGCCTCTTCCATAATTATTATCACCACAATACAACTACTATACACAATTTCCAGTAGGTCTGAATAGAAACGACCTAAAATAAAACGATAATATCCAATAAAATTCACAGTACACATAATTTAACTTTGGTGTCCTAACATCAAAACTAATCGTCACACCTATCCTTTATATCAATTTCACTGCATTAATTGCCAAATAAATAAGCGTAAACAAAGAAAAGTAAAAACAATAACAGTTTGTTTTGAAACAGCTGTTTTGTTCAAATAATATTCATTTGAAAAAAAGAACGCAGGAATATAAAAAGTAAACACGCTAGTAAAGCTAATGACGTAATTGTCAATGTTTATTATCCATACCGTTATCAGTTCTATCCTTGATAATTACCCACCCTCATTGAATAAATGTACATAGTAATTTCCCATATTAGTTAATTTAAACTACAATATAAAAGTGATATTTTCACGTTTGGGGGCGCTGATATAGGCGCCCCCAAACGTAACCACAACTGAACACGATTTCATAAAAGGATGGTTTGTCTAATTGCAGTATCCTAGGTCAATGTTGACGTTGTGTTCAATGTTTGTTATATATCGATGGTTCAATCTATGTCATCCATCTTTGTATAAAACCCGGCTGAGGTTGTGGTGGTAATTTAAAATCGTGATTCCTGATTATTCTTGATCTTCTTTTTATGACATCAATATTTCCGGGCCTAATCCAAACAAAGTTAAAGCAGACAAACATTGATTGTAAACAAAAAGCTACCATGAAGAATTAAAACATGTAAACATTGTTATTTTTCTAATCTTACCTCGAAAATTGGAGCAGTAAAATAATTTGCATTTATCCTTTTTAAGACTCGTGTACAGAGCCTCGATTTGTACTGTGGTTTAATTAATTTTGGTTAAAACTGTGGTATAATTATCTCTACTAATCTTACTTATTTCCTATAATCAATAACAAAATATGAGTAAATAAAATAACCTCATAGTTCCATAGTTTATATTTAACCAGCTGCTAGTCAAAACAAATTATATTGCTCTAAAACAAATCTAAGATTACAAAGATTGCTTTAAAAAATAATTTGAACATCCTAGTATTTTACTATGTATATTTAATTAATGTGTCATCCTCTTACAGAAGAATTGGACGTATCGATGATTAGCATTACACATAGTACAGTATAAATAAGTCAACCCTAAGTATGTCTTTACATTTTTATCCAAATGCTGAATTTGTGACACAAAAGCTGAATGTTTACAGCTGTTATGTTGAGCAAATTATTTTATGCCAAAAGCTAGTTTAGAATCTTAGCGTCGGCTGCTAGACTTTTTCAAAATTAAAACTTAATTTCTAAAAAACTGGGGCCCTAAACTAAAATTATGGCTTCGACATTCCCTAGTTCCCAAAATTATCTTTATTTCAACACAAAAATCATGAAAATCCGTCGAGTGGTTGATTCACAATCGTGAAATAAAAAAACACTGTTTTGTTTAATATTATAGATGTAATAAGATATAAGAATAATATAGCTCATATGGCTAGGCAATATCTCAGAATATGTCGACGTAAGGAAGTTTCAAAATCAGATATTAATAACTACCGTCCAGTATCAGTATTAAGTAATTTTTCTAAAATATTTGAAAATGTAATAAGCTAGTTAATAGTGTAGACTAGTTAATTATTTTGAAAGTAATAATTTATTTTATAATAAACAATTTGGTTTCCGAAAAAACTTAAGCACAGTTTCTGCTCTCACTCAGTTTGTTAATGAGATTGCAGAGGCCTTGGACAGGTCTCAGGCCACAGCAGGTGTTTTCTGTGACCTGTCTAAGGCTTTTGATTGTGTGGATCACTCACTCCTGTTGCTGAAACTTAATGATTATGGGATTGGGGGAAGTTGCTTTTCTTTAATACAATCTTACCTTTCTGAAAGAAAACAAAGAACTTTAATTTTAGAAGATAACAACAAACATTATTCACCATGGGAAATTATATCCACAGGTGTTCCCCAAGGCTCAGTATTGGGCACACTTTTTTTTATTTACATTAATGATCTTCCAAAAGCTATTAATAAAGAACTAATTCTTTTTGCCAATGACACTACTGCTTTGATCAAAAATAATAATACAACTGAAATGTTTTCTTCTCTGCAAAATGTGGTAAAGGATATGGAGCAATGGTTTTTAGAAAATGGGTTGAAACTTAATGTTGAAAAAACAAATATTATTAAATTTTCTAGGGTGTAGGCCCTTAAATGAGAGTAGTAAGGGTTAAGGGGTCCAATGTCAGATGTTTGGAACTACAATGTTTACAAATAAATATAATTTAAAAGCAGAAGTTTACTTTCACCAACTGTTTTGTAGGTTTTAATAATCACAAAATACTGTATTAGTCATGATTTGAAATAGTGCCACACTGTTTCCACAGAATGCAGCACTGAAAACTATTGTACTTTTGGATACGTCTAAATATATTAAGCCCCAATCGCAGCACACCTGTGCACTCAACGATATTTAAACTCTCCACTATTAAATATGTAAACATAAAAGTTACGCCTAAAAAGTTATATATTTATACACCGAATGAAAAAAAAAACATTGTTTATCCATTGACAATTTAGTAAAATAAATATTCTATTTTTGTTTTTGGTATACATTTTTATTATTTATCGTACATGACAAATTACTATTTAAAATAACAGTTGTTAAGCGCAGCAACGTGCGTCGGGTAACTGCTAGTATCACAATAATTATTTGATTACATAAGCATGTCATCATTTGCTGCTGATCATCATCATTGATGAGGCTGATAGTCTCGGCCTGCGAAGAGTCAATGCCTTGCAGGAGATCCCGGTGCGATAAGCAACCTGTGTACTGGTGGACAACCGAGATCGCAGAACTGCGACGGGCAGCATTGAGAGCCAGACGTCTTGCTACCAGGGCCAGAGAACCTGAAAATAGACGTCTTAAGTCTGACGCTTACAAGGTGGCTAGGAAGTCTCTTTGCCGGGCCATTAACCGGAGCAAACGCAGTTGCTGAGAGAAATTAAGGGACGATGTCGATTCCGATCTGTGGGGCCTGGGTTACAAGATAGTAACCAAGAAGCTTCGCACCCGTTCTCCACCTTCCATTATGGACGGAGCCTCTATGGAGAGGATCGTAAAGTCCCTTTTCCCAACTCACACACTCTCATTGCGGGAGTTCGGAAGGGTGGACGACGTACCGCTTTTCAGTCTTGAAGAGTTGGAGGCGGCCGTTCTATCCCTGAAGAACAACAAGGCTCCTGGACCGGATGGGGTACCTGGTGAGGCCCTGAAGAAAGTCTTTTCAATAAATCCACAAATCCTTTGGAGCACGTACAATGCCTGTCTGGCCGAGGGGAAGTTTCCCTTCTACTGGAAAACAGCTAGGCTTGTGCTTGTGGGGATGGAAAAGGAAACCCAGACCTACCCTCCTCTTACAGACCTCTCTGTATGTTGGACACTGCTGGGAAAGTCTTGGAAAAGTTGATCTGTTCCCGACTGAATTCAGCCGTGGTTGCTGCAGGAAATCTATCCCCTCGTCAGTACGGCTTCAGGAAGGGACGGTCAACAGTTGACGCTATTGAGGAGGTAAAGCGAGCCGTAATGAAAGCTGAGGAGTTTAACAACTATTCTCGTCGGGTTGTGCTGCTTGTAACCCTTGATGTGCGAAACGCATTTAATTCCGCGAGGTGGTGCGATATGCTGGACGCACTGGAGAACACTTTCCACGTCCCGGCATACCTCATGCGCATGATAGAGGACTACCTCCGGTACCGCCTCATCATTTACGACACTACAGAAGGCTCCAGGACGATGGATGTAACTTCTGGTGCTGCTCAAGGATCCATACTGGGCCCGGATCTCTGGAACGTCGCCTACGACAGCCTCTTGAGATCCGAGATGCCTGAGGAAACTGTCCTAGTTGGGTATGGAGATGATGTTGCGGCTTTAATAGCTGCACGTAGCATTGAGCTTGCCCAGCTGAAACTTAATCGAGTCATGCGAACCATTAACGCATGGATGGCAGAACATGGTCTCTTGCTCGCTCTGAGCAAAACTGAGATTGTGATTCTGACTAAAAAGAGGATTGACACCATCGTGCCTTTGATGTTGAAGTTCAAACCACTCGTGCCGCAAAGTACCTTGGGGTCATGGTGGACAGCAAGCTCAGCTGGCGAGACCAGATCACCCGTACGGCGGACAAGGCCGCTAAAATGGTTTCTTCCCTTAGTCGGTTAATGGCCAATGTCGGAGGTCCGCGGTCCAGCCGCAGAAGGCTGTTGATGTCTGCGGTCCAGTCCGTGCTCCTGTACGGTGCGGAAGTCTGGGCAGACGCTCTCAATAAGGACATATATAGGATGTGGCTCGCCCGAGTGCAGCGTCAGGCAGCACTAAGGGTAGCATCTGCCTATCGAACAGTGTCCGAACCCGCCGTCCTGGTGGTTGCTGGAGTCATCCCCGTCAAACTTAAACAGTCAGTATTTTAAACATAAAAGGGTACCTTACGCCTAAAAAGTTATACAGGGTGTATATAAAGTCCCGCACTGGCTTAATATTTTCTAAACGACAACAGATAAATCAATAAGATTTGGTACATCGACACCACACCTAAATAAAAGAAGTATATAATATTTGATGCCAATATCTCCAATGTATTGATTATTCTCAGTGAAGTAAAATAATTCAAAATTATTTTTAGGTTTATATTAAATACTACTGTGAAGTGTGAATCCAAAATTTATTCTTTGATTTAAAGATTTTGTTTAACCATAGACTACGGTAAGCAATAAAGTGCATAAAAATATGCTTGTAAATTTAGTTGCTATCCTTCGTAAGGTAATGACATATTTGATGTAATATAATGATAATGAAATGCCAGAAACTCAATATCTAAATCCCGTAAACTGATGCCGAGCTCCTAGCGCCAATACCGGGCCAAGCGATTTTATGCCTATTTTTAATTGCTTAAAAATTATACAAACAAACTCTGTAAAAAAAGCTCAAATAAAAAATAAAATTCATATTTTAATCTAAAACTTTGCCTCAGGAAGTTTTTTCCTGACCAAAAAATAAAAAGTTTCTTGCTTACTTCATTTTCCATGTTTTAATGGTGTAAAAAAAAAAAACTATCATCAGTTTTAATTTGCCTGAATAAGCTATAAAAAATATGTTAAGGTTAAAACTAACTACATAGTAATGAGCACTGGTTTTTCCAGAAAAATTACATAAATTTGAAATTTTTGTGTTAACAAATAAGTGTAGCAGAGCAGGTTGAGAAAATGTATGTTTGTGTAAAACAAAAAGGTGCATTCACCTTTTTCACCGTCCACTTCAGTATCCCACCAATTCGAATGGTGGGCACTGCCCATTTTCCCACCACACAGCGCGCTATCCAGTAGAGTATTATACATCTATCGTCAGTGCATTACCAAATTGATAACACGTTCACTACTATCATCAGCTTTTCATTGTTATATTCACGATATGTACAAGCTCTTGAATATTAATAAACAAACATTGTTTTAGACCAGTGAATTTGCCGATGCGGTGTCTACTGTCTGTGGGCTCTCTGAGCATCTCCAGCAACATGGCCGCCAGGACTAGCTGCTCCACTCTGCGCTTCATAGCTGAGGATGCTTATCTGTTCATATCAGACAAGACCTCGCCTACTGTGGATATCCGGCTTGACTACATCTGTGTTTTGGATCTTGGGTAATTTGTTCCACTTCTTTTACTACACTATCTTACTAAATCTTAAGGTTTGCAGCTTGGAAACTCTTAGGATAATCTATTATTCTTTAATTCATTCCCACATATCTTATGAAATCACCATTTACGGAGCAACAACTAAGGCAAATTTGGATAGAATACTTAAAACAAGAAAAAGCTAGTAGAGTGATCATGAAATTAAAAAGAACAGATTCAGTTAAAAATATCTTTCCTGAATTGGGTGTGTTAACAGCTTACAGTTTGTATATTTACTAGTGGTCGTCCAGTTGTCGAAAACTCGACCAAAAATATGTAATGTACCCGCATTGAATATTGGATACTGAAGTAGACATTCCATCTATATGGACCAGTTGTCGCCATTTTAAGCGCAATCTGTTGCGCACACCACATTTGCTTTTGCTGTTCCACATCAACTACGACGAATTAAATTAAAACGTGCAACAACTTAACATGGGGATGGAATGTCTAGTTGTAATTCAAAGGTACAGTCCTCTCTATTTTCACCCCACGTGGTAAATAAAACATGAGATTGTAATTTCTTCCATTTGTTTTGATTTTCTGTTTATATTCCGTTGTTATTTCGTCACCAGCATGGCAACTTATAAAGCCCATGTTAATTTTTTTTTATTTCAAATTCATTTTTTGCACTTATATTTGAGCCTATTTCAATTTTTAAAGGGATTCTGCACATCTTCCGGAATATATCTTTCTAACAGTATGAGTAGATTTTCCCTGCGATGCACACGAGCTGAGAAAAAAGGTTTTAAAGACACATGCTTGCCTATTAATATATAGATAGATGAGACAATTATTTTTGCAAAACACTTTCATTTATTATCCACTGCAAGTAAATATAACACACGCTTTCAAATTAACCTTCCTAGACATAATTTAGAATTCTACACCAAAAAACCTTCATATACAGGATTAAAATTCTTCAAAAATTACCTATTTCACTTAAAAAATCAAATAATACAAACAGATTCAAAAGCATATTAAAAGACTTATTGATAAGAAACCCATTTTATTCTATTACAGAATTTTTAAATTGTTATCTCGAAACGTTCATTTGAATTTCAGATACTACCTAGTTTTACTCTGACGTAATCTTCTAAGATTTTGTGATTTTTTTTAAAGTTATAGCACTCATTTTTAGTTTTACTATATAGATCTTTTGTAATGAATGATTTTAATTATTTAGTTTATAACGAGAGCTCGCCCCGTGGTCGAAAACTCGACCAAAAGTATGTATTGTGTAAACTTCTCTTATTACACCCCACGCTGTAAATAAAACATGTGATTGGAATTTCTTCCATTTGTTTAGATTTGCTGTTTATATTTTGTTGTTATTTCGTTACCAACATGGCAACCCATAAGACCCATGCTAATTTTTTTTTATTTCAAATTGATTTTTCGTGCTTATTTTTGGTCCTATTTGAATTTATAAAGGGATTCTGCACATATACAGGAAAATATCTTTCATTTGGTACCAACCGCGTGTAATTCGGTCCTGTAGTATGGTCAGGCTAGCTGTCATAAGTTTTGCAAAAGTTTTTTAGTATATAAGATTTTTTGTTTATGTTAGTTTTTAAGTTTTATGACGCTTTTTAAGACATATCGTCTAAACTTGAATAAAGAATATTTGATTGATTGATTATTAAACCGGGATGACTTATTATTGTCTAGTAGTCGGGAAAAACGGAAAAGTCGGGAATTAGTCTTTATTTTGATATCAAAGTCGGGAATTTTCATGATTTTGCTGCGATCGCAAAAGACGACGATCACGTTTACGTGACCGCGAAAAACAATGATGATGATGTCTACATGGCCGCGGGAGATGTTCACGATTTTGCTGCGCGGACGATGACGATGACGTTTCCGGAATTGCGGGAGACGACGATAATGTTTCTGTTACCGTGGGAGCCAATGTTGATTTGGACACAGTCGCGGGAAATGATCATAATTTTGCCGCGATCACGGACGACAACGATGACGTTTCCGTAACCCCAGGACCCAATGGTGATGTCTACACGGTCGCAGGATATAATCATAATTTTGCCGCGATCGCAGACAATGACAATGGCATTTCCGTGACCGCGGGAGAAGACGATGATGTCTACACAGCCGCATGAAATGTTCATGATTTTGTCACAATCGTAGATGACAACAATGACGTTTCCGTGACCCAGAACACGACGATGATGTCTACACGGCCCCAGGAAATGTTTATGATTTTGCCACGATTGTTGATGACGTTGATGATGTTTCTGTGACCACGGGAGATGACGGTGATGTCTACACGGCCGTAGGAAATTTTCATGATTTTGACGCTATCGCGGACGACGACGATGACGTTTCCGTGACCGGGGCAGTCAATGATGATGTCGACACGTCTGCGGAAGATTTCATGATAAAAAACCCTAACTGGCAATTTATAATTTTTCGTTGCTGTAACAATACTTAACAATACTTTATGGCATCAAGACGGGATGTTTGTAGTACAATTAAATTATTTAGAAAATTTGGTTGAACTATAAATAAAAATTGGTATCGGTATCAAGAAACGAGAATTGATACATTTTGGTATCGACACTCACTATTTGTTGAAAAAATCTAGTCTTGAAAAATCTGGAATTAGTCTTGAAAAGTCTAGAAGTAATATTGAATTGTAAAATGGAAATAAACGAGACACCCTGATTAAACTATTCTATTCTTATACTAAAATGTTCAATTGAAACTCTCTTGTTGTTAATTTTAAGTAATTTTGCCCAATGTCTGTGTAACAGTCTGTTTGAGCTGTCGCTGCGCATGAGTGAGAGCCCCCGTGTAGACTTGAGAGCGTCCAACAATGTGGTTCACATCCGCACGTGCTCAGACTCTGCCCGACTGCTGGCCCAGCTGATCACATACCTTGCATCTAGTGGAGATCTGGAGACCCCAGAGTCCCCCCCGCCACCTCCCCCCACTGGCATACCTGGGCCCCCGTCTGACATGAGCGCTTCTACTGTACAACGGGTTAACACTCTCATGGAAGATGCAATGATTGACGACATCACCAAAGAAAACAGGAAGAATAAAAGTAATCAATTTGATAGTATTACTAATTTGATCAATATAGCTTTCAGGATCAGTAATGCTGAATATTAACATTCATGTGCTTATTTAATATTAACTAGTGGTTGTCCAGTGGTCGAAAACTCGACCAGATACATGTAATGTACACGTATTGACTATTGGATTCTGAAGTAGACACCCCATCTATATGGACCAGCTGTCGCCATTTTTTTTTAAACATGTAGTTGTGTGAGCCAGTTACTGAATGTGTGTCTTAAATTAAATTTTATTTCTTATTTTTTGTTGCTGACAAAGTTGATGGGTCAACAGTTGCTATAACTCATAATAAGTCATTCCATAAGGTTGACTTGGTAAAAAACATCCTGTATTCAACAGAAATTAGTCATTTAGATCAGCGCAATCTGTTGGTGGCTCACATCAACTACGACGAATTTAAAACAAAAACTGGTTACAACTTTAACATGGAGATGGAATGTAAAAGTACAGGCTTCTCTATTTTCACCTCACGCTGTAAATAAAACATGTGATTGTAATTTCTTCCATTTGTTTTGATTTTCTGTTTATATTTCGTTGTTATTTCATCACCAGCATGGCAACCCATAAAGCCCATGTTATTTTTTTTAAATTTCAAATCCATTTTTCGTGTTTATATTTGAGCCTATTATAATTTTTAAAAGGATTCTGCACTTCTGCAGGAAAATATCTTTCCAACGGTATGCGTAGATTTTCCCTGCAATGCACACGAGCTGAGAAAATGGTTTTAAAGAAACATGCTTGCCTATTAATATATAGATAGATACAAAGGTGGTGCATCAAAGAGTCATTACTAGTAATAGTATATAGTAATTATTATTATCCATAAAACACAATTACAGAGAAAAAGAGAGTTCAGGTAATAGTAAAAACACAACAACAAAACTACACCAAATAAAAACAATACTATTAACTATACTCGGTTCACAACATTTAGGCGGTTTGAGGGGAAGTTCCCTCACTTTTTTTTACTTAATGTATGTTGCTTAATCAGCTGTTGAGCTATTATTTTAAAGGTAAGGATAGAGTGGAGGAGGGGGTAGATTTCTTCTCCTAAAACCCCCTAAATATTGTGACCGAAGTATAGTAAAAATAATAATAACAATAATCTAGTAATTAAGAGTGGGCAGTATCAGTCGGCCATATTGGATTGATGTCCCATAAGAACGATGTAATCTTTTGAGCGCCGTTGTTTTTAAACATAGAATTACATTCGATGCGTCATTGGAAAGAGAATACAATTCGACAGGGGGTTTGCTTTTTATTTTTTATTTTTTTAAAGAAATATTTAAATAATTATAGCAAAAATACACTTGTTTAAGTTTAAAATTTTATAGAGGTTTTTTTAAAGGAATATGTGAAATTCGAAAAAGCAAATCCCCTGCAACATTTAATTAATTATCGAATAAAATTTGTTTTACGTAGATCCGACGTAAACTGTATACGTGATAGGGTTTAAGAAAATGCATGTTTTTGCTGCCCATCTCGGCGGCAACTCGGCGTAGTAGTCTGGCAGATCGCCTCGAGATAGCTGCACGCTCACGCTCCTTCCGCTTAGCATTTGGCGGGAACTCAAATCAGGTTATGTATCTACGTTTGTGTATAATGTGTTGCTAGCATCATTTAATAACACGACCTTGAAGCTATATATAGACTTGCACTACTTCCCTAAATCTAAAGGACTGGCGAGTGGTATTCCAATCACAGGACAAGATACGTTGTTTTTCGAGTATTCATTGCCCGGTTTGAATCAAAAATAAAATTAGAACTAACCACGATTATTTAGTATTGATTGTGTAGCCTATATAAAATGATTAAATGATAGGGACCAGGGGAAATATACAAACTTTTGTCATGGTTTGAATTTCAATATCAAAATACAATATTGCACAATCAAGATATTTTAGGTCATTGACCTTTATTATACATCCGGTATTGCTGTTTCAGGAGAAACACGTTGATAAATTATAAATTGATATTCCCGTGGTTAAAAAGAATTATTTTATAAACCTATAAAACAAAATCATAAAATCTTACATAAAGATAATAACAATAACAGCAATTGTAAAAAGGGTATAAAGATAACAACGTCATTATACTTTCTCTTTGTTCTTCTATTTCTTGGGTTTCCCTTCATCACGCATTCAACAAGTTGCCTAGTTGCCCATGTCGTTATCAGCTTTTGTGACATAGCACAGCAGGGGGTAAAACTTGACGAAAATCGGTTAATTTTTACCTATTAATTAATTACCAATGTACTTGATTGGTAATGTATTAATAAATTGGCCGGTTTTTGTCAAATTTTACACCAAATTTATTGGAATTTCAAGGTGAATATCAATAACACAATTATTACCAAATATGTTTATTCATTTAAAAGATTGATTTGTGGTATTGGGTTTCCCACTGAGTGCAGCCGAGCGGCACTAATGAGGGTTGAAGTGAACAATAGACGGCTTATCAGACCCGACCCTCCCCAGTGGTCTGGAGAAAGCTTGTAAAAAAACTATTGTTGTACACGCACGTGACTTGTTCACCTTGGGCTGCTTCAACTTTAATTTTTTCAAATGAACTGTGATGTTTCAAAATCAAAAACAATAACTTGGGACCATACTGCATAACAATAATGGACTGCAATAATTGTTGAATTTAAAATCCATTTTTAACAAACTTATAACTTTTTAACTTTTAAAACTTATCTTGGTATTTTACTTGGGGTAATGAAGTTATGTAGGCTAGTGTAATTCTTGGTTCATCAAGGTTCTACTGAATTATGTTTGGCAGTGAATAAGTGTAGAATGAAATTTATAAATTCAGGGATACACACCTTTTACAGAGTTATAAAGCCTAATTGCTCTAATTAACTTGTCACAACATCTAATCTAGAGCCCAGTTTAGAGTATTAGTGATGTTTTCTAAACTTGGCAAACCCCAAGAATGCCACTTAAGGCCAATAATCTGTTCCAAAAACGTAAGGAAATACAATGTGAAAATAAAATTGAGATAGAAATCCTTGTCTTGTGAGAACCAGGAAACAACATAAAACATAACCTCAAGTAAACAAACCTAAACGTTTTGACATCAGTCCTGCTGAGCTTAAGTGTTGTGTGAAGATTTCGGCTGCTAGTGTACTTAATTCAAGCAACCAACTTTTGAAAATAGATGTTGTGAATTGTGATTTTCAAGAGAGAAAAACTGTGGACGTGGCTAATTTGAAATTTTATGATTCAAAATCACCATTTATGTTTATTTACACAGCTTTACAGTGTTTTATATGTTAAAAATGCATATGCAGCTTATTATTAACCGCGCCGAACTATCCGAATCCGAAAATATCCGAATCCGAACCTCCCAATCTCCGATCCGATCTGAACCGAGCCTCAACTATCCGATCCGAATCCGATCCGAAATGAAATTTCACTATCCGCACACCTCTACAAACTAACATGTCTAAAATTAATAAAAATTAAATTCCGGTGCCTTTTTGTCCCACCCAATATTTAAAACGAGATTGTGGAAATATAACTTATAGGATTTTAAAATTTATATATTTAATGAATTTAATCATTCATCTTTAGTGTTAACGGGCGAATTTCATTTTTTAATTAGTATTTACTGATGTATTAGAACTAATTAGTTTACTGGCATACACAACAATAAAAGAATTAAACAAACTTATATTTTAAAGTCAAATCATTGAGCCCATGGATTACTTGATATTTTGAATAGCATTAATAGGTGTAAAAAGTAGCTTAAATAGTAAACGACGTTTGTATGACACAGCTTTCAAAAATGTCTTTACTAGTGTAACAATTTGGCGGAAAGTAAATAAAAGAAGTCTTATAACACTTAAAACATATATTTGCGCTTATACTGTTACTCACAAGACGGTAAATATACAATAAAGATTGTAGCATTTAGTCTCACTTACCTCTTTAGTGTATATTTACCGTCTTGTGAGTAACAGTATAAGCGTAAATATATGTTTTAAGTGTTATAAGACGTCTTTTATTTACTTTCCGTAAATTTAATAACACGTACAAGGCTGATCAAGAAGTTATTTAACAATTTGAATGAGAAAATATATTTTTCCCAATATTATTCTAAGCTATTATTATCAGACGGGACATTGGTAACAGAGCCCTATATGCAATTCAAACAAAATCAACTAACTCTAACCTAACTCATACCTCTTAGATTTATCAGCCAGCAGGTTTGAGGTAACTAATTTTGAATTAACTATTATTTGATATGGAATTCCAAAACATTCCCTATTGTAATGGATCTTCCAATATAGGTTATGTGGATAATGATCAGAACAATCTTCACGCTGGCGCTCCTTAAAGTGATGACACTAACAATATATTTTAATTGTTGCTATGCACGTGTCTAAACAGGTAAGAAGACAAGACAACATTTTCATTCTCATAATACAAGGAATAAACTACAGCTAGACATAACAGCTCATAGACTTAAAAAAAGTAGCAATAGTCATAGACTAAACTGCATTAATTTTTTTAATAAATTGCCTGATTCGGCCAGAACTGTATCCTTCAAGATATTCAAATCTAAATCATAGACTAACCAACACAAGTAGACTTCTCATCCCATTGTAAATTTTGAAGCATGTTTTTCGTGTCTAGTTCATGTACGTGACACAAAGGCGCTAGTGTCGACGAAACTTTGTTTCCATTATTTTAGGGTTAATTTCATGATTTGTGCTTTACTGTTTGGTTATATAGCTAGGGGACAAGTTATTGTTTATGGTTAGATCGTTAGATCGTATTATTTGGTTAAACGAGGTTTTAAATGGCTGTAATAACGGGAAACAAATTGTAAACAAAACACGACCTCTACATAAACCGTACAGAACTAACAATAAAATTGTCTTCAGCTGTTCCATAAGGATGAGAAATCTACTAAGGGAGTATGTTTTATCTATGTCTAAATTATGTGAATGGTTGATAAGTAATCCTTTCTATGGCATCCATGAATTTCTAAAAAGAAAAGTTGATATTGAATTTTGATGTGTATTTACATGATCCATATTCTCTAGATATATCGTCATTTAATTAACTAAGTATTTGGTAAAACTTTGTATTTTATTTGTTAATTTGGAATGTTTTGTATGTGTTTTGACTATGTCTATGGCAATAAAATTCTTGATTCTTGAACAGGCAGAAGATGGGGGAGGTAGCTTCGACAACAAAGCATTGTTCTAATCTATCACAAAACTGGTACAAAGTTGTGTTCATTTCTGGACATTTGAATCAGTTGTCTAAAATGCCAAAAGATTAAACATCAATTGCCATACACTTTGACAACATGACAACAATGAATCGGGCCTTTGTTGTTTGTGTAAAAGATTAAACGCGGGCAAAGACTGAAATACTTTATAATAATTTTAGGAAAAGAAATAACAATGCCCTTTATTTACAGGTAAGATGAAAAATATCTTTTAGCAAACAGATAAATATATGGTTGCTTGATAAAAGTTACTCCAACTGCTTATTTCGTGTCAATTATAAAATTAAATATGACCCTTCTTCATGTTTCGTCACTTCTAAAGACATAGAGTGACCCAGGTCAAGGATTACCCAGAAAACACTAAAGTTTGGGTATGGGACCAAAGAGAAGAGGGGGTAATCTAGGAGAAGTTAGAGAAAAGGAAATATAATGTTAAAAAAAGGTAGGAAGATTATCAGTAATTCAAAATTCTTATTCCCAATGTTCTCTTGAGAAAGAGAAAATCCTGATAGAGAAAATTGTGAAAGAGAAAATCCCCATACACAGACACATTCTTCAACCCCACACAGACCTTCACCAAGACCTACCAGAATTGTTAAACCTACCAAGAGATTCATAGAAGGACTTTAAGAGGGAGATGTCCTGAAGTCTGCATTTGTGATATTAATAGTTTGTTTATTTGGTTGTCACCTGATTTTATATATTACTAGCAGAGTACCCGTCCGTCGTACAGGGTTGGCATATAAGTATAAAATGTTTATTGCAGTTATACTCAAGCTTTCGTTTTCAATGGGGGAGGACACAGTTTGATGAAATTTGCTTCTTTAAATTCACGGTACCCTATAGGTTAAGTGCTTAGTTAGTTAAGTTAGCCAAATTAATTTTATTATTTTTTTTATTATAATCTATCTATCTATATATTAATAGGCAAGCTTGTTTCTTTAAAACCTTTTTTCTCAGCTTGTGTGCATCGTGGGGTAAATCTGCGCATACCGTTAGAAAGCAATTTTCCTGTAGGTGTGCAGAATCCCTTTATAAATTTAAATAGGCTCAAAGATAAGCACAAAAAATGAGTTTAAAAATTTGAAAAAATTAACATGGATCTTATGCGTTGCCATGCTGGTGACGAAATAACAACGAAATATAAACAGAAAATCAAAACAAATGGAAGAAACTCCAATCACATGTTTTATTTACAGCGTGGGGTGAAAATAGAGAAGTGAGTACAATACATATTTTTGGTCGAGTTTCGACCACTGGACGACCTCTCGTATCAGATAATTGGGTGGACCGATGCTTCTAGGTGTCGAGATTGCTTCGGCAAAAAACTCAACAAACCCAACAGTCCATCGCCAGTGCTAATGCGACGTTGCAATACAGCGCTTAACGCCTGGTGAGGGTTCGGCAACACCGTGCCCGCGCCTTCAGTGACTCATCAATCGATCGATGCCTGTGACGTTGAGACTGCCACGAACGTAGTTCAACAAATGTCCGCTCCACTCCACGCGCGCTAGTGTGCCAATTTTGAGATTTTGGTTTACTGGCACCCACTCTTAACTACAATGTAATAAATAAACTTATCATATTATGTTATGTGTACATGTTTATTTTTTGTAGGTGGTAACAGTCAGAAGCAAATGGGAGTAGAGGTGTTTCTGTTCCCAGACGAGACTGTTCACATAACAGCCAGTCACGATACTCCAGTCCTGGACACATCTGACACTGACAGTGACGAGTTTGTTATGGTCGAACACTCTGGACTTTTGGTAATACAGTATATCAATCTAGTACATTAAATAATTCAGCTAGCAGGAATAATTATTAGTCAATTCCACATTTATTTTACTTTAATATCTCAGAGATCACATAAATACTATTTGTAAGAATGAGCTTGTTTATTTTTCTAATAATGTATATGCAAAATACTGTAAGCTAAACTATATACTGCTAAAAAATATACAAATGAAGATCACCAAGTATACCTCTCGATGTCAAGTGTATGTCTTCTGCCATTTTGTAACCCGCATTCGGGTGCGTTTGGTTATTATCAGGTCGGGGAGTTATGCATCCCTGATAGTTTAGCCGGGCTGGGTTACTTCGGGTATCTATTTTGATCGATTTCCCCCCTTTTGTGTCCTAAAATGGTTTCCTGGCTCAGGCGGGAATATTTCATTGCCAGGAAACGATTGAAGAAAAGGAAGGGTGAGATTTTATTTAATAACTTGGGATAGCTCCTTCCGATACTCTGTTAAAAACCTCTTCGGCGTAGTATTTGTTTTTTGTTTAATTTATTCCCTATGTCCATCTTCCAAGGATGGTGCAGAAAGAGTTTGAGGGCGACTTGATTACTTAAAATGCTACAATTTTGGTGTAAGTGGATTAGTTCAAACCCGCATGAGAGTGGAGATAGGAATAGTTGCAATAGAACTTGCAGAGTAGAGTGGACAAGGATGGTTTACAAAAGAGTAAGACACTAGAAACACTCATAGATCTTGCACACAAAAACTTATTACCAGGTTTCCCGGAATAGGTTAACACTAACTTAAAACTAACTCATTTCCGGTGTGCTGGAATTAATAGAAAAAGAAGAAAAGAAAGTTTGTGGCGGGTAGCTAACACGGGCTAACTGCCTCTACCAAAGTGACAGAGAAGAAGACTTAGAGGTATTAGTTTTAGTGCAAACTAAAGTAGCTTATTTCTATTATCTTTTTTTCCGGTGTGCCCGAATTAATAGAGAAAGAACGAAATATATTTCGCAAGTAATATATAAAGCTGGTAAAAGCAGCTACCTGCACTCACAACCTATACAAATCACTCTAATGGCGACAGTCCAGGTACCAAGGAAATGGGAAGAACGGAAATAAAAGTTGGGCTTCACTATCTTCACTGCCAACCAAAATTCCTAAGCCGTGTACCCAAAGCTTTATCTAAGCATTATTCCATGATTTGAAGCATTTTCGTTGGTTAATGTGTTAGTAGCAGAATCAAATCGTAAGTTAAAATATTAACCACATAGTTCATCAGATCATTAACTAATAGTAGTCTACAGCAAATAATTGGATTATCACTACTGTGCTATGCACTGGTTCTATTAAAAAAGACAATGAATAGCTACAGAAAAAAATTAAAGATTGCTAGTTAGCAAGAAGCCAACTATGTGAGAGTTTCGTTCTAATAAATCAACTATTTACTCTCATCTTTCACCTCCATAAATCAATTAGCTCACAGCTAAATTACTGCTAATTACGATAAACATTGCCTGAACACTAAACACCACACCTTGTATTTTAGGTAATACCGTATATCACGGACCTACCCGAAAAACAAAACACACAAATATGAAAACCAACCTTGTGTGGCTGAAACCAATTCAAACTCAATGGATTAAAACAATAGAAATATAACAAAACGATTTATAACGGGCCGGAGCTCGTTTGGCCGTTACTTATTCAAACTTACGGTCCAGAAAAGTTGTTTAACAAACTAAATTCAGATTGCCAACAAATCAAAGCCTATGAGTTATACATTTAGAAAAAGCTAGTTGAATTAAACAATTCACACTTTATTTTACAACAGGATGATATTTAAAATAATCTTAAGTTTAAATAAAACTCTCAGTTCAATTAACAGGGTGTCTACCAACCAGGAAATCCGGGATCACCGGAAATTGTACTTAATTTTTTACTGGCCATGAAATGTATGGGTATTGTCCTTAAATGTCAGACTATGTCCTTAAATAGTTTTATGGGCCATTTTAAGTAGGGCATAAAAAGTCATAGTTGGTTAGGAGCACATAAAAGGTTTATCAGATGTTTGTTTACATTTTTAGCGAATTTCCCTATAGGGAATAAGCTATTACCGTAGGTCTCATGGTAAGACTTAGTCCCGGGACCGATTTACTTTTTCATTTTGATGTTCCTAGAAGCCAAAAACACCATCCGTTCAAATTCATAGGCCTATATATATATATATATATATTTATATATTTATATATATATACTAGCTGTGTACCCGTTCTACGCACGGGGATCTTATAATATTCAGTTGAAACCTTCTTATATAAAGAACAGCAGTTGGTTTGCATATTTTAAGATATGCTGGCCAAACTATTATACATAGCTTCATTTTATGTTGTTTTTTGTTGTTCCGGATCGGTATGACAATCAATAAAAGGTTAAATTACCTCTGTGTCTGCCGGTCGATCCTATAACGGTAGGCTTACTTTTATTTTTACTATCTGATCTCGTTTGCATGGCTCAATCACGTCCTGGTTGAAGTTCGTTCGCTACGCTCACTCACCTGTATGTTGGAGCTCGTTCGCTGCGCTCACTTTCCTTCAGGTTAGCTCGTTCGCTACGCTCACTTGCCTTCAGGTTAGCTCGTTCGCTACGCTCACTCGCCTCCAGGTTGCAAATTAGCTGTTGTCATAAATGTAAAAGAAATAATAGTGCTAGTGCTGCACCCTGTTGGTAATCCTTGTAACTTTAATGCTATTGAACATCACAGAACAGAACCAACTTGTTTAATTGAAACAGCTGTTAAGATTCAATAATTTCATTTCTCATAAGGTTAACATGGGCTTCCAGAAATTCCACGTCAAAAATCGACAAAAACTTGATTTTCAAGGGTTTACTGTTAAATATCTAACTGTCTCATATTCGATGAAATACGTCTAAAACCATCTCATATATGTATAGTATTTGGAAAATAAGTTTCAGGCGGGACAGTGCTATAGTTATTGAGGAGTAGTTGTAATAAAGTGCGTATTTTAGCGTTACCAAGAGAATGACAGATAGACAGACAGACAGACAGACAGACAGACAGACAGAAATTGAGATAAGGTTTGATTCGGTTTCTCTGACCTATGAAATGTAAAAATAACCAAAAAGTTCATTATTCTAAGCAATGTACAGACAAAACTCTAATTTTATTTATATAGATGTGTCCGTCAGCACGATAACTCGAGCAAAAATGATCCGATTTCTATGAAATTTGGTACAAACGTGTAAACCTACGTTTATTCGAACGAGTTCGTGAGCCAGCATGATCGGACCATGGGAACGGGGTTTTATGGGGGGATTTATGGGGTAAAAATTGGTTTTTCTCATTTTTGACCCTCAAAACATAAAATTTCCCAAATTTTTTCTAGACCATTTTGAAGAGCTTAAAAAAACAAATAATTCAGTATATTGAAGTGTTTTTGTATGGTTATTGGTTACGGAGAAAATTATAAATTAAAAATTCCCATGTTATTCTTATGGAGAATAAGAAACTTTTGTAGTTTGCTTGTTTATGCATATATTTGGATCAAACTTGGCCAATCGATTTATTTTATACTAAGCTGTTAATATTTTACTGAAAAACACACTTTATTACCCTGTAGGCAGCAAACCTAGGTACTCGTTAAACCTAATGTTATTTGAATAGATTTAATTGAAAATCAAATCAGGCAAATGGAAATTCGCTTAGTCTGCAGGTTTGCTGCGGCGGGGGTATTATAATTTATTACTAGAGTAATTATGCAATAAAAACCCCATTAGCATCAAACCCATTAATATTTTATCTCGACAATCAAGTGTCAAGTCGGGTGAGGTTCATTTTTCCGAGTTTTCAGTTGTCCGAGTTTGTTAAACATTACAAAATATTAGAGAAATCAGTTGTCCAAGTTTCATTTGTCCGAGGTTTGATAAATAACTAATAATATTTAGATAAATCAACTGTCCGAGTTTTCATTTGTCCGAGTTCATTAAACTATTTTAAATTATATTAAAATATCAGTTGTAGGAAAGTGTAGTCTAACCTGTTGACCTCAGGCAGGGAACGGGATGCCCGAGGTGAGGATATTGACTGCCACACCCATCCTGGTTGTAGAGAACCACTTCTGTAAACCAACTGGCAAGACTGACTTCCTGAAGGCTCCTCCTCACTTCCCTGCCCCTACACACAAGTACACCCTGAGAGAGATGACACTGGTGTGGCACATGTACGGGGGCTCAGACTTCACCACCACGGTGCCATACAAGAAACATGTCACCATACACACTGAGAGGTACTTCTAGATGTCTATTCTTCTATTGGTTGCGAGTCCCATGCCTCACTTTAAGTTTAAGTTTCCTAAAATGATTCAACACAATTTAATTTATTAAATTAAATTAGCAGATTTTTAAAAATTGCAGATTTTCAGTTCTTGACATATACTCATGTCATTCATGGCTATTGGTTAAAGTATTTTGTAGGTTATTATTCAATTTTTAATTTTTATAAGTTCACCCAACCAAATTTTAATGGCCTAATTGTTTTACTATTCTGGAAAAAGTTACTAAATAAATTCAGCTTGAGTGGCTACTATTCTCTGTATAAAGTGGTTGCTATATCACATAGTTTGTTGCTATATCTAAAACTCTGTTCGTAAACTGTTTGTATACTGGTAAGCGCTAGAGGATTATACAACTCACACAGACCGGCCAGCCTACAGTCGCTGGTTCAAGGCTGGCTCACCTACTAGGCACAGTCATTAAGTGTGGTGGGATTTTTTAAATTTTTTTTCTAGTGATGGTCAAAACCAGAAAGTTCAAATCTTGAAACCAAAACCGCAACTTAAAAATCGAATCCCGAATGCTAAAAATACAGTTAATTATAATATTTTTATTATGATTATACGATCAAAACTGAAAGAGATTAACTCTTGATCCAGACATAATAACATAAATTTGAAAATGTACCAGATCAACTTCAAACCCAAAGACAAAATATTTTTTTATAAACCAAATAACATTAAAATACCGGGTGTTTATAAATTAATATCGGGGTTTTAAAGTTTTATAACTTTTATACAATTAAAACAAAAATTGCCAAAAATTAAACCAAAAATTTATTTGAGCTAAATTTTGCCTCAAAATTGAAAAATGTGAAAATCCTTGTTTTTAATAGTAAAAATTAAAAACGGGGAGAGGCAATTTTTTGCTGCCTTTATTGAATATTTTCAAGAAATGCACAATAGTAAACTGTAGGAAATTTTATGCTCTTTCCAAAAATTACCTTCCATTTTGGTCGATTTCCTCATCATTTAAAAGTTATTTGCAAAAACGTTAAGCAACCTCCAAATTTATAGTGTAGAAAAAAGTTGGGAGATTTCTTTTTCACTGTACAATTAAATCTACAGTTCTACTAGATCAATTTTGTTAAGTAATTTTTCGTTTGGAAGACATAAACTGTTTGAGTTAGCGGTAAGTTTAATAGTATAAAAGTTATAAAGCGTTAAAACCCCAATATTCATTTATAAACTCCCGGTAAATGAAACTCCTGACATAAACATAAAAACATGAATATGAGATTAATTAGAACATTTAGTGGTCTTTCTGTTTAATAAATATCGATATGAAACTGAATTGTAAGTTGTTCCAGTATTTAAGATGCCTTGTGCAGTTCAGAAGTTTAGAATTTACTAACTTTACTACTAGAATAACTTAGAATTTACTAGTTTCATTAGTGTTAATGGAGATTCTTTTGCTCAATTGCTACCTGCTTGTGTGTAAACAAGTGTTATCTATATATATAATTCCGTAAGTCAAATTTTTGTAAAGAAATTGTGAGTGACTGGATGGCCGTAGAAGGATGGGAGGGGTCTTATTTTAAAGGTCTTGACGTGAATTTTGAGGGAAAACTATTCATTTTTCTTATTTTTTTACCATAAATTCGCAACAGAATAAAACTTTTCCCATTAAAACAACATGGGGTTTAATTTGTTTACATCTTTTGAAATTATTAAAACAGAAGTCATTTACTGCTGATTTCTGTTTACTTCAATACAGCTGATCGTGCTATTTCTTGAAAACAGTGATCAATACACGCATTTGGTTTACTTTTAGCCAGTCAACTATGAAATGTATACTATAATAAAACTGAAATCTTGAAGATTAATCGGAAAAACGTCTCCATTCTTTGTTTATATTTAAATCATATACTCAAGTTTCATTTTTTCATGCTTTTACGTTATTGTCGTGTTAAAGGAATAAACGACATAGAATAAATATTCTGTATAAATAATCAAAGAGTCAAAATTAAATCTAACTTCTGTTTTGTTTTTATTTTTAAATCATATGTTCAAGTTTATTTTAAATGATGTTGTTTTCTTTATATTTCTACACATTTTAAGGTTAAGGTTGTGTAAATATATACAACTAAAATAACCTATAAATGTTATTGGTTCTAAAATGGTGTATTTGCATTCCTTCGTAAGTAAATTTTTTTAGTGCAGTGAATATACAACGTAGAGTAATCATATTCGATCATACTTTTATAAAATCACCAGGGATTCAAGATGTTTTGGTATGTAGGCTGCTGGATGTATATTCTTTTCATTATAAGTACTGTAATTAATATGAACGCCAGGGGAATACCACAAAGGCGGGGAACTGTTCATAGGAATGACAGTGCGCGTAGGAGAGCAAGAGTAGATAATGACGAACTTAATCAAGATATGTTACAACCCCTTTTTAGGAGACCCATGGTAGACGAGAGAAATGTAAAGATCCATGATGCAGGATTACTGGACCAAGAGTGCATTCAATGTAGTGCTCTTCATTTTAGAGAAGAACTAACGAATAATCATTTTATGACATGTTGCCATAACGGACTTATTAACCTTCCTCAGTCAAAAACTAATGTAGAACTTAAAAGTTTGTTTGAAGAGAGTCCACAACTGTATAAATTCATTCGACAATGCAACAGTGCGATGGCTTTTGCTTATTTTTCAGCCAGTAAGAAAGATATTCCAGGAAAAGGACCATACTGTTTCAAAATTCAAGGACAGATTTATCGTTCAATCTCAGATTTGCTGCCTCAACATGATAAAGACCCCGTGTATGGCCAATTGTACATTATTGACACATCAACAGCAACAGATTCGTCAAAGGCGTCAAGAAAATAGTGACTTAAAACCTGAAATATTGTCAAAACTAGCTGAAATTCTATTAGAAAATCCATTTGCACAAATTTACAAAAGAGCTTCGGAAGAAATGGTTGTACAAGGTGACAGTGAATTAGAACTTAGGTTTGTAGACAGGATAAATATGGATCGTCGTAGGTATAATAAGCCTACTGCAGATGAAATTGCAGGCGTCTTCAATTCATCTGAAGGCAAACCTCCAATGAATTTTTAAAATTCCAAACAGGGAAGCTTTTATTTATCCTCATTAACCAAAGCTACCTTAGTAAACCAGTATTTATTCACAAACAATGATATGTTTGCTGCCTTTTCATGTTAAACCACTGGAGTGATTCAAATTATTTATTGAAAATGACATCAACAAAAGCAAACAAAGAAGAACAACAAACTGGTTTTTACACAAAAGATATGGTGTAGGGATGCCTATTCTGACACATAGATAATGTTATTCTGAGTTTGTTTAAATACCGGTATTGCAAAAAGTTGTTTTACATTTGAGCTTTTTAGGGACTTATGTCCCTACAAGCCACTAGTAAACAATAATGGCACAAAAAATGTCAGAAGTTTAAAAAAAAGAGTGCAGAAGTTTTCAATTTAGAAAGTTATCTTGAAACTCGTCGATTGAATCTCAAAACCGAATCTTTTCTTAAGTTTTGATGGCTTTGAGATTTGAGATACAGTTTTGACTCATTTTTTTCACTTTTGAACTAAAATCTAGTTGGTAAATCATCATCAGCCTACAGACCAAGTCGGTAAGGAAGTCTGACCAGTGAGTGTGTGTGTGAGAGAGAGAGAAAGATATCGGTGATTATGTTTAAAATATAATATTTAATATATAATATTAATATATTGGCTATTGTTCATATGTAGGGCTATTGTAATTATCTATACTATTATTATAAAATTGAGGTGGTGTCTGTCTGTCTGTCTGTCTGTCTGTCTGTCTGTCTGTCAGTGCGGCTGCCACAGTTAAAAAACTAAACCGATACAATAATTGGTTAAATTACCTGTGTCCGCCGGTCGATCCTGTAGTATCCTATTGCAGGATATGCATTTCGGCGAAGTTAAATCGCCATCATCAGTCCTTAATATCCTGCAATAGGATACTACAGGATCAACCGGCGGACACAGGTAATTTAACCTTTTATTGATTGTCAACCGATCCGGAACAACATAAAATAAACCGATACAGCCAAAATTAAGCACAAAGATGGTCCATATATCTAGGAATGTCATATACCTATTCACTTCCCTGAGTTGCTCTCGGGCTACGCCCCTTAGATATCTGGAGTTTTGAGGTGAGATTTTCAAAAGTAAATATTAGTATTGGTCTCCACAGAAGCATGAGAAAATTCACAATCTTTGTTAACCTTCGCGTGACATTTCAATGTAAACAATCAGAACTGCTAAATGCTTATTTCACAAATTCAGACAGCTGATACAAACAAATGAAATAATAGCTATTTACATTACAAGTGTAGTAAGAGTGTTTTTACATCACGCAGGTGAATGTTGTGCAACGAGCGGAAGCGAGTTGCATAATTCACCTAAGAGATGTAAACACGCTCTTGCGTAACGTGTATCGTACAAGATTTTACCTGACTCGACAATATACATGGGGTTACGTACAATATTTTTCATTATCCATTTCACTCATCGTCTAACAGTAACGTTCTTTTGCAAACAAAAGCTAGGTTATGAAAATACTTTAAAGCATAACAATAACATTCAAGCGCACAGCTGATTTCTAGCGTTGAACGTCGATGCCTCCATAGAGGTATATTTTTTAAGTTAAGCACTCAATGTTATTTAAATGGGTTTCATTACATCACCGAGTGAGTTTTTTTCAACTTTACATCACTCGAGAAGTAAGGAAGTTGCATACATCACGCTTAGGATAGGGAAGTTTAACGTGGCGGGTTAGGTAAAAATATTTTACCCAGCCCGCCATGTTAAACTTCCCTATCCCAAGCGTGATGTAAACAACTTCTTTACTTCACTCGGTGAAGTAATGAAACCCATTCAAATAACATTGAGTGCTCAACTTAATCAAATATACCTCTATGGAGCCAACAAAGTTCAACGCATCACTGATCACTGACAACATCACTGATTTCTAGCTGTGCGCTTGAATGTTATTGTTATGCTTTAAAGTATTTTCCTAACCTAGCTTTTGATTGTAATTGTAAAAGAACGTTACTGTTAGAAGATGAGTGAAATGGATAATGAAAAATATTGTACCCTTTTATATTGTTGGTTCAGGTAAAATTTTGTACGTTACACAAGAGCGCGTTTATATCACTTAGTTGAATTATGCAAAAACACTCTTACTGCACTTGTAACGTAAATAGCTATTACACAACTATGTTGTAGGTTTATTTATTGTTAAACTTTGTCATAGATTCCTATTCTAAAACGATGTCATTGATTATGGAAATAAAGAAAGATTCTATAACTGTAAGGTATGAAAATTATGTAATTGATATAGTTTACAAACAGCAGGGCAATTACAATGTAGGACATACTTTTTTTTACATTTGGTGTTTTTTTTTACAAATTCAAACTATTTAACAAGTGTTTGGGTTAGGCGTTATAGTACATCTTCCCGTTGCAAAGCACGGGTACAGCAGCTAGTTAATACTACTATACCAGTCGAAATGCATTAGTCATTAAAAATAATTTTAAAAAAAGGTACTTTTTGTTTATTTCTTCTATTAATAATAAATAATCACACTAATATTATAAATATTTACAGTGGAAGTACTCCCTCATCACCTGCCACCAAGAGACATGTCAACATGAACGCCAATTACTCAAAAACTTGCCCCCAGGAGGTGAGAATTTTCCTGTTGTTTTGAATTAAGTTTTATGTATAGTTAAATTGAATTTAGTCAACTTACTCCATTGATTTACATTTTTAGTTGAAGTTAAAGTAATATATTATTGTTATTTATTCTAATAGTTTATTTATTATTGTTACTGTTGAATTTTTACAGATATTTGTGTCTTTGTTGTCTTTTTTTTTATTAATCACTCAAGAGACAATTAAGGACTCATAAAACTGCATGCTACTGATTCAAACTGACAAAACTGTATGGTAAATAAGAAAAAATATTTTTAGTGCAGACAAACCATTTGTGGTTTTTGCACTTTTGTAACCTATGTATTGTTAAATTATTGTGTAAATAAATTTCTTGATTGATTGATTGATTGATGATTGTTTTAAGAGTTCTATCGATGCACATTACACACAGTACATATCTATTGCTTATGATTTAACAGTTAACAGTGTTTCAATGACTTGATTGACAGGTGAATTTCAACCAGCGCTACTCCTCAGAACATTCAACATCAGATAACAGTGAGCACAAGTCTGAGTGGTGGACCAGAGGAGGAGTGGGTCGACAACACGACATGCTCATGGAGCTGCAGCTTAACAAGGTTAGCCTACCACATGTAACCTAAAACTTCATCTCTGGGTACAATGTAATAAAAGTATAATGACCAGGTCACATCAGTTAAATAGTTTAGTTGCAGCATAAAGTCTAAATAACATTGAGCTACACTAGTTCTAAATGCCTCATAGTTATTTAGTTTCAGTGAAATGATAATAAACTAGCCTGAACTGACTGCTACAGTGAATTTCGTAATTAGAGACTTAGTATAACATTTCAGCTTCATCACTTGAAAGTTTTCTCTAACTTTTCTTAAAACTTTTTAATAACAGGTACTTAACTTTAAAATGCGCTAGTACATCCACAAATTAAACTTCTTCATGAAGTTATTTTAACTTAATATTTTTAAATCACTGATTGAGTTATTGTTAACACTGTTTAATAAGTCCTAACTGTTATAACATGACAAATCTGATCCTGTCTTCAAAAGGCAAGGAGCTTAAAACGACCAAAAGCCAGGCAGTGCTGTGAAAGTAAAACACAAACACTGAGAACAACAAATGTTTAGATCTGGATTATAAAATTCTAAACAAAAGAAAAATAACTATTTCCCACTTTTTTATTTGATTTGCCTTTTTGAATCCAGTTTTTGCACATCCGGGTGCTGCCTGTTTCATCTAATGATCTATTTGTGTTCTAAGTCTGTCCTTACCTGAAGACATGATCAGATTCAAGTTCCCAACACATCATGACATTTTTGTGTTATTATAATCCTATGATCATGTTGAAGGTGAGGTTCCAACACGAGGTTTACCCGGACAACACGACCCAAGCTTCTCGCCAGGTGCTATTGATACACGAGGTGGACATCCGTGACAGACTGGCAGTGTCTAAGATCAACAAGTTCCTCTATCAGTACACCAGTGAATCCAGACCTCGCCAGTCACATGCTAACATGGTACATCACCCTTTCTAGACATTGAAATATAATTTTGCAGGGTTTCCAATGAACAAACTTTATGTTATGTTTGTCTGTTAAAAACTCAATCAGTCAAATTTTAAATTCACTTAGTCTGCAGATTTGCTGCATCGGGGGTGTTTAACATTTATTGTTTACTTACTGCTTAAAAATACCACCTGTTGTGTCTAAGTTTAAAACTATTATTTACTAGCAGAGTTCCTGTCCTTCGTACGGGAATAGCATATAAGTATAAAATGCTTATTGCAGTTATACTCGTGCTTTGCGTTTGCAATGGGAGAGGACACTACTAATATTATAATATAAGTGAGAAAGTATGGATGTATGGATGGATGTTTGTGACAAGTAAACGCAAAAAATACTGGTCGGATTGGGCTGAAATTTGGGGTGATGATAGCTCACTTTCCCGATTAACATACATACACATTCATATCTCAATAATCCTTTCGGGCTCCGCCCCAGTGGCTCTGGAGTTTCCCATGTTAGCCTTATGAGTATTTATATTAAAAGGAATAAAAGAATTTTGTTAGCTGTTTCAACTACACAAGTTGGTGTTATAATAAGCATTAAAAAGTTATAAGGTTTATCAACAGTGTGACATAATTTTATTTTTGAAAGACATGTTTTTAGGCGAGGTTTATTATACTGTTTTGATCAGCTTGTGGGCTTCACTCACCTTAATTTGTTAATCCAGGACTCGTCAAAATGTAACACAACGAAGACACACAACACACAAATACACGCACATAAAAAATCGTCCTTGGATTTACTCCGACGTTTCGCAGGACCAAAGATAACGTCCCGCTTCCTCAGGGAATTAAAACTTTATTTTTCTCACGTACACGAGCTGAACGCCTAACCACGACTGCCGGATCAGCTGTTCCTGTAGAGGGGGGGGGGGGAGGGCAGGGGGGTTGGTGGACGTACTGGTTATTGTAGATAAGCCTTTGACATCCTTGGCCTTGTCTCTCAGCTGTTCTAGTTCCTCTTTAATTACTTGTAAATAAACAGTACTAACATCCACCGATGGTCGTGATAGAGCAGGGCTACAGATATACAAGGACTGGCTCACTCCTTTGATGTTAGCGGTCGCCGCCTGATCCTACTTCCCCTCCCCCGCCACTCCTCAGTGACGTAGCGGAGATACATCGGCACGAGGCGTGACGGTAGCCTAGCACGGCAGTGCATATGTCGCCCGGCATCTACGCGCATATTAATAATTGTGTTTATAATAATGTAGTTTTATAGTGTGATTTTTAAAGCGGGTTTCTTTAACCCTCCAACTTTCAATGAGCGAACTCTGTAGTGGCAAGGCATTTTTGGCGACTTTGCAGTCATATTTTCGAAAATTCATATAAACTAAACCAACAGATCAAACCTATGAACCGTATTTATTATTTCCAACTTGAAGTGTTCGTAATGAAATGAAGAATTTGAAAATGGCAACAAAATAAATATTAAAAATATTGTAGAAAATATTGTCAGTAGGTAGAAAAATTGCTGCATGAACCAAAAATGTTTCATAAGATATACAAATTGTTTGGAATTTATTTCCCTACATGGAAATGTAAAAAGATTCCAATTACCATTTATACAAAGCTATGGCTCAAAAACAATAAAATGACAAGTTTCACGATTTTGCACAACAAATTTAAAATAAAAACCAAATAAATGTATTATCAAGAGACAAAGTAAAAGTAAACATTTTAGGCAATAATATTGGAGATCAAATGAAGTAAGAATTGTTTATGTATACTGATCATTTCAATAGATGTTTATGACTTTTAATAAATGTTTATATTTGTCTAGAAAAACATTTTGTTATTCACACGTATATATTACTTTTAAAACCCCACAAACCAACTATATAAAATAAAAGTAAACTTATTCCCCTACATGAATATACATTATACATAGTTATAAAGGCAAATATACAAAAATAAATATTTTATAGTTTTTCTATAAAATTCTGCTGTACCTTTTTCATTTGGCGATTAAATCGTTTGTTAATTATGACGAAATGTTTCAAAAACGGGCTAAATGTAATGTCACAGACCTCAAATTAAGAAAGTATATCCACATAAAACAGTTTATAAACTAAATAAGTACAATTTTTACAACTAATAAATACGATTAAAGTGATAAAGTCAAACCCGCGATATTCGTTGTTGGTAAACAGTCAATGAAGTTCACAAAACTGGCTAAAAAATAGTGTCTGAAGTTTCTTAAAGTAATGTCACATTACAGTCGAGGCACAATAAATAATATCGTAACGAAACATTTACAACTTATAATCACGATGTAAACTGATAAAGTAAAATCACACCAAAACTCGACTTGTTAGTTATTGGTCAACAGAGATTGAGATTAGTTAGTCAGGCAACTTAATGTATTTTTGCAACTATATGTTATTTTAATGTATTGAAATATGTAGGTCCTATAATAAAATGTAATTGATTAATTGAAATTCTTTCCTATAAAGTTTCAAAATACCTAAGTATAGGTAATTTATTTTTATACAACCTCAATGTATTTTATATAACCTCAATGAATCCTAAAAGGTATGAATAAGTAATAAATAAATACAATTACTAATCCATACATTAAGATACATTCGAGCAATACGAACACAGATACTACACAGTAACTTAATACATTGGATCAATAACTACAGTATTCTTAGCCATCGCTTTACATTCCACTCCCATCCTTAAATATCTACTAAAGTTAATTTTTTACTTTTTAAAATTGATGTTATACGTAATCCTATTTGAAAATCAATTACTTTTATAAAATACATTAATACCTAATAAAAAATGTCCAACATAGCAGTCTCTATACAGACTGGGTTGGGTTATGTTGATATTGCCAAGTATGAATGTAGTGATTTTGTGCTCTTCAATAAAAGTGGTTAAAGTAAATTCATATTAACTATATGGTAATAAGAAGAGTAAAAATCGTTTTTTTTTTTAGTTTTGCAGACGACTGGAAATATAATAAATACCTGTAAATATTGTGCAAACTGTTTTAATTTGATTAAAAAGTTAGGAGCAAAGTTAACCTCATTGCCAGCAGGTTAGAACAATTTTCTAATTAAATTATTTTATTAAATTTTATTTGACAAACAAATAAACTTTTATAAGTGTATGCCTGTAAATCTTTAGTGGATCTAGCATATTCAGTTATATTATAATTTTACATTAGTAGCCTGCACAATCTACTACATAGACAATTACAAGTTTTTCGCAAAAACACTACTCACCATTATATGCTTTGTAATAACCAGTGCACAAATAACCCATAATTTATTACAAGTATACAGCTAATATAAATAAATATTATAAGGAGTTAGATCAATAGTACCTACAGCACTGATCAGGACACTTTATCTTCAAGAAATAGCTCACAAACGAACCTGTCTTCAACTACTTGAACCTAGGTCATAAGTTCAACATCATCTGTGATAAGAATCAAGCTAGACAGAATAAGGATTTGTTATCTACATTCATTCTGATTTATCAATCACATAGTTCATAATATCATCACAGCTAATTTACTATCTGCTTTGGTTAATTTAAATAATATTTGGTCTTGTACCATGTCTGGTTTATATTTAACACCAGATTTTGAAAACTGATCAAAGATACAGTTACGTGATTGGGAGAGTAAAGGTGTCATTTTTAAAAATGGAACAAAATTTATTGTTTAAAGAAAATGACTTAGTCTTTGGTAAGGTCAAAGGGTATCCATTTTGGCCAGCGAAAATAATAAATATTGACCGTGTGACCAACAGAAATGTTACTAAATATAAAGTTAATTTCTTTGCAACTAATGAGACTGCCATTTTACACAAAGGAGATCTTTTCCATTACCAGGAGAAAAGATTTCAATTTACTACAGAGTCAGTAGCTCAAAAACATAAGGAAATATATAAGAAAGCTTTGGTTGAAATTAAAGCAGCCTGGGCGTTAGCTAAAGCTACTAACAAAACAATGAGCCCATCTACTACGGTTCAGAGTAAAAAAAAACCCAACTAAGGATACCTCTCTTAATCTACCCATACACATGAGTACAGCATGCAGCTCCACTCCTAGGGGTCATGGTGGTCAAGAAAGCTTAAATGGAACGTTGAATATGGTATCATTAGTGGACAGATACTCTGAACTAGAAAGAGAATTGATTCAGCAAAAAGCCCTAAATGATGAGTTAAAACAATCTAGTAGGGAGGATTATTTTACACAAATTCTGAAACAAGAACTGGATAAGACTAAAGCAGAAAATAAAAACCTTCAAGCAGCAATACAGATTGTACAGGAAGAAAATAAAAAGCTCATGCAAGACATTCAAACTAAGAATGAAAGTAGGTGTCTTCACTGTTTCCCTCCAATAGAAAGATCACCCTAAGATAAACAATGGCATTTGGTCAGGCAAAAATCAAGAAGAGGGGTGATTTCTACTAACAATGAGACAAATTTTGTATGCAATAACAGCTATGACATACTTATATTGGATGAAGATGAGGGGGAGACAGGAGCAAAAAATATAACATTGGCAACTGAAAATAAAAATTCCAACAGCAATAAAATACAACAAAAATTAAAAAGAAAACATGCTGAAAATTTAAGTGAGTTAAACAAAAAGAACGAGAAATCTAAACTTATTATTCTCAGCGATAGCCACGGAAAAAACTTAGGACATCAAATTGAACAGAGAACTTCATTAAATGTATGCTCATTCGTAAGACCAGGAGCTAGAATGGAGCAGGTTATTGAAGAGGTTGAAAACCATGCGAAAGAACTTACAATGAATGATTACCTTCTGGTAATCGGTGGCACAAACAACGTAGAGTGTTCTGACGCTATACAAATAACAGATAGTGTTCATGATCTTATTAAGAAAGCACAGCATACAAATTTGTTACTAGCTTCCTTACCGATGAGGCATGACAGGCCAGACTTGGACATCAAAATCTCAAACATCAACTCTGAACTTGAAAGGATTGCTGAAGATCATTCACAAGTGGGACTTCTGCCTTTGCACTTGTTGCCGAGACACTATTTCACTGATCATGGACTACATTTTAATAGGCGAGGAAAATCTAATATTGTTCTAAAAGTTGCTGCCATATTAACAACATCTAACAAAAACTATTTTGACCAAAAAGACAAAGCTGTAAATTGTATAAAGACCGATACTTGATACCGATTGTTGATAGCAAGATCAACATTGTAGAGGTGGACATGTTTGATGCAATGGATCAATGGAAAATGGATGTCTCGGCTGCTTTTGCACATACCATATCTGCTGATTTCTCTAATCCTCGACACATGTCAGCTGGTGTTGCAGTAAAATTCAGGAGAAAATGGGGTAAACCCATTGCTTCAGATTATGTTTTGGAGAAATTAACGTGTCAGAAAATCAGGAATGGAGCTGTTGTTTATAGTCTGGTAACAAAACCAATATATTACACCAAGCCATCCTCTCAAGACTACGATAGCGCCTTCAAGCAGTTGATAAATGATTTTAAGAAAAGGGGGCTGAAGACTTTGGTTTGCTCACCAATGGGATGCGTGAGGGATTTGATCCAAATAGAGCAATTCATGGCAAATCTCTTGGAGTTTCAGCGCAGTACAGAGGCTACTATATATATTATTTCTTACTACCAAGCATCTTCCCGAGTTTTACAAAACGGACTATCACACCCACAATTTTTTAGCGCTCTGAAAAGTGCAGCAAGCAAGATTGGAGGTATGCAATGCACCAGGACTGCTGATTTAACACAAAATGATGAATCTACACTGCCTCCACCATGCAACGAAGATCAAGAGGATGGTAACGCTTCACAACCTGACGGAATTTCTTTGGAGCCTGAAACACAAACACCCCTGGTAAATCGGCCCTCACCATCGCAGCCTCACCTGACTCCACAGAACTGTAATTTTAACTCTTCTCTGAACCACCTCGTCAACCTGACTTAAATTTAAAATTGGCAAAAAATTCAAAAACAAAATTATCATCTATTCAAAATTTTAAATCAATTAAAATATTTCATCAAAATATTCAACACCTCTCATCTAGAAAAGAGTCTTTGGAAATTGTAATGGAGGAGATAAAACCCAATATTATTGTTTTGACTGAGCATAATATGACAAAAGGTAATCTAGAAAGATTTAATTTAAATAAATTTTCATTAACTGCCGAGTATTGCCGCACCACCACTTCAGGTGGAGGTATGGTGATATTTTCAGAGAAGGGTTTGAAAGCTAGGCCTTTAAATTTAAAAAAAGATAAAAGAGCTTACGGAGGATAAGATTTTTTGAATGTTGTATAGCAAAGTGTAAAATAAATAAATTTAAGTTTGTTCTTGAAGGTATATACAGAAAGCCTCAGATGCAAAATATGGAGTTTCTTAATAGATTGGATAGGATGTTAGAATCTCTAGTTGCTTTAAAGGATGAGACAAATTTTATTATTGTAGGGGATTTTAATATTGATGTTTTAAGTCTAAGACCAGAGGTTCAGGATTTCAAAAATATTCTTGCTTATTATAGTTTTAGTTATTTAGTAGACTTCCCCTCAAGAGTAGGGCCTACATCAGCAACGGCCATAGATAATGTTCTTACCAATTTAGATCAATCCCTCACAGAAGTAACAGGGTTTATCAAAAATCTTTCAGATCATGACAGTCAATTACTAACGCTTAAACTGCCGACTGATCATAATTCACAAACTAAATTTCAATACATTGAAAGTAGGGATTTTTCAGAAAAAAACATGAATATTTTTCTCAGACAACTCCAAAATGAGGACTGGTTACCTTTATACATGGCTAGGGTAGAGGATAAGTTTGACACTTTTGATAACATAAAAAAAAGAGAGTAAAAAGGAATTTAAATAAAAATAAGTGTGGCTGGATTGGTACAGAATTAATAACTGAACAACAAAACATTGTGGAGTTGACTAAAGAAGCTAAGATTACAGGTAATATGGAGCTCTTAAATCACTGTAAGAAATTGAATAAAAATTACAAAAATAAGCTATTAAGGGAAAAAAATCTTATTATGATGAAAAAATAAAAAGTTCAGACAATGTATCGAAAAAACTTGGGAAATAATCAATAGGGAAACAGGTAAAAATTCAGACAGTCTAAAGAAAATAATTTATAAAGTAAAACATGAAAATTCTGTAGTAAGGGATCCAAAAACTATATCAAATACTTTTAATACATTTTTTATTGAAGCTATAGAGGATTTAGTGCAAAAAACATCCTTAAACTCTTGTTCTCAGTCATCACCTGGGCCAGCACAAATACCTGATGCTTTCCAAAATGAAATGAAATACAGATTTCAATGCACCCCAGTCAATGAGAAAGAGATAAAACATATCATCTCGTCCCTTAAAAATAAACTTTCTAGTGGTCATGATGAGGTTCCCTTGAAACTAATCAAGCATGCAGGGGAGTCATTACTAAAACCCTTAGTGCATTTAATTAATAGCTCATTAATAACTGGAATTTTTCCTGACAATTTAAAGATTTCCAAGATTGTACCAATTTACAAAAAAGGAGATGGAATGGAAGTAAACAATTATCGACCTGTTTCTTTATTGCCTTCAATTTCAAAAATATATGAGAGGGTGATGTACAATCGCTTGGTTGATCACCTGTTAAAAAATAATCTATTTGATGATCAGCAACATGGTTTTTGCAAGGGTAAATCTGTAACCACTGCTTTGGTAGACTTTACAGAGACTATTATAGAATCGGTTGAGAAAGGAAATAAAGTAGTTGGTATTTTTATGGACCTCACAAAAGCATTTGACAGTATTTCACACAAAATTCTTTTAAATAAATTAAAAATTATAGGTTTGCCTAACTTACAATTAAAATGGTTTGAATCGTATCTATTAAACAGAAAACAGTACGTGGAAATTACATCAATCAAAGACAACCAAGTTTTAAATCACAATTCTAATATAATGGAAATTAAACATGGCGTCCCTCAGGGATCAATTCTTGGGCCACTGTTGTTTCTGTGCTACGTTCAGGGAATGCCCTCTATTATAAATAATACTAATGACACGCAAAGCAATTTGATTCTCTATGCTGATGACTCAAATCTAATATCAACATCTAAAACATATCAAGGTCTTGAAGTATCATGTAGGGAACAGATAAAAAATATCAAATCTTATTTCACAAGAAATTGTTTATTTTTAAACACGGATAAAACTAATAAAATGTTTTTTTTCGACGGCACAAAACAAAGAAAAACCTACCATAAGAATAACCATTAACAATAGTGAAATAAACACAATAAACGTCACAACATTTTTAGGGATAGAGATTGATAATAATCTGAGTTGGGATGATCATGTTCAAAAAGTAACAAGTAAAATTTCTACAGGACTATATATTTTATATAGGATGTCATTTTTATGTAATTTTGATACTTTAAAAACAATATATTATGCTCATATTCATTCACATTTATCGTACGGGCTGGCAATTTATGGGGGCACTACAAAGCAAAACTTAGACAAAATCTTAATACTTCAAAAAAGAGCTTTGCGAATAATGCTAAATCTAGAGCGTGACGCTTCGGTAAAAAATAAGTTTTGCAATTTAAACATACTAACAGTGTATGACCAATATATTTTGGAGTGCACAATTTGCACAAAAAGTCAGCTCCACAATCAAATCTTCCGTAGTGATATACATTCCTACTATACTAGAAATAGAAATACAATTGACATCCCCCAACATAAACTTAGCTTTTTTGAAAAAAAGCTACTTACATGGGGACAAAATTTTTAAATAAATTGCCCTTGAATTTAAAAACTCATATGGATAAAAAATGTTTCAGGGATAAAGTTAAAGCTTATCTTTTAACAAAGAATTGCTACTCTATAGAAGAGTTTTTAATTTGATTTTTATTCACCTTTTAAATCTGACAAGAATATTAGTTTTAAATCTATCAGTTTGTAATTTATATCTCTTCATATTTGAATTTTTGCATATACTTGCTGTTCTTAATGTATAGATTTGTTTCTATTGAGAATGAAGGTTTTTATTTTTTTGTATAAAACCGATATTAATTGTTGATTATATATGTTAAGATTTCTGTAAAACTATTTGTAGCCTATGTATTGAATGTATTGACTCTATTCATGTATGCACATACAGACCGAATAAAGATTATTGATTCTGATTCTGATTCTGATAGAGCTTAATGTGCTAAATGTGCTTAATGAGCTAAATGTGCCGTAATACCAGAGCTCACACAGGCAAAGATATACGGTGCCGGGAGCCCGAGGTATCGCCGTGACGTCACAGCGCCGGAGTGGTGGGGAGCCACCTGGCATCACTTTCTGAGCTCGCGTGGCCTAGCCCTTGTATATCTCTAGCCCTGGCGATAGAGGCTCATCTTCAATAGCCATAAATAGCGACTCTGCCATGTTCCGTTTCCTCCAATCCGGTTCTTTGTATAGAATTTTGCTGGAATCCCATTTTACTGTATGATTTGTCTCTAATACATGTTCACAGATTCTCGAGCCATACCTATCTTTATTTTTAACCTTTTTAATGTGTTCGTTAATCCTCACCGTCACTGGCCTTGACGTTTGCCCTACGTAGTTTCTATCACACGAACAAGGAATTTTATAGATCTATAAAATTCCTTGTTCGTGTGGTGAGTAGGGCTTCGCCCTGCAGCAGCCGCTCGGGAAGGGTTAAACAACCTGAAGTTTCCCTTGTTTTCACAAAATTAAAATCTCATTTTCCCGTCTCAAAGGTCAGGAAGGAAATGAAAACTCCATCCGATCCCATCCCGAACTAAAAGTACGATCTCGTCCTTTCCTACAGAAATATTCATTTTTAAATGTTTCAAAGGTTGATATCACCTAATTTAATACCGTTGCTGATCACAAGCTATATGGTCCTTCCTTTTTCCAGGTTGTAGTGAAAGCTACTCACCTCCGCCCAGACCCACTGTTGCCTGTACAGGAGTGCTGTCTCAGGGTCTCACTGCTTCCTCTGCGTCTCAACATCGACCAAGACTCTCTACTCTTCCTCATCACTTTCTCTAATGAAATTGCTGGCTTCTGTGAAAAAGAAGGTACGTGTAGCAGTATAGTGTCTATTTAGTTATTGAAATTATACTGTTTAGTAACAAATGATTATTTGGACCCTCATATTCAAATTTCAGATTTCAGAGGTATCGTCTAGTTAGTGAGAAAAGGTTGGTACGGTTCGGTACGGTACAATATTTTGTACTTCGGTTCTCGGTACAAAATTGGTAATACTACCAGTAATTTTGCGGTTTTCTCCTCAGAATTGTATTAAAACCATTATTTTGATTTTAATACATTGATATTACTATGAAAATTGATAGTATCCTACATTCATTGTTGTCTAACAACAATTACTGCCCCACACATTATTAAGACCTTTTACCTCTCACAGGATTGTGTCAAGAAATAAACAAAGTTCAGATAAAGGCTTCACCTATTTTACTGCTAAGTTAAGTCCTTGCCTTGCTAATAGGGGTCTGTGGCTCGTCAGACTTTTTTTTGCTTGGGTCGGGTCGGGCCAAAAATCATTAACTAACAGATTTTTTTGTTTGAACTTCTATCTTTGTTTATAATATTACATGGTGTCTACTCTCCGGGAAATTTGGGAAAACCGGGAAAACTCCAGGAATTTTTTCTTTCCTTGAAATGTCCTGGAAAACTCCAGGAATCCACCCAAACCTCCGGGAATCCGGAGCCCGGTCATCGGAATCGTCGGATAACAGAAACACTACCGCTTTTGTTGCCGAAATTGAAACGAGCATTGGAAGCATCGGAAACGATTATCGGTGTCGCCGATTCCGCAGGATATGCTCGCGGGTATTGCCGCTATCGTGGGAGACGATTATCGGTGTCGCCGAAGCCGCAGAATTTGTTCGCGGGTATTGCCGCGATCGCGGGAGACGATTATCGTTGTCGCCGAAACCGCAGGATATGCTTACCCATTGCCGCGATCGTGGGAGACGATTATTGGTGTCGCCGAAACCGAAAAATATGCACACGGGTGTTGCCGCGATCGCGGGAAACGATTCTAGGTGTCGCTGAAATCATAAAATATGCGAACCTGTTTTGCCGCGATCGGTTGCAGGTTTGACGAGACTGTAAGATATGCTCACCGGTATTTCCACGATCGCGGGAGATGATAACTGGTGTCGCCTTACCTACCAGTTATACTGTTTCATTATGTTGTATAAAATATTATTCTTTGGAAAAGTTTTGTTTCAAATAAAAATAATTAATAATTATCAGCGGGTTCCGATTATAGCTCTTAAAATTCAGGAATTTGTCTTGAATTCTCCTGGAAAACTCCTTGAATTTTTCAAACCAGGTTTAGTAGACACCATGTATTACTTTAAATAAAATATAAAAATAGTACTTCTGTATATTATTTCATTTTCATATCTTATTTACAGCTTGAGAATTGCCTAAACTGCAAGAAAGCAGAATTTTTTTTATTTATCAAATCATTATTTACCATTTTTATAACTGATGTTGAAGTAACTAAATAGCTAATTTACAAAAAGTTTTGAATGAAACTTAATTTAAAAAGATCATAATCATAAACAAATCAATTAATCAATTATCACAATTTTAGGGCCTGTTGACTGGCTTCAAGACTGCAAGAAAGAAGAAAGTTACAAATCTATGTTTTTACAATGCAATATGTTAATATGTAGGCCTATCATTCATTCCCTCCCTCCTAACCTCCTAAGTACAAAACCTCACACTTGCAATAGCATTATTAGTTACATCATCATAAATACATAATTTATCTATTATTGGCATTAGTTGGCCTACAGCTTTACATAAGATTTATTTTTTGTATTGCCTAAAATAGTAATAGGCTAAACAACATGGACAAGTGGAGAACTCATTGAAGAAAAGACGTATAAACTGATTTAGGCCTACTATAAAACTCTAAAACAGTAATTAACACACACATTGTTTACGGTATAATTAGTAAGGACTGTAAATATTGCATTCATGTCGTACAGTAGTATAGATAGACCTACTGCTAGAGATTAAAATCTAAAAACAACTGATTTTGATACGGTAACTAATAAATGAAAAAAATTAAACATCTATTCACTCAAGTCAAACAATATCACAATTAATTAGGTACACAAAAAGGAACTCTTAACTAATATATTGATTATATTAAATCAAGAGAGAAGAAAATTAAATACCAACTTGTCAACATGCCACAGAGACAAAGAGTGCCCTAATTAGCAACACAAGTCAATGTTTTTAAACTGTAAGTCAAAGTTTTTGAAACTGCAGGGTCTTTTCCTCAGAAGGAAGGGTAGAAGTATGAAAAACAAACCATAAATCACTCTCACCAGCCAGGCTCAGTACTCAAGGTCATAGACCCTCCCCCTCCCCTCTTACAATTAATACGACCCTTTGCCTGTTACACCACCCGTTTGCTCCGATTAATTGCTGACAAAATTGTAAAACGAAACAAAGAAGTAGCAGACAAAAAGATATATTTCTTTATTCAAAAACATAAAACTGTTAAAGATTAAGTTATTTTCAAAGAAATTAATTCATGACTAGAGGACCTATGCTGCTCCGCAGCATTAAATTACTTGAAGGAATTCCACGAATCCGATCTGTATCATTAACTTGCACTAAATTTCTCATCATATTGTTAAGCACAAAAAACAAAACAAAAATGTTATTAGTTTTTAGTTATATTTTTGTATGACACCATTGAATTTTCTTAATGAAACTACAAATAAAGAATGATTTGATTAAAATAAATATAATATCCGACAAATAATCAAACTTATGATTTTTGATTGAGTAATATAGACTAGGCCTGTTTCTTAAAAAAGGTAATGCAAGAAGCATTATGAACAAGAAGCACATGTAACAATTGTGGAAACAGCGTTTTTAGGGTATTTCAACCCTTCTGAGTACGAATCTGCCTGTTGCCAAAGCGAAATTTGAACCGGAAGTGCGGTATCCAAGATGGCGGCCAAAACTCTGTTTGCCCTATATCTCCCTTGTTAGTTTGCCTAAAATAATGGTTTAAACGTGTATATAGGGGGGTTTTCAGATGCCAAACACATTACGAAACTCAAAATTTACTTAAATTAAGTTTTGATGGCATATTCCAAAATGGCCGCAAAAAACTAATTTCCGCATACCTCATTTGTTTGTTGGCTTAAAATGATTATTTAAACGTCTGCATAGGAGTTTTCTCGGATTCCAAACAAATTGCAACACCCAAAATTTACTTGCGGTACATTAAGTTTTGGGGGCATATATTCCAAGATGGCACTCAAGATGGCTGCCAAAAACTCTTATATCCGTATATATATATATATATATATATATCCCTTGTTTGTTTGTTTAAATTAATTATTTAAACGTCTACAAAGGTATTTTTTCGGATGTAAATCGAATTGCAACACTCATTATTTACTTCCTTTGAGTTTAGAGGACATATGTTTCCAAGATAACAATACAAACTTTGTTGTGCTTACGTGAGCTGTGTGCGTATTATTGTATTTAGTGTTTAAAACCAGTCAGATATCTATTAGTGGCTGAATATGTCCTACGATTTTTGAAGTGCCAATTAATATTTAGCAATGTTAAAGTAGAATGCAAATTTTTTCAATGTACTCTGGTGGCACCGTAGATAAAGCGTAGTCCAAAAAAACCTGTAAAAATTTTATTTTGGACCATACCTAAAATCCGCAAGAGTTTGAGTAATGGTCTTAAATTAATTGGTCGCTTTTCGCTTTATTTGGGTTTATTATTAATTATTTGGGACCAAATAAATTAGTCAGCAGGTTTGCTGCTGTGGGGGTAATTAACTCTGAAGGATTTAAAATAAATAAATAAAATCCTGTAATAAATGAAGACTTAACTCTGAAATGGTCTTTTTCTTATATTTCTTGTTCTCTTCCGAGGACAGAAGTTTTGACGGCCATGTTGGAACCTATGTCCTCTAAACTCAAAAAGATTAAATAATGAGTGTTGCAATGTGTTTGGCAACCGAGAAAATGCCTTTGTAAGCGTTTAAATAATTATTTCAAGCCAACAAACAAGGGAGATATGAGGAAATTAGAGTTTTTGGTGGCCATCTTGGGCGCCATTTTGGAAGATATGCCCTCAAAACTTAATTTAAGTAAATTTTGAGTTTCGTAATGTGTTTGGCATCTGAAACCCCCTATATACACGTTTAAATCATTATTTTAGGCCAACTAACAAGGGAGATATGGGGCAAACAGAGTTTTGGCCACCATCTTGGATACCGCACTTCCGGTTCAAATTTCGTGTTGGTAACAGGCAGATTCGTACTCAGCGGGGTCGAAATACCCTAAAAACGTTTTTTCCCCAATTGTTGCATGAAATGCTTCTTGCACTTTATAGAGAGGGATTTTATAATTATGGGCCTGCTCTAATACAGATCATGAGCTTAACTGATTCAAACGATCAATAGCTCAAATTAAAACCTATAATTTAATGATTATTTTAAGTCTAAAACATATAAAAAACTAGAACAATACTGGAGCTATTGATTTTTAATCATAGAAAAACGTTATGAAAAATAATTTTTACGTTGGTTGTTCACCTTGCGTTTGCTTGAAACTCGTCCGATTTGAATAACTAATAGCTTAAATGAAAGCTGGGATTTCACTGAAGGTTCTTAGACCAAAATATATATAGGATTATATATTTATACCTGGTGAAATACATCTTAAATTGAGGTAAGAATTCAAAAATGAATCAAATTATGTTTTTTGGTCGAGTAATACAGTAGGTAAATATATTCCGATGCTTGACGGCAAATCTTTGCGTGCATGCCTTCAATTTGAGAACTAAATCATGAAAATCGGTCGAGTAGAAGAGCCAAACAAACTTGAAAAAGAGAAACCAAATTTAACTCCCATGAGAAATACATGGGGAGCAAATTTTGTTTACGTATGTGTTTACGTTGTGCGTGCATACCTTCAATTTGAGACATCAATCATGAAAATCGGTCGGGTAGAAGAGCCAAACAAACTCGGAAAAGAGAAACCAAATTTAACTTACATAAGAAATACATGGGGAGCAAATTTTTCGTTTACGTATAAGCCTAGTAATATTATAGATAAATATATGCCGATGCTTGATGGCAAATCTGTGCGTGCATACCTTTAATTTGAGACATCAATCATGAAAATCGGTCGGGTAGCAGAGCTAAAAGAATTTGGAAAAGAAAAACCAATTTTTTTAAATATATAAGATACCTAGTTTGTGTCTTGTAAATATTTTATTACAAAAAAGAAAATTACTGTTGTAAAATACGAAAATACTGACTACTGATTAGAGTTAGAGATAAAATTTAATAGCCATTATAAAACTATTATTTTTATGATAAAATAGAATTGGATTATCATAATAATTTTTAGGCTGTAGTAATAAATGAAAGCCCCTAGTAATAATGAAAGTTGTGGATTAAAAGTCATAAAACTCAGAGTTCTTGGAAGTACTTTGAGGACAACAATTATTAACAAAAAACTGACTATGCTATAACTTTAGCTGTTTTATGACATTGTCAATCATTTGTAGAAATTCAAAGGACAATAAACACATTTCATTTCATTGTCGTGATAAAATATTAATGTATTTGGGAATGCTATTGGGTTCTTTATTGCATCACTACCCTAGTAATTATGAAGATCGTAAACAAACATCTGATAAGCCTTTTATTTGCTCAGAACCAACTACCGTTGACTAGATAGTACACTGAAAGTAATTTATTATTATAATAGGCTGTACTGATCCGAGTTTCTACCCCCTAAAATGCTGTACCGACCGATGGCAGTAATTAAGCTCAAAATGTACCATATCGACTTTTTCGGAGAACCGCAGACCCCTACTTATTTTAGACGTTTCCTTACAGCTTCCTTAACTCATTACTAGGGTAATGAAACCACCCGGATTCAACTTTAAGATTCGAGTACTTAACTGATTAAAGAAAATATTTTAACATTGCAACTTGCGACCAGGTTAGTCATTGCAACTTGAAGAACAATATGAACCTGCATGTCTCACAATGTTGTCTAAGTTTGATCAAGAACAGTAGCCTGGTGCTAGCTATCGGGGTGTACAACTACATACACTTAATTTTTGATTCACAAGACGACTTGTTATTTTAGACGATATTTCCAACATGGTAACAGAACAGAGTGGTTAAATTAATTGAGAAGAAGTTAATAGAATAGTGAATGATGAGTAATGAAAAACAGATTGAAAAATTAAGAGGGACTGAGAATTTCACAACATGGAAAATAGTCATGAAGGTAATCTTAGAATGTGAAGGAGTTTATGGAATTGTTAGTGGAGAATTCGGAAAACCAACAGCAGGTACACCAAATTATGACGAAAAATTGGTAAATTGGTCAAAAAATGATGCAAAAGCCAGAAAATATATTGTTTTATCCCTTGAGACGAATCCTCTACTTAGAGTAAGCAATTGCTCTACAGGAAAAGAGATGTGGGAGAAACTTGTCCACATTTATGATGTCAAGTCAACTGAAAATATTGACATATTGAGAAATAAGTTCCATAACATTTCTTGGGAACCTACCCTTGGAATGAATAGTCATCTGGAAAAGTTTGACGAAATCCAAAACCAATTAACAATATACGGTAAGCCTATTAATGAAGACGATTTGTGTGCTCGACTCCTTCAAACTCTACCAAAGGAATATGATCACATATATGTGACTTGGCACGACTCACCAAGGGAGGTGAAGACATGGGAAATTCTACAGAAGAAATGTCTCAACTTTGAATTACGTCTAAAGGACAGAGACGAGATGGATGTAGCAGTAGCCATGGTTTCCAAAATAAAAGTAAGTTCTAAACAGCCAAAATATATGGGAGCCAAAAATGCCAAAAAGGGAGACTTGCAAAAATTAGGAGCGATAAAATGTTTTTCATGTGGCAAAAATGGTCATCTATCTAAAAACTGTCGAACAGGTGTAATTTGTTTTAAGTGTCACACAAAAGGACATAAATCAAATGAATGTACCCGTGAGATACAAAATGCAGCAATGATGACTCGATCAAATCTAGAGGTAGGCCTAATTGATAAGTCATTTTTCAGTGAATGTGACAACTGGCTTGTTGACAGTGGTGCTTCTCACCATGTGACAAACCGCAGGGAATGGTTTGCCACTTACAAACCATTTGATACTCCTAAAAAGATGGACAGTGCTCACCAAGGTGTTCATATTCAGGCCTTGGGGTCAGGAAAAATAGACGTTATGGTTTTTGATGGTAAACAGTGGACTTACAGGTATTTCGATGATGTTTGGTACTGTCCTGATGTTGCTTGTAACTTATTCTCTGTGAGGAAAGCAGGTGAAAAAGGCATTCACCAGACTGTGAAAAACAATGGTAAGTCATGGGTGTTTTCTCAAAATGGAACAATCATTGCTTTGGCTATATTTAATACAGCTAATCAATTGTATAATATGGTTGTTAAGGTCATTCCACCAAAAGAATCATGTTTTATTTTGAAGAAAATAAACAATAACGATGATAAACACTACTTTAACATTGAAGAGAGTAGCAATGATATCGAGCATGATCCCCTTGACAGTAGGCAATCAATTCTAAATGATGAGACCAGAAATCAGCTTGTTGACAGAGATATTGTGTATCCAGGAACCAATGATACTGATGAGCAAGACATGTTGTGTCCTAGTGATGATAACGCTATTCCAGGTGATATATTACAAGAGGAGACTTATAACCTGAGAAAACGTGATGGAATAAAAATACCTATGAGATATAGAGATGATTCTGTCATGTGTGTCAGTGACAGAGATAAAAATGAGCTTTTAGCTTCTGCAATACTTACAAACGAAGTACCGGAAAATTATGATGAAGCAATTAGATCTGAGCATGTCGTCAATTGGAAATCCGCTATGGATGAAGAAATAAATTCATTAATAAAAAATAAAACCAATGATTTGGTTGATCAACCAAAAGGAAGAAAAGTCATCGATAATCGCTGGGTATTTGCACTGAAAACAAATTCTGAGAACGAGATCATTCGTTACAAGGCGCGTTTGGTCGCAAAAGGATTTACTCAGCGTCCTGGTATTGATTATGGTGACACTTTCAGCCCTGTAGCTCGGTTTAAGACGATGCGAACTATGTTAGGCTATTCAGTTCAGTACAATCTTGCTATCAAACAGTTTGATGTTAAAACAGCATTTTTGAATGGCAATCTTGATGAGACTATTTGGAAGAGTAAGCTTCAACGGTGTGTTTCCCAATCTTCAATGGAAGCAGAATATGTTGCTGCTAGCGAGACCTGTAAATCCCTTCGTCTTGTGAAAGAGATTGGCGCAATTGAAGAAAAGTCTATTCCTATACTACATGTGGACAATCAAAGTGTGATTAAACTTATGAACAATCCAATGTTCCACGATCGCTCTAAACATATTGAGACGAGATACCATTATGTTCGACAGTTGGTCTCTGGGAAACAGATCACTGTCAGATACATTCCAACAGAAGAACAAACCGCTGATATTTTAACAAAGGGCCTATCATCATTGAACATGTTAGAATGAAAACTTTCATTGGGATGGTGACCTCTTAACTAAAACTTATTTTTCTAAAATGTTTTATGGACATTACGGGGGTGTGTTGAAGATATAATATATTCATATTATAATGTCCATAATAGTTATGTTAGAAAAGAACATATGATGTTTCCTTGGTAACAGAGTTTAGTTGTTTGTTATATTTTGATGAAGTAAGATGTATACACAAATCTAAGTTTTTCATTCTATCAGTTTTACTATTAAATTAACTTAATTTTTGATCCACAAGACGACTTGTTATTTTAGACGATATTTCCAACACATACTACTACTGAAGGAAAACAACATTCTTACTTTATCGAGGGATACTTAAACCCTCAATATTTGAAATATATATTAATATTTAAATATAATATTGATAATATTTATCAATATTTGAAAACTTTTTGAGACATAGCAAATCACTAAATTTTCTTCAGAAATTAATATTCTTAATCAAGGTAAAAATTAAATCTTACTTAATACATTTTGATATAAATAAGTGTAAATTAAATAATGGCACAATCAACCTAACTATTGAGCTGACTAATTATGTTTCTACTGTAGGTATTTTATATATTCGTACCCCAATGCGATATCTTTTTACCTGGCCCTGATTTGCAGTTTAGTAATGGTAATGGTAATTGTTTGCAGAAGATGAGGCGTTGGTTCCTGTGTCACCTAAACACTTGCCACCAGTGATGGGGGTGGATGAGGACAGGTGTGCTTCCCTCCCTCCCCCCGTCCCTGCCCCTGCCACTCAGCTGCTCATCATGCTCAATGACACCAGTGACACCAACGACATCTGCGATAACACCACCAACAACACGGAACAGGACCCAACACCAAATTCTCCTATATTCTTCAGGTGAATCGATTGAACACTTTACATATTAAATAGCTCCATTCAAGCTACTTTGGAAAAAACTTGATTTACTTTATTGTTGTACTTTTTTATTTTATGGATACTTAACCTACTGAAAACTTCTATTTGTGACTTCAATTACATTAGCAAGAAGTCCTGTATACTCAATTGATTGTGTTGTGGCTGTTGTGCCAAACATGATTATATTACCTAGAATAATATTAATGTACCTAGGTATTTCTTCAATATACAAAGCACAAACTCCGATCGGATTTTTATTTTAAATCCTCAGTGAGTGGTACCTAATTTTAACCCTTTGTTTGAGTGCCTCGAGCGGGTGAAACAATTTTATTTGAGATTTGCCAGGCCTACATGTAGTGTTGCTTCTAGTAATGCCAGCCATTTTCCCACTTAAATGCAGGTATTTAGGAAAATTTTCATAAAATACTTATTTTTTAACATCTTTGGCCTAAATTTGTATTGTTTTGTGGATTATTAGATCGTGCATTGTAAAAATACAGGGTTGGTAGGGTCAGGGAAAACCTGGAAAAGTCAGGGGATTTTCTCGGTCTGGAAAAGTCAGGGAATTATGGAAAAATTCTGGAATTTCTCCCGAAAGACTACTTTTTTATAGATATGCTACATTGGGCTCTAAACATGTTTTTGTCAGGGTGATGACTAATGGTAAAAAGAACGACTTTTAAGCACTGACACACATTTTTATATCGATAGTTAGTTATCGGTACAGTGGAGGAATCGATATGTATCCAGTTGTAAACAAGTTTTGTATTTGGGAGTGATTAAATAAGTATAATATTTATATTTTTTTTAATATTCCTTGATTTTGATTAGTCGATATCAACTTACGGTATATCTGGAAAAAGTATAATATCAGTCTGAAAAACCTGGAAAAGTCAGGGAATTTTATTTTCCAAATTTATTACCAACCCTGAAAATACTAATAAACGGTCAAAATAAAATCAAGCACCTATAGGCCTGACTTACCAAGTCCAGGCACACTTTATGTGATTACCCACAAACTATCACCAAATGCACAAATAGGTTGTGGTATTATAACTTTTTAAAACTTTAAAATGTATTTTTCAATGATTCATGGCATTTCTCGTGCAACCTCGACCGCGTCTCGCTACAAAACGCTCGGCACTCAAGCTACGACAATGGTGCGTCTCGGAGCGAGATGCGGCGGTACTCAAAGGGTTAAAAGTCTTGAAACAATGTATGAAAATAGCCATTATTTTCTATGAAAATGATGACAGCTATAAAATTTTGATGCATTATACATTATAATGCTTTGATGAAAACTTTAAATGGTTGCCTTTTTGTATTAGATTAAGAAGAAGAACTCTAATTTTGGCTGTTCTTTCTCTAACATTAAAATTACCCAACTATATTGTGCAACAAAGCTTTGCTCAAATTACCAAGCAATATACAGCTACAAAAACAACATTGTGTTTTAGGAGGTTTGAGTTCACCCCAGAGGTGCCCATCAGGTTGGACTACGAAGGTAAGCATGTGGATATGAAGCATGGACCTCTGGCAGGTCTGCTGATGGGACTAGCTCAGCTCAACTGCTCAGAGCTGCGTCTCAAGCGGCTGTCACATAGACACGGGTGAGTGGCAAACATACTGTACCTGCATCATCTTCTGTGATTTCAACCCTCTCCTTGACTGACTTGACCCACCTCTCACCATCTCCCTACCCTACTATATTTGTTCTGGTCTCCCTTGACGTCACCTTCCATCAGGATTAAATTTGGTTATTTTCTTCGATTGAGATTCTTCTTCCCTTCTCATCAAGCTCCCATCCCTTATTATTCTTCTACTCTTTACTTCAATCTCTGCAAAATGTCAGCTCAATCGGTCCAATACGGTAGTTTTCACATGATGGAACTTCATTATTATACACAAACATTCATACTTTCACATTTATAATATACTCACCATTGCAAATGCGGAGTTGTATGATCTTTTGTAATTATGAGTATATTTTGTATTAAAAAGTATGTTTCTTTCTGTATACATAATGTGGAAATAAACATATATTAATATTTCATTCATTCATTTCATTCATTCATTCATCTTATATTATTCACTAGCAGAGTACCCGTCCTTCTTACGGGGGTTGGCAAATAAGTATAAAATGCTTATTTCAGTTATACCCAATCTTTGCGTTTGCGATGTGAGAAAACACGGTTTGAGAAAATTTGCTTCCTCAAATTTACGGTATGCGATAGTATTACACATCTACCATAGCCATAATGTTCTACTACTTCACCTACACAATAGACAAAGATAGATTATTAAAAATTCGCGAAATATCATAAATTATTCATGAAATTAAAAACATAAACATAACTGTAAACAATCCTACTTTGACAGTTCTCATTGTGTATCACAGTTTTATGTTGCTGCTTAGTTCAAATTAGCTGTTTTCATAAATAATGAAAAAAATAATAGTGCTGCACCCTGTTGGTAAATCTTATAAATTTTTAATGCTTTTGCATATCATAGAACCAACTCTTTTAGTTGAAACAGCTGGCTAAATTCTTTAATTCCCTTTAAATATTATGAATACTCATAAGGTTAACATGGAGAACTGCAAAGCCACTGGGGCGGAGCCCAAAAGGATTTTTGAGATAAGAATATGCCTATATGTTAATCGGGAATGTGAGCTATCATCATGCCAAATTTCAGCCCAATCCGACCAGTATTTTTCGTGTTTACTTGTCACAAACATACATACATCCATACATCCATACATCCAAACTTTCTCATTTATAATATTAGTAGGATAATAGTATTAATGTTTTTTGTGTTTCTTTTATATTTGATGTAGCCCTGTTGATAAAATTTTCAATGAACTCAGATTGTTGATAATTAGCTAATTTTACATTACCCTTGTGACAACATAAGAATATATTTGTGTCTTTGTTAGTCGGTTCTTACTCAAAATTCATAGATTTGCAGTAGCCTAAAATCCAATTTAACAATCCCTATTCAAAAGAGTCGGTGTTTTTATTGTGGGGACTTCCAGAGCACATCTTACACCATCACTGTTCTTTCCTACTTTTTTAGTTTGATGGTTCTCTACTTGTTTTTTTCATTAAATGATTTTTTTACTATTCACACCCTGGGGATTATGAGAAATTTTTATAACACTGTAAAGACCCGAGTCAACATTTCCACTAAACATAAAGCGACACACTTCTTCGTCAGAACCGAAATCGTAAGTCACAGTTTCTCCAGCAACTTCCCTGTGTACTCAAAATAAATAGTTAGGGTATAGTTCACTGATACATTGTAGTTTCACGTATCCGGCGTACTCGCCATCTCAAGAAAGTAAAGTTTGGTATAGCTGAAGGTCAAACACCGATCTCGAGTAAGATTTATCACCTACGATCAAATGTTTGTATGATTCCCACTCAATTTTCTTACTTACAAGAGGATTTCCCTATGATTGTTCTAGTGGCTGTAGAGAATAAATTATTTTGAATATTTTGATCGTAACAAACAGTTTCTGTCCCCTACTATGGGTATTATTTCACATTCCATACTCAAATTTAAGCTCAATCACCACTTTCCTTCAAATCACTTTGCAGGAAAACTAACACATTATTCGATAAGGTTTGGAGAGAAAGGGCTAATTGCCTGAGAATAGGTGTGAGAAAGGATAGGATAAGCAGGCTTACCTTAAGAAATGTAGGCATCCCATTTCATTCACTACAGAACACGGAAGAACAAACAAACAACAACACAACAACCAACAAACAACAACAAACAAACAAACAAGTTGTTTGTATTTTCTTCCGTGTTCTGTAGTGAATGAAATGGGACGCCTACATTTCTTAAGGTAAGCCTGCTTATCCTATCCTTTCTCACATTATTCGATAATTTAGTTATAAAAAAATTGAGGTACAAACGTTAACAAATACATTTTTTCTTGTTCATTGGAATTGTTTGTTCATAAACAAGAACTCCTAGATTAATAATTACATACTTGGTGAGGTTATAAAAATAATAACAAATGTCTCACAGCTGACAAACATTAAACATCTGATAAATGATTTATAATTATAAATGAATGTTGTATTCTTCAATAAAAGTTTTATTGACTCCACCTTTAAAGGGCTGTAGGTCGTAGCCCTTTAAAAAATATAAATTCTAAGGAAATTCGGCAAACTTACCTATTATCCCATTTAATTTGACACATAAGTCTTGTAGATCGGTCCAGTAATCACTGAGAAAACAGACTTACAACTGTGTATTAAATATATAGAAGATTAATAAAATTTAGATGAAAACACTATTAATGCTTGTAAACATCTGTTTGCTAAATGTATTCTGTGTTCCACCTTGATTCCTCATAAACTTAGATTAGATATGGTAATTCCAAGTATTTGAATCCATATACCTTATCAATTTCTCTCCCATCGATTCTATAAAAGCCTTCTGTGTACGGTCACATTATTACCTGCCCGTTTTAAGATAGACTAGAGGACCCGTGCTGCTCCGCAGCATTGAGCCATAAGATGAGATAATATCATATATTAAACTGAATGTCAGTGACAACATAGAATTAATAATGCATAGGGACAGGTCGATTCCAAAAGTCGATTCTTGATTCTACTGAATCCTTGGCTTTGGAATCAGAATCAAGAATCAATCCGCTCAAAGTCGATTCTGATACTTATTTCTGACTCCTCGGCGAAGATCGGGCTATCAGAAAATTACTGCTATTGCTGCGATCGCACAAGACGGCGATAATGTCTATGCGACTGTGACAGATGTTCATGATTTTGCTGCTCTCGCGGAAGACGACGATGATGTTCCATTACTGAGGAGGTTATTCTGGGTTTTGCCGTGACCGCAGAAGACTATGGCAATATCTACACGACCAGAGGAAATTATCACAATTTTGCCGCGATTGCAGGAAACGATGACGATGTCCACACGGCCGCAGATAACAAGATCACAATGTATAGATGGTCACGGGAGATGATCATAATTTAGCCGCAATCACAGAAGACGATGATAATGATACACGACTGCAGGAGATTCAGGATTTTTCCTTGACCGTGGGAGACAGTAACGATTTATACATGACAGTGGGGACGATAATGATATCTATCTGACCGTGGTAGATGATTTTAATTTTGCCACGATCGGGCGAAGATGTCCTTGTAGTTTTATTTAAACTTTGACGATTTTCCTCTTGATAAGGCATCTTACTTATAATTGACCATGGCTGAAAACTGGTTGAGGCAAGTAGACTCCAACTCGATCGATTGTTTGCCGCCTTGTTAATGGTGATGCAAAATTCTGAAAATGCTATCTCTATGGGGAATTTTCTTCGCTTAAAAGAAAATGGCACAGTTGTATCTGATGGCAAAAGATCAATGAGCGGTAGCAGTATACGTTGCCCAATGTGCATTCTTCTTATTATTTATAAATATAAACTGTTGTCATGCACTTGTTTTACAATAAGCCTTGTGCCATTTAAAAGACTTGTATAATTTAATAAATTCCATATCTGAGAAATAATCAAATTGATGTTTTTTGATTGAGCAATACAGTATTTGAACTTAACTGACTCAAACAATTAATATCTCAAATGAAAGCCTTTATTTCTAGGAGTATTTTAAGACAAAGACGTATAGAATAACTAAAATAAAAATTGAGTTAAGTATTATTGATTGCAGTTAAGTCCTAAAAATAATTGTAATTATTGTTGATTTGTGATTCAGCAGTATGCTTCAGGTACATCCAATCTTAATAATCAATAGCTCAAACGAGAGCTGGTATTTCGTTGAAGGTTCTTAGACCAAAACATATAGGATTATTTAATTAATTAAAAATTGTGAAATAGGTACATGTTTAATTGAAGAAAGGATTTGAATACAATCAAATCTATTTATGTTTGTTGTGTCGATTAATAAAGCACAGTAGATAGATTAATGAAGATGATTGATGGAAAATCTGTGTGGTGAAACCTTTAATTTAAGACCAAAATTATAAAAATCGGTCCAGTAGAAGAGCCAAACTGACTCGGAGGAGAAAAACCAATATTTTTTTTATATATAGATTTTTGCCTCCAAGCCTTTTTAGTCATTATCACCAGTTTCGGTTCAGGGGAGTTATATAGCTGATTCTCCTTTTCAATAGAACATTTGTACACTATGCATCACCTATGGTCCCACTAAGGACAGATGACCGTGAACTTACAACTATATTTATATTCCTGTAGCATATTATTATTTGTATACTACATTATTTCTTGAGTTTATTATAATACTCCCAAACATAATCCAATAGAATGGTTAGACCAAAACATTAAAACAACAAGCGAGACGATCCTCAGATAAATAGATAAGTTAAGTAAGTCTTAAAACTTTGACTCATTAAGAGAGGTGCTTTCCACAGAATGACTGACAACAGTTGGCTTGCTCTTTTGCTCCCTAAAGGTCGATTCACACATATCAGTCCAGTCACAGTTCCGTTACAGTCCAGGAAGTCTCAGTTGCGTCCGCAATTCCTCAGTCAACTCCCCGTCAGTTGGTTTCAGTTCAGTCAGTCTTCTGTCTCTAATATTTACAGTGATGTTACAGTTAAACATTTTAAATTAAAACCCTATAGTCCAGCAAATTTTTGTCCAGACAAACAGTATTCAAAATATAAACACAATCATTTTAATAACAAAAACACTATTTTCTAACCTTAAACACGTCCATCAGGCATCCGAACAATCCAAAAATATCGGTGGAATGAAATCTGAAATTGACTGACGGACGCCAAAAGAGCGACTGACAGACCTGTGCCTGATGAGTCTAGATAAGGCAATAGAAAATGCATTTAAGAATATTTTGGTTGACTGTAACGTGACTTATATGTCTGAACTGTGACGTGCCGTAATTGATATGTGTGAATCGACCTTAACTCATACACAACCTCAACTACTGGTCTGTTAAGTGTCAGGGCTAGTTTAGGGTAACATTAAATACAGCACAGGGTTTTAATCAGGTGTTACGTTGTGATTTCAGTTTGCTGGGATTTGAGAAGCTGCTGTCCTACATAATGTCTGAGTGGCTCAGTGATATAAAGAAGAACCAATTGCCAAGTCTGTTGGGTGGGGTAGGACCTATGTACTCTGTCGTGCAGTTGTGTAAGTGCTAATCATAATTGATATTGTAAGGTCTTACCTTAGCAATCCTATTTTTTTCTATCCGATATCAATTTCGAACCCAAAGGTTCATGTTCAGTCGGAGTCTAGGTCGACCAAATTTTTTTAGTAGTATCCACCGAATGGGTTTCGTAGAAAATATAATAACATTGGTCGGCAGGCATAGGAGCCTGGGCGTAGGAACCTGAGTGCAACAGACTAGAGATACACTTGTGTCACTGTCTGTCTGGTAGTAATAGCTTGAAGTATGGTTGGTGGGTAAGGGGATGGGGGCGAGTTTGCGATTCTAGAGTTTTTACTTCTACGGCTGAGGTGTTGCCAGTTCTCTGCGACTTTACCGCATTGTTTTTTATGCTCTTCTAGTTGGTTTATGCTTTTATTTTGCTTTTGTTGAATATTATTGGGTTGTTGTAGTCTTCTTTTTTCTTTTTCATATTGATGGATGTTAGCCTCCGGATTACTGTATAATACTTAAAGTGGTTTAAATACCTGCATTTAAGTAATCCAATTCGTTGCTTGTGTTGCAACCGGTTTCAACTCCGTGGAGTCATCTTCAGGCGTCCAAGGATATAAGTTATCACTTCATTTGAAGGTCGTCATAGTTTTTAAAAAACGAATATACACGTAACACGAACATTGAACACTGAACACTGACGTTTAACATACAAAGTTACTGAGAAGGTTAGCGACGCGTACCGGCCGGATGTAAAGTCTAGACTGACATCCGGCCGGTACGCGTCGCTAACCTTCTCAGCAACTTTGTATGTTTTTTAAATGTTAAACGTCAGTGTTCAGTGTTCAATGTTCGTGTTACGTGTATATTCGTTTTTTAAAAACTATGACGACCTTCAAATGAAGTGATAACTTATATCTTTGGACGCCTGAAGATGACTCCACGGAGTTGAAACCGGTTGCAACACAAGCAACGAATTGGATTACTTAAATGCAGGTATTTAAACCACTTTAAGTTCTTTTTTCTTTAGCAAGGTATCAAAATGCGGTAGAACCTCAAATTTCCAAATGAAAACCAACTGACCAGGACTGTCTCTGCCAAATGTTCTTAGTAAAAAAAGTATTAGTACTCAAAGAAACTATTGGAATGTATATGCAATTTTATTTAGCTTAGGTAAACAATGAATACCACGTTATTAGCGAATTTCCCTATAGGGAAGTAGCTATTACCGTAGGTGGGACGATAAGACCTGGAGCCGGAACCGATTTATTTTTTACATTTCGATGTCCTTAGAGGCCAAAAACACTATTCGTTCAAATATTTTATGTATATACAGGGTGAGTCTTCTAAGCTGTCCTAAACAGATTACAGATAAACGGCTTGACATACAGAGATGAAAGAAAACTTTACCCACTAATTCATACCCCAGGAATAACGTACAAATATTTTTTACATTTTTAAAATAAAGGGTGTTCGAGTAACTGGGGGTCATTGGTTCAAATCTCAGAGTTTTCAAATGTAAACATATGTCATGTTATGCATCATTTTAAAGCTCTAGACTAGACATACAATTTAGTGAAAACAGAACTGCTTTATCTTTATCCGTTTCAAAATGGCGGCCATTTATATTTAAAATAAATTGATATACACCCTGTATCTTGGAAACCTCTAAACCTATTTTCGTTCTGTTTGAAAATTCTTGATCCTCGTGAGTTCAGCTTTAATTTGATATGCGACATGTCATCATTTCAAAAACTAAATATTTTTTCAATGATTTTATTTTTATTTTTTTTTGTAGCCTTATATATAAAAAACTTTAAATGGCAACATGTCAAATGGCGTATCTGCAAAAACCAATAACTTTTAAATTTAAACCCACCGTCTATCTTTGCTCGTTTTCTAGTAATTGACCAAAAACTCCAATTGCCCATATTTTTTTTTTTTTTTGTCCTAGGACGCTAGGCACGAGCCTGGGATTGTTTTTCACATTACTTCAGGCTAGACCTAGGGGTTGCGGCATTATCACTTAGATAAAATCCATTGGTGACTTGGCGGGGATCGAACCCGGGACCTCAGGGACTGAAGTCCCGCGCTCTAACCACTACGCCAGCTCGCTCCCCAATTAAAACAACCCTAATTAATTGCCCATATAAAACAACCCATGTTAAACATGCAGTACTGGAGATTAGTGGATGCAGATACACTATTCAATACAGAACTGCACGTTTAACATGGGTTTTATACGGGCAATTGGAGTTTTTGGAATTTGTTATTGCAATTCATTTTAAAATTGGAATTGATATCTTATGTTGATTTTTTATTGCTAAATCTTCACAAAGCGTTGCTGTAGCATGAAAATGTTCCAATTTTTCAGTTAACAATATCGTGAGTTGAGGTTTGTTTGGATTATGTTTGTTTTGTTAAGATATATATAATATTTTTAAGTTTTATGTGTTTTTCTTTCTTTATCTAATAACACTCAGCCGTGTGACAAGATTTTTTTAAATGTATTATCATTGTTCCACTTTCAAATTACTTTTACCACTGTTGCAGTGAAAATATAATATTTTTTGTTAATTCTCTACAAAAATAATAGCAAACTTAATTATTAGTTACTGTGATTTTCTGCCCACCTTCCCCTTGCCATCAATTGCTCCAAGATATTGACTGTAGTGGTTGTTGTTGTTCTCAGTCCAAGGTATTAGGGACCTGTTCTGGCTGCCCATCGAGCAATACCAGAAAGACGGGAGGATTGTTAGAGGACTACAGAGAGGAGCCAACTCATTCACTACTTCCACAGCCATGGCTGCTCTAGAACTGACCACTCGCATAGTTCATGCTATTCAGGTCAGCGTCTCTGTTAACGGCTATAGGAACACATATTTTCATCATCTTTTATAATATCTATAATTTTTTTTAAGTAATATGTTTTCTGTTTGTCTGTCCTACCGTTACATAAAACTGTTTCTCTGATTTGATGCATATTTAAGAAAGGGATACAAGGAGTGTCATAAGCATTTTATTGTTCTTTAATAACATTTCCCGCTGTACTTCAAAGTTTAGGAGGCATTAATTGATTGCACTCTGTAATAAAAAATAACCTCATTGTTCATATTAAATTTCCTTTAATTACATTTACTCTGTTTGGATTTAAATAAACTTATCAGAAATTATTCTGAAAGAAAGCATCATATTTAAGACTTTTGATCAATGGTGACATTGTACCTTTTTATACAGTACTAGTGGTCGTCCAGTGGTCGAAAACTCGACCAAAAATAATGTCCACTTGATTTATACGGTATTTTAAAAGAACTCTATATACTTCTCTTTTGTTTTCTCACCCTGTTGTTAAGCATGAATAAAGCAAATAGTTAGTTATAGGAATATAAATTTGGATATTTTTACTTCTCCAATAAAGAGTACGAGTATGCAAATTCAAGGAACTTAGTAAATTTTGTTTTCTGGTTCCTACCAAAAATTTCCTAAAAATAATGTAAAAAACCTTATCTCAATTATGTTGCAAACACAAACTTGATCATATCTCTTTTAGAGTGTCGCAGAGACAGCATTTGACATGGTGTCACCCGGGCCAAGTGTGCGGCGGAGGAGAAACAAGCGGGGTAGCAAGTCTCGGTCCCGCTACACTCCCCCTGCTGACTTTAGGGAAGGAGTCACAAATGCCGTTGCCCTAGTTAAGGAGGTAATTCATTTTCATTGTCTATGACTCGTGTGTTTTGTCAATTATTTTTTAGTAACTTTCATTATCTATTTAATGAAAATTAAAAATACAACATAATAGTGCATCAGTAATGCTAGAGTGTTCATAAAAATATTTATTATTATTTTTTCTTTCACAAACATCCAACTATTTGAATTGAATAGAGCTGTCGTCTGACACTATGACCAATGAGAGAGGACATTTTGGGTGTGTCCCTTCTGATTCTGGGGTAACTGATTCTCTTCTATCCAATGTTAATAATTTTCTTCTGTTTCTACAGGGTATTGGAGAAACTGCGCACACCCTTGTACAGGAGGCCTTGGCAGAACATGAAGACAAGGGAGCGGTATGTATATGTGTTAAATGTTTATGTGAAAACTGAAATTCTCTTGTAATGTTTATATCAGGAATATTTTTTCCTACGTAGTAAAATTATTTTAAATTCTAATTCAATGCCACGGATGCCATGCTTCAATCTCACATACTTGATCAGTACTAGTAAACAACTAAAACTACACTAACACTTCTGTTGCTAGTAATAATGATCTTGAAATAGTATGTAGTGAACAATTAAAACGTTTTCAATCTTATTTCTCTAGAAACAGTTTGTTTTTAAATCATCAAAAAACAAATAAAATGTTCTTCTCAACAGTGCAAAATAAAGAACATCTGGAAATGTCCATATCAATAGAGCAAAGTCAAGTAGTGACATTAAATTTCACAAAATTCTTAGGTTTAATAGTGGATAATCACTTCAATTGGGATCTAAATGTTCTACATTTAGCAAAAAAAAATACTTCAGGATTATACGTCTTAAAAAGAATATCATTTTTGTGTAACCTAGAAACACTCAAATGTATTTATTTTGCTTACCTCTGTCATGGTCTAGCAATCCATGGGGGCACTAGTGCACAAAACCTAGATAAAATCCTTTAACTAAAAGAAAATCCTTGCGAATAATGTTAAACCTGGAACCTAAAGCATCTGTAAGAAACCACTTTTCACAATTAGATATTATATTAACTGTCTATATGACCAGTATATTTTAGAATACATTATTTTCCCCAAAAGTCAAATTCATAAATATGTGTTTTGCAATGATATACACACATACGAGGGTCATTCCAAAAGTAAGGTCCGATTCGCTGTAACTATTTGAACTGGGCGCCAAGGACAAAATATGCATGCGCGCCGACTCCTGGTATGCCTTGAGTATTAAAAACTAATTAATATACATACAAAGGGATTTAGAATTTTAGTAAGAAAATATCACCAAGATAAAACTTGTTATTCCATAGAAGATTTATTTTTATAACTTAGGTTGAGGAAGAGAGCAACTTATCAATCCAATAAATGATTTTTACTCCAAAACAATTTTAATGATATAGGAAAATAAAATACAATTTTCATGATCTGTTGTAGGAAATTAATAAATTTGTCTAATAGTATCAGCCCTCTTGTTATATTATCAACCATAAAAGAGTAAATAAACCATAATTCATATTAAACACACACTATTAACATGTACGGATAAAGAATTGTATTGCATAGATTCATTGACGGAAAGTAAATAAAAGAAACGTCTTATAACACTTAAAACATATATTTACCCTTATTCTGTTACTCACAAGACGGTAAATATACAAAAAAGATGGTAAATGGTGATCGATTTCAATTGGACACTCTAATCATCATTAGACCCAATAGGCGAATGACAAGAATCTTGAATGGCGTCCCTACTTATATCCTATTGGCTACCGGAAGCACCGGCCAATACATTTTTATAAGTACAACTGCAGTCGAAATTTACTTGTTCATTAATCAGCTTATTTCTATTTTTACATTTTTCCTTATAAATATACAACTATCCCCAAGCATTCATTACATATCCTTTCTTAAAATTCTTCAAAATACATAGATTATCCTCTATTTTTTCTATTGAGTGTCCATTTTGTAACGGTGTTGTGCAACATTAATTTGATCTTTCCGGTTTGTTGTTCCTCCAGACAGATATGTAGTTTTGGAAGCGGTTGACGAAGTTCACAGTCTGTCCAATGTAGAAGTTGTCACAATCGTTACAACTGATTTTATAGATGCCCGAAGCGTCGAATTTGTTACAATCTTCTATTTTTAGATGCAGTATTTTACTCATGGTGTTCTGAGTCCTGTAGGCTATTGAATCTCCGTATTTCTTGAATCTATTAGCAGTCCTTTGTGTTGTATTCCCCGTATAGCTAAATGTGACATATCTGGTGTTTTCCTCTTTTACCTCTTCTAATGTTGTTCTGCTGTGTAGTTTATTCTGGCTATTGATTTTTCTCTTTGTCTTTCTTGCGATGTACTCTATTGTCTTGGTTCGTAATCCATTAACTTGTGCGATCTTCTTAATGGTGTCCAGTTCATTCTTCCTATTGGCTTGGCTAAGTAGGATCTCATATGCTCGGTACAGCATGGATCTAAATGCTGCGTTCTTGTGAATTGTTGGTTGGATAGACTTGATGTTGATTGTAGTGTCCGTTTGCGTAGGTTTTCTGTAGATTTCAAACTCAATCTTGTTGTCTTTTCTCTCTAACGTGAGGTCCAGGAAGTTGATCTTTTGGTTTTCTTCAAACTCGTTGGTAAAGGTGAGGTTCGGATAGTGGCTGTTAAGTGTCTGCATCATTGTTTCGTGCTCTTGCTCTTGGGATTGTCTGAAGATAACAAGCATGTCGTCTACATATCTAACATACAGTTTTACATCATGATTCTTTCTTAAATTCTTTAACATTTCTTTTTCCTGATGCTGTAAAAATATTTATGACAAAATTGCCGAAAGTGGACTTCCCATAGCTAAACCATCTGTTTGTTCATAAAATCTATTGTTAAATCTAAAATAATTTTATTTCAAAACAGTCACAAGCAATTTTACAATCTGATTGACATCTTCATTGTCTAAACTATTCTGTAAAAGCCTACATTTAACAAGATCTACAGTTCCAGATACAGGTATCTTGTGTAAGGAAGTTTTCCCTTTTGAAGGAGAAAAGTCCCTTCACACTCCTACACAGTATTTCTTTATTTTTCCTCAAGGGTTTTTATCCTGGGTTAGTGACAACTCGGTGACTGCTATAAACTGATCTACTTTATTATGCACTATATACAATATTTACAAAAGTGTCTTCAAATGAAATGGCCTTGTAGTACCAAGGCAACTATTAGTTTAGCATCCAGTGCTCAACGCTGTACTGTCCCTGGTGATCCTCTGGAATACCGTCCCAACGGCGTACCTCCCAGAGAGCAACCTGTCGTTGCTGTCACCTCTCGTCGGCTGTCTGGCTCCAACTGCCCAGCCTTCTAATAGTGGTGTAGACTCTTCGCAATGTGCAGCACTGTCTCCTGCTGACACCTCTCGTCGGCTGTCTGGCTCCGACTGCCCAGCCTAAAACAGAATCTCCTATTATACACTGTCTACTATTGCACGCAGTGGAAGGGGGAGATTCAAAGGATGGCTGGGGGCTCAACACGCCCGTCCAGCCAGTGCTGGCTCAACACGCCTATGCACTAGGGGAAAGGGAATAGTACTGGGGGCTCAACACGCCCATCCCGTACCGGAGAAAGGAAAAAGTACTGGGGGCTCAACACGCCTATGCACTAGGGGAAAGGGAATAGTACTGGGGGCTCAACACGCCCATCCCGTACCGGAGAAAGGAAAAAGTACTGGGGGCTCAACACGCCTATGCACTAGGGGAAAAGGAATAGTACTGGGGGCTCAACACGCCCATCCCGTACCGGAGAAAGGAAAAAGTACTGGGGGCTCAACATGCCTATGCACTAGGGGAAAGGGAATAGTACTGGGGGCTCAACACGCCCATCCCGTACCGGAGAAAGGAAAAAGTACTGGGGGCTCAACACGCCCATCCCGTACCGGAGAAAGGAAAAAGTACTGGGGGCTCAACACGCCCATCCAGCACCCAGGGAAGGGTCACCGGTGGCTCAACACGCCCATCCGGTGAGGCCAACTGACTCTCCTGCCTAAGTGCCCTCCCTTATATTTACAAAAGTGTCTTCAAATGAAATATTTCATTTAGATTAAACATCGCTATAGGTACTCTTTGTTGAAGTAAATATCTGCAATCTTCGTGGAAATCTTGACTCTTGTATCCGATTGTTGCGATTTTGCTGCTAATTTTGCTTGACTAGCTTCACTAAATAACTTCTTTATCAGCATTGTACGTGTTATTAAATTTACATATACAAGTTTTTACGTATATTTTACGTATATAATATATACACGGATTTTACCCCCAAAGGGTGGGGGAAAGTACTCAGTATCGGGCCCTTGTACTGAGCTCCTTCCCCAGCTCATTATCCTGAGAGAATTTACCTGAGTGAAAAGTACTGGGAAAAAGTGCTGAGGGAAAAGTGCTGAGGGAAAAGTACTGGGGGAAAACGGCACAATTCTATGTGTAGCTTGATCACTTCATAACAGTTGGTGTACAGATTTGAGATATCAAATGAGACTAACCTACTATTCGACTCTATATCTATGTTCTTTACAAGTTAAACAAATTCATAACTATTCTTTACACTGTATATATATTCAAATTCAAATCATTAATGAGCTTACTTGCTAATAATTTTGAAACATTGTAGGTAGGAGCACATTTAAAGTTAACTAAGGGTCTGATGGGTACATTCTTCTTGTGTATTTTCGGGATCCCTTTCATCAGGGGCGCTTTGGAATTTAGGATGTTCGATAAATATTAACATTCTTCGGTAATCACTCTGGTGCATCTCTTCACGACATCGGACAGCTCTTTATGGTACCTCTGTGTTGGATCTCTTTTCGGCTCTTTGAAGTTATTTTCTTTGATAAAATCTTTGGTCTTCTTTAAATATTCTTCTTTACCGAGCACTTTATGATTGCGTTGCTTTTGTCTGCTTTCACAGCGATTGAGCTATTCTCTTCCAGTTTCTTCTTTATTTTGTTGCATGTCATCAGTTCTTCATTTCTGCTGGGATCTATGGGTCCTTGGCTGGTGAAAGCGTTGGCTGTCACTTCCTTCCGAACGGTATAATGGTGTACGTCTCTGAGTGATTTTACATTCGCTTCAACTTAAGTAGCTAGTAGTTCGATTTTGTCCTTCTTCTTCATTGGGAAATTGTACTTCATTCCGTAGTTCAGTATTTTCGTTTCTTCTTCACTGAATTAAATGTCTGTAAGGTTGATGGCTCTCTTCTGGAATTTGTGTCCTGTACTCGTCCTATACAAGTCTTCATTAGGTATATTCTTCTCTATGAGCTTGTTTAATTAGTCGTTTATCCGTAAATATTTCCGGTCCATGGCGTCTTCAACCTTTTCACTGACGTCTTTGTGTAGTAGATTCCATGCGATAGGACCGTATAATCTCAAAAACTGTAGATGGATGTCGTAGGCAATCAGGTTCAGTTCTTCTTTTTCACAGTAAAGTTGTTGATCATATTCTGGATGAATAATACCTCTCCTTGTTCCTTGGTTCTTTTGGCGCCAGTGGAGTTACAGTTGATCTTGATTTTTGTGTATTGTGGTGTTATTCTCTTTTTGATACATTTGTGGCGTCAACTTAGCCACAGCTGTGTTGCCTTTAGTCTATACTTTATTGTAATATTTATTATGTAACAGCTGTTGCTTTTTTTTTTTGTTAAAACTGTTCAGTTTTGACTATGTTATGATTCAACACACTTCTTCATTCGTTTGTAAATAAAACTTATCAAAATATTCATCATCATCATCATCATTCGTTCATATAGTGGTGATATTATTTCATTTAGATTAAACATCGCTATAGGTACTCTTTGTTGAAGTAAATATCTGCAATCTTCGTGGAAATCTTGACTCTTGTATCCGATTGTTGCGATTTTGCTGCTAATTTTGCTTGACTAGCTTCACTAAATAACTTCTTTATCAGCATTGTACGTGTTATTAAATTTACATATACAAGTTTTTACGTATATTTTACGTATATAATTTACGTATATTCATAACACATACAATGCTGATCAAGAAGTTATATAGATTTATCGATTGATGTAAATCAAGTAAGAAACATAATGTAGCCTACTTGTTGTTTGTGTTTTTGGTTTCGGTGACTCTATTCATGTATGTTTGTACAGCTTGAATAAAGATGATTTGATTTGATTTAGTACACACAAACGCACATATACATTTACTCACACAATCTGCACTACAATAACGCGGGTAGTGTTGTTGCCTTTTAGGGCATTAACTAATCTGAAATAAACTTACCTAATCAAAACCATGTACAAAGTATTTAAATATTGTAAAGTAAATCGTTTTCATGAACAAATCTCATTACCGGTACTTAATACTTTGTCAGACACATTTGTGGGCATACTATAAAATGCCTAAGCATTATAACCAATTTAAGTCAATGTGAATAAATTCCTATTATTATTACTACATTTTATACTTTGCTTGAAAGCTTTAGGAAATATACGATGTTTCTGAATTCAGTACTCTGTCAGTAACATACACATTTTAATATCCATATTGAGTATTATATATTTCATTTTAAAAGCTTATAACTTTATAAGAGATATTAAAATGGTGAAACCATCTTTTACTTTGATGAACTATGTACATGTGTCGTGAGGAGATAGAATGAAACTGTTTAGTGTATCTGTATACTGACTTTTAAATAATAGTCATAGTCAAAGGTATTAACTATAGAATAAAGTGAAATCCACTTTACTATGTTTACTTTACTCCACTAACTCATGTTACTGTTACTTGTTTGATGTACATGATAGTGTTTTGTTGATATCAGTTCGGCGCCGTTGGAGGTGTGTTGCGCCAGATCCCCCCCACCATGGTTGCTCCAATCATTCTGGCGTCTGCCGCAACTTCCAACCTGTTAGGCGGCGTCCGCAGTCAGTTGGTGCCTGACGCGCGGCGTGAGGCTCAATACAAGTGGCGTGACCAGGGCGACAAACATCAGTAGATTCTGTTGGTAATATTTTGAAAAAAGCAGATTCTTGACACCGGTGTTAATCTATTTTTTTGCCATCTATATCAGTTAATTTGATCTACTATTCAAATAGGTTTTAAGATTATGGTTATAAAAACTTATGGTGTTAAACAAATTGAAGATTTTTTGAATAATTTTTTATCGAGATGATGGGAAGAGAATCTTTATAAAGCTTAAATTGTAATACTTAATTGGTTCAGTCTTATCCCACTTCAAGTAAAAGTTATCAGTAAAACCTTTCTACTCCATCCCAGCCTGGTCCTTAACTCTAGGTAATCCAACCAGACTGGACAGACCTACCAATTAATATACTACTTTATAAACTGTACTTGCCCGGGTAGTTTATCATCAGCGTTCTGTAAATTGTCAACTAACTTGATGTTGAATGTATTATGTTTTTTCACCTTAAGAGTTTTATGTTTCATGGCAGAGTAGCCTATTTTTCACAGTAATATATAGTATGTTCTATCGTTATAAACGTTTTTACCATATCAGCTTAATTATCTGATGAAATGCAATCAAAAGAGCCGCCAATGGCAATTTTTCTGAAAAATTACAAAATAAATGTTGAAAATTATAATGTGTTATGATTATGACTATTATGATTTAGCCTAAATTTGTTGAATACAGAAAAAAGAAAAACTTGTAGTTTCTTTTCATTTCATACATTCTTTATTTTACAAGAGTTATAACCAAAATGAGACGAAGTAGGGAGGTTCTGCTGTATAAAAATCTGTCTGCTGCTATTAGCATTTAAATGCTAGAACCGTTAACTCAAATATATTTTGTTTGTCAGCAAAATTGTTAAAATAAACAAAAAAAATTGTGTCATAAGACCAGAAGTAGTGAAAGTTTTAATTTTTTATGTCTGGAAACTTAAGTTAATGTTTTGTGTACCAAAATAATTCTGACTTTGTGAATACAAATATTTTGGAACAATATGCTTTAAATTTGGTCGGTGACTTTAATATGTAAGAATTTTACATTTTTATCAAAACTATTAACTGGAATTTTTCAATTGTGAAAACTATCTTTCAATTTGATAATAACTTATCAATGATACCTACCATTTATAAGTATAAATTTGAAGCTGTGTTATGTTTGTGATTATAAATAATTGTAAAGTTGGTGCAAAGCGCTAAGTATGTGTTACTCACTCACTAGTCTTGGCTTTATCAAAATCAAGAAACTGGGTCTTTCAATAATGAAGTACTGAAGAAGGCAATATGCTTTTTACACAACTAGTAAGATAGCTTTTACCAAGTAGCTTTGTAGTTTTTATATTATTTTTTTTCATTGTTAGTTATTTAGAAACAATAATGATTGCGTATATTTAAACAAATTAATTTGTTTAACACATTTTTTATATTTGTTCAATACAAGTCCTTACCTTCCTGACTCTTTGATTCAAATATCCAAATGATTCCTCAAACAACAAACACAGGTATCCTCTGGAGTTCTGCTGACTGTAGGTTTACTACTTGTTGGTTTTACTTTCTATTTTGTTTTGATGAAATATCTGTTACTTCTTTCCTCTTCCTCTTTGTTCTTTTTCCCTGAATTTTTAAGGCCTTCTTAAAGCTGTACCCTTTCACATGATAGAATAGTGTTTCAATTTCAAGTTTTATAATCTTAAATAACTGGATGTTGTTTAAGATAGCTACACAGTGTTGATATGTTCCGATATTTATAATATATTTCTTCAGAACAGTTTGTGTCCAGTTTTGAATTCTTTTTTGTAAGTTTTTACTCATTATAACACTGGATGTATAATGTGACCACTGAGTATTTATACTCAATTCTAAGGTTATGTTGAACCAGTTAGTGGTTAAACATGGGGTTTTGGTCCCCGAGTTCAAATCCTGCCAATCACCAATGGATCTATGTAAGTGATTGTGCCGCAACCCTCTAAGCCTAGTTTGAAGTTATGTGTAAAGTAAAACGATTCCAGACTAGAGCCTACGTCGTTAAAATGTTAATGGGGAAAAAGTCTATCCTTATGTTGGGTAAAAAAACAGTGGTAGTTTTGTAACAATCAAAACCAAGACATTACCATTATTTTTTTATAATAAATCTAGTTTGACCATTGTGTGGAAGGTTTTCCTCTGTTATAAGTAAATAATATGGAAATTCTGTAAACAAACTTACAATATTTTGATACATTTTTATGTACGGTAACTGAAACTAAATGTATTTTGTGTATTTTTTATGTATATAAACCAAATAAAACTGTGTTCAGTTTTGGCTCTTATTTACATTTAATTCATACATAAATATCCTAACAAGATGGTATACATGGTTGGACAAAAGAATGGACACCCCCTATATTAACTTGTTAATGGGTTACACTAGGAAACCCAAACCATGCACACATATATATTTTTTAGTTTCTTGTAACAGTAATAATGAATTTAGCTTCCCTGTTACAACCTATAAAAACGTTAATAGGGAATATTGTTGTATATTTTTACATGGGGTTGTGACACAAAATTCTAGGGGGGGAATAAACTGGTATTCACCTAAGTCAGGCTAGGCCTACCCCTAGATTCGGCCACTCTCAAATTTCTTCCCCGGAGTGCTCAGAAGGAGCTGAGAAAAATCCAGGGGTCAATACGAAGTTGTCACGGCTTTGACTGATCAATTTATTTAAAATTTAATTGAAGGCTCAGAGCTCTTGAAGCGCTCAGGAAATCCTGCAGACGCCCAGTTGGAGCTATATCATCTCAGCCTTCGCTAACGTGTTGTGGAGGATTTTGCCTAACTTTTATACTGACTCTGTAGGACCGACGAGTATTCTATCTTGGCCGATGTGATGTAATACTCGTATTAAACTTTAAACTAATTAGTTGAAGACGTTGGTAATTTATCTAATATCGAATAAAAGGCAAAACAATTCCTACAGAGTCGTCGGGGCCTAATTAATATAATTGCGGACGGAGAATTTATCGTGATAGGTTTAAAATAAATTTAATACTAATATTCGTGGCTGATGATTGTTCAACTCAGCCTGCTCCCAAGACTTGATTCTTTCACCCGCCAAAGACGGGGTTTAGAACTTAGACGACAAGTCTCGGGGTATTAAAACGGTGAATACGAGTTATAATTTAGACGTGATAATTATTTGTCAAGCAAACGGAGAAATCGTAATTTTGAAACTAATTAACTAAAATTAAATAAACTATAGCCACCGCTAGTCACTGGCAGGCAGGAACTGGCGGGTCAAGACTCAAGTTAAGTTATTAAATTTAGCCAATTCGAATCGGAACTTTAATAAAGCGAATATGAATAATAGATTAACAATGCGTGAGATGAAAATACTGTAAAACGTGAAAAGAGCCTAACTAGTATGGTAGCTAACCTCCGTAGTAAAATCGTAGCGTCGTCGTCGTAGTCGTATTTGTGTGAGAGGCTTCTAGCGAGCTACTCGGCGGTCAAACAGCGAATAAACTTGTCCGGCTCAAATCATGATTTCCTCGGTCGAGGCTCAATCGCTCTGGTGGTGAGTTTAAGAACTAGCCAACAGCTGATCGGAAATTCACCTGTTGAACCGGTCTCGTCGTCGTCTGTCGTTGGTCAACAAACACCAGCTTGAGGTTATGTCGTCGTTGTCGGTGATAAATACTTGTAAAATCGGTCGGTTTAACCTTGTTTGGTGAAACGGAGTGCTATTATTAATAAATATGCAGTTGTGGGTGTGTTTGTGTACTTCACTGTGATTAAAAGTAGGCCTACGTTCTTTGGCCCATAGCCCAAGCTATGGCCAACACATAGGCCCAAGGGCGGTCCTATACATATATTTTGAGGGGGGTCACCGGGGGGCCTGGGGGGTATGGAATACCCCCCAGCAAAGGAGGGGGGTCCGGGAAAAAGGGGGTTCCCACCCGGAAAAAATTTGGAAATAACGTGCTAAAATGAGTGGTTTTTAAGCTATTTTGAGGACCTAGTTTAATGTGTTCAAGCTTCCCAGTTTATTTAAAGGTCAAAGAAATGTCTAAAAATAAACTTGTATAATGTCATGTTTTTGCATTATTGAGACTTGTGGTTTTAATATCAAAGGAATACAGCAACATTACAACACATTCAAGCATTAGGTATTTATTTACGAAAACACCCTTTCAACTGGTGCCGATGTGCATGCTAAACAGAAAATGTCCAAAATCAGACCAAGATTTCGAAAAAGATAACTTATTTTATCTAAGAAGTGTTTAAGAACTTGCACCAAACACGACTGCATTATACCTGCCCAGTAAGCAACAGTTAACATACACAAAGTACACTACCCAACTAACGTTGCGTCGGCGTCCCGTCACTGCTACCGCCTGAAGAATTGGTTCACAGTGTTCTAATTTTTTCTACGCCAGTGCCAGTGAAATTTTACAAGGGGTCAACGTGAGAATAAAGTTTTTGTGCAACGTTTTTGTGGTTGTGCCAGGAATTAAACAACGATATAAAACACTCCGAATAAAATCCGTCCCTTCCGCATCTAAGTCTGAGACACTACCATTTTGTTGTTGTTTTGTGGCTAGCAACATGCCAATTGGGTTGTGTTATTCTTAAATATGATATCAGGTGCTCTCAAGTTTTGAAATTTGCTACGGTAATCATTGAATTACATTACTGTAATTAAAAATTCCTAACGCTGAACTCAGATAAATTAATATTCAACTACCTTTCAAACTTTGACTATTGATTGATACAACTTCTTTTCTTTATCCAATACCCAATTCAAGTTTTCAATCATCTGGGTTAAAATGAATTATAACATTAAATGCCGAAAAATTAAATAAGAAGAAGAATGCGGCCGAACGTCAGCATCGGACACTGCCGTTACCATATATGGCTGAAAGCGTCCGTTGTCTGCCGATCTTCCCTAATTTTCATAACGTACAAAAACATAATCAGACTTGAACGATCCCAAGTTTTAGGTTAGACTTTGTAATTAGTCCTTTCGTTCGCTACAAGTGTAAAGACTACAACGAATTTCAATTTGGTAAAACGATTTGCAATAAAAATTATTAATGTTTCCCTGGTATAATAGTTTATGTATATAAAAAATATTTTGGGGGAGGTCATGACCCCCCTGACCCCCCCCCCCCCTGGGACCGCCCTTGCATAGGCCTAGGAGTAGGATGTTGTGGATAAAAATCGGGTAAGTTATGGTGTTTGTTGACTAGAAATACGTTTTACCCCCCTTAAAATTTGGTACCTCACAGGGTCTATTAGGCTGATGAAGAATAAAAATGCCGCAATTCTATTTAAGGGGTTCAGATAAGAGACCTCTTGTTTTCGCTGATATTCTTTTAAGCTTTAAAATGAGGTGTCACTTGATGAAACTTTCTATTTAAAATTTTTGAGTTGCAACCAAAATAACCCATTTTTGTTTTAGGACGAAATTGGGATGATAAGAAAAAGTGCACTTTTATGCCATATAGAGGTGTGCAGAGTTTTGTTTTCCTTGTGGAACCCATTAAAAAGTTAATATGGGGTTTCAATACTTTTGGCCAACCCTGTGTGTTAATATTGCTTTGATTAACAGTTACAGAATAAGATTAGAATTTGTGTCAAGTTTGATATCAGTTAAGGTAATTTCAGCCACACCAGTGGAGTAGGGTGGTGAGGAGCCTGGACCACTGTGTAGTTAGTTGCTTGGCTGGGCTATAACATTGTACAACCACAGTCATGCAAAGCCACATTTTGAGGGCTTCTGAATGAATTCATTTGACAAATAGTCATAACTTACAGCAGAGTGGCATATGGAGAACAGTAGTGTCCGCTTTGCAAGTACTACACTAGTGTTTGTAGACGGTATATTACAGATTCTTTAATACACATACTCACACGTACTCTTTATATACATAGACATATGTGTAATGTGCTATAACATGTCATTACAATCTTGCTGTTAGCTGTTAGCTAAAAAATTGTAACAGAATAAAGTATTCAGCCAATCTTTGAATATGTAAGAAACATATACAATTATCTTTTGCGAGTATATTTAAATAAATAAATAAATATATATTTATTTATTGTCACATAAACGTTTTACAGATTACATAGCGTAAGCAACAAAAACAGGTGACATTGTCAATATAATCATAATAAGTACCTAAAATACTAAAAATAAACAATGATTCTTAGAAATAATTATTTGGGTTATTTTATAAAACATAATATTTAGGTTATTTAAAATTTAAATAATTAATTTAAAAAATTGCCATCATTCAAAAAATTTGTCAATACTGTAATATATTTTGTTTACAAGAAATGAGGCAAGGCTGCTCTTAAAAGTTGTTTTGTTTATTAAATCTTTATATTTTGGTTGCACTTTATTAAAAAAATTCTTTCCCATATACTTTGGTGTTTTTTCTATTAATTTTAATCGGTGAATCGGAAACTGAAAATTCTTTTTGAAACAGGGTGTTGGATGGTCAAAATTCTCCGCACATAAGTTTTCAAAATTTGACTGTACCATTAATAAGGATTTAAAAATTATTGAACTTGGTACAGTCATTATATTAAGTTCTTTAAAAATTGGTCTACATGAATGTTTTCGTTTAGCAAATGTCATAATTAAACTTCTTAAATTAAACTTTAACTTTTCTTTAAACTTAAACTTTATTTTATATTTGATTCAGAATTTTTTTTAGGATAAAACATTGCTTTCAACATGATTGGTGCCAGATAATATAATTAAAAGCTGTAATAGACATTGTGGTCAGAGGTGGATAGAGAAAACACGTGGTGAAGAAAGTTGTCAAATTCTTGCTAAAGATCACCAAGTGCTCTGTGGTGTGTCAGTGTGTGGTGTGCAAGTGTTGTCATCTACTCGTCACCCTCTCCGACCTCTCCGTCATTATCAGGCTCCAGGGCCGGGAGGTTGGTGAGAGTGATGGGGACTTCCCTCTCATCCTCCTCCGAAGGGGGACACTTTTGGGCGTGGATCTGTAGGATGCCATCTGACGACAAACTAGAGATGATGGCAGCCTTGTCTACCTACAATACATCCGTTTTGTAGCTTATAAGGGTGTCCATTAATTAAGGTCTTCAACAAATTCCAATAGCAGCCAATCAGGCTAGTTTAAAGGTCGATTCACACACATCAGTCCAGTCACAGTTCCGTTACAGTCCAGTTGCAGTCCAGTCACAGTTCCGTTACAGTCCAGTTGCAGTCCAGTTACAGTCCAGTCACAGTTGCATCCGCAATTTCTCAGTCAATTGTCCGTCAGTTGGTTTCAGTCAGTCTTCCGTCTCTAATATTTACAGTAATTTACAGTCAAAAAATTTAAATTTTAAACCTATATTCTATTAAATTATCATTGTCCATCTTGTTGATTGTTACAAACAGTACTCAAAATACAAACACAACCATTTAAATAACAATAACACTATTTTCTAACCTCAAACAGTTCCGTCAGGCGTCCGAACAATCAAAAAGTATCGTTGGAAAGAAATCTGAAATTGACTGACGGATGCCAGCAGAGTGACTGACGGGACTGCAACGGATGAGTGTAGATAGCGCAATAGAAAATCCATCAAAGAATATTTTTGTTAACTGTGACGTGCCTGAAGTGACTTTACTGTGACGTGCCGTAACTGATGTGTGTGAATCGACCTTAAAACTGACACCAGCGGTGTATTCTTTAGATACCCAACTTTGGTACCAAATATGTTTTAAAATTAATGATTACATTGCGATGGATACTTAATTTTTATTTTGCGGTTAAGAGCTGTGCAATATGAACTGTTCTATATTTTGCAATAGGAACGGACATTTCCTATCGCTAGTGTTTTAAACACTATGTTTTGGGAACTAAGAAAACTTAACTCCTCCTGTTTTCAAGTGACCCTAAATTTACATCATTAACCCAATTATCAATAGAAAATGTGCATTCAATTATTCTTAAAACTAAAATACCACTTATATTGTAGCCCACCGTTTCCCACCCCACAACTTTTAGTCTCATCTTGGATGTTGACAACAATTTGAGGGAAAATCAATGCCCCTGCGTGAACCAACCCAAGTGAATCAAACCCCTATTTCAATTCATTGCCAGTTTACGGATGAGTGTTTGGACATTGTGACTGGAGTTTCCTTTATACCTTTATTTACAAACAAACCACATATTAAACTACTCTTGAACTTATCAGACACCCAATATATCCTGATACTAGGAATGTATGATAGGATAAAACCCACAACACATTTAAACTTCCATTACCTTACTGTCTAGCCTGTATCTGCGTACAAAATGTCTTGAAACTGCTCCATGTTCGTCATCTTTCTCCTCATGTTTACCTTCCACCTCAACAAAATCTTCCACCACCTAGAAGATGATAGCCACACTGTCAATATAAGTCTGACACTAATCAATATAATGCATGTTGATGTTTAACCATTTTGAGACTTATTTCATTCATTTTTATCACTGTGTTTTATCACACTTTAATTAAGAAACAGGTGTTCTGTACCACAACACTATTTTTTTATGGAGCGGAGCGAGCGAAGCTCTTATACGTCGACTTTTATGCATTTCGTAATACGCAAACTCCTTCTAGACGGCTGAATCAATCGTTTTCAAATTTTGCATGGTGATAAAGACCATATCGGTGAGTGCCAACATCTATATGGCGTTAAAAAAGTCTCTCAGGAATCCGCCCCACTGGGTCTCAAAGTTTCAATGTAATCCTTATTGAAGCAGTATTTGACACATAAACAAAGACATATATGATCAGCTGTTGACTTTTGAATGCAGTAAATAAATAAATAGCTGATAGCATTATTTCACAGATATTAGAACATAAACGGTGGTATGGATCATAAATATAATCAAATGACGACACTAGCTTGAGGTCCGTGACGTAGGAAGTGGTGAAGGAAGTAGTGAAGGTGAGCAGTCTGGAGTGTGGAAACTGTTTGAGACGATTAGATTTAGGTAGGTATCTGCATTCTTAAAATTCTATGGGAAGAAAGGATAACGGGTCCGTGACGTAGGAAGTGGTGAAGGAAGTAGTAAAAGCGAGTTGTCCGGAGTGTGGGATCTGTTTATGACCAATAGATTAAGGTATTTGCAATCCAATAATGCTAAGGGAAGGGAGGAAAACGAGTCCGCGACGTAGGAATTGGTGAAGGAAGTAGTCAACGCGAGCTGTCCGGAGTGTGGGAACTGTTTATGACAATTATATTAAGGTTTTGACAATCCTAAAATGCTATGGAAGGGAAGGAAACAGGTCCGTGACGTAGGAAGTGGTGAAGGAAGTAGTAAAGGCAAGCTGTTCGGGTAATGGGATCTGTTTATGACCATTAGATTAAGGTATTTGCAATCCTAAAATGCTATGGGAAGGGAGGAAAACAGGTTTGCGACGTAGGGAGTGGTGAAGGAAGTAGTCAAGGCAAGATGTGCGGAGTGTGGAAACTGTTTATGACTATTAGATTAAGGTATCTACAATCCTAAAATGCTATGGGAAGTGATGAAAACAGGTCCACGATGTAGGAAGTAGTAAAGTATGAACATATTGTGAGAACCGTCTGTGGCAGTTAGATTAATGTATCTTCAATCCTAAAATGCTATAAGAAGGGAAGGAAACAGGCCCCACGACGTAGGCAGGGGTGCCCACAGGGGGGTTTGATGTCGCAAAATGCGACATCAGAAATTTATTTGGGGGGGATTTTATGATTTTGGGGGGGATTCAAGCCAGTGGTTGGTTAAAAGCACATAAAAGATTAATCAGATAATTTTTACGACCTCCTTAATTTATTACTGGGGTAATTATGCAATCAAAATCCCGTTTGACATTTTATCTTGATTAATTAATAATTTTATAATTGCTATAAAATATACAGGGTGTCTCAGACCACCCGGCCGGCTTGTATAGCTACAATATGAAAGCAAATGGAAACCTAATTGCAACTGGAACCCCCTATTTTGACCCCAAGGAATTCAGCTAAATTATTTTCAACCCCAAAAAAGCACCCCAAAGGGCAGATTTTGGGGGGTGGGGGTGGTTTTTGGGAAATTTTCAAATGTAAAGGGGGGTCGTGTTATACCTCTTTTTAAAGGTCCTTTAGTCCTGAGTATTTTAGTGGAAAAGGATTTAAATTATCTTCATCCCTATTTACAGGGTGTTCAAAAACGTACAAAAAATAGACCTTTGAACTACTTTTCACTGTAAAGAGGTGGAATTTCGTGGGGGGTTCAAATTTTGATAACACTTTAATTGCTAAATGAGCTTTCAATAAACTCTGGTTTTAACCCTTTTGCTATCTTTTTACTTATGTTACGCATTTTCAAACTTTTTTAAGTTTCAAAAGCTGTTATCTCAAAAATTTCAAAAGGCAACATCGGTTTCATTACAAACCACATTGTAGCCCTTAAAATTTGCTATAATTTTTGTATTTAATGTTTTTTAGTATCTTCATTGGTTAAAGAGATATAACGAAATTAGTGTATTTTAATGTTTTATTAAATGGTATTCAAAGTGTTTGCTGTTGCAAATGTAAACCTGTAGGTCTCAATTAAAACAATTCTTGTCTAAAAAAATAAAATAGTACTCAGATTGTTGATCTTGGAAGATTGATAAAGGTAAGAACACAACTGCAAATATTCTTAGTTATTTTACAATTCCATGGCTCTATTAGTGCTTTGAATGAATAATTTGTTTGAATCAGCATTAATAGCCTACATACCGATGGACTTCTACAAATGCTTAAATTGCCTTCCATTTTGTTCCATGCAAACACCAACTCTGTTTATGCACGTAGTACTTCTTCTCCACTATTATGGTACTGTATTGCTATTTTACTACCGCAGGTGCATTCACCTCTCGTAGAGATCCAGTAAGTTCCTTATAATTTGTTTTATCTTATCAAACGTGACCAGTTTCACGCACACGCTCATTGATTTCATGATGATTTTTTTTTATTTACCAGTAGCATTTATAGACAGTATTAATTCAAAGCACTATTAGAATTTTGTAAATTGTAAAATAACTAAGAATATTTGCAGTTGTGTTTTTTCCTTTATTAATCCTGCAAGTTTAACAATCTGGGTAATTTTAAAATTTTTTTTAACATAATTAGTTTTAATTGAGACCTAGACGTGTACATTTACACACACTTGCAAACACTTTGAATACCATTTAATAAAACATTAAAATACACTAATTTCGCTATATCTCTTTAACCAATAAAGATACCAAAAAACATTAAATACAAAAATTATAGCAAATTTCAAGGGCTACAATGTGGTTTGTAATGAAACCCATGTTGCCATTTGAAATTTTTGAGATAACAGCTTTTGAAACTTAAAAAAGTTTGAAAATGCGTAACATAAGTAAAAAGATAGCAAAAGGGTTAAAACCAGAGTTTTTTGAAAGCTCATTTATTAATTAAAGTGTTGTCAAAATTTGAACCTTCCACGACATTCCACCTCTTTACAGTGAAAAGTAGTACAAAGGTATATTTTTTGTACGTTTTTGAACACCCTGTAAATAGGGATGAAGATAATTTAAATCCTTTTCCACTAAAATACTCAGGACTAAAGGACCTTTAAAAAGAGGTAAAACACGACCCCCCTTTACATTTGAAAATTTCCCAAAAACCACCCCCACCCCCCAAAATCTGCCCTTTGGGGTGCTTTTTTGGGGTTGAAAATAATTTAGCTGAATTCCTTGGGGTCAAAATAGGGGGTTCCAGTTGCAATTAGGTTTCCATTTGCTTTCATATTGGAGCTATACAAGCCGGCCGGGTGGTCTGAGACACCCTGTATAGATACTTTTATGTGGATTTCCACTTTCTGACTCGTATTATGTTTGACAGTGAGAACAACTCCATGCCAACTGCTGTCAAAGGATTATGGTTGGCTCATTAAATTGTATCTGCAATTTGAGTTTGTTTTTACCTTTCATTATGAACTCATTCTCAAATATTCTCATTGCCTTGAGGACCTATTGATGGTTTTTTAGGTTTGTTTATTATAATATATACTTGATTCATAAAAAACCAGTATTATGATAATGATAATCATTTTGCTAATTTTACAACATGAACAACAACATGAAAGCTTGTGATAATATTTTGGCTCTCCCAAATAATTATGCCTGGGTCATTTATTCATTGGAAGAAACTGACATACAGTACGGTGACGATTTAATTAAGGTTTTTGATAGGCTATGTGTTTATGTTAACTTCAAGAATTGAAACGCATGATTCTGGATTAATTAAATTGTATTTGTTATTGTCTTTTCTTGAATCTAGAAAGAGCTTCAAACAAATGTTAATGGTAGTCTTAATATACAATTATTTTTTACGCCACACTACACTATTTTGACTAACTTCACATGCAAAGATTTAGTCCAGAAAACACTTGTTTGTCGCCAGCTTAATCAAAAGGGGTTTCATACAGTAGGCCTACTACTGTACTGTAATGAGTTTTGCCGGACACCAATCAGCTGATTATACTGTATTTGGGTGGCAATGAGTGGTTATAACAAAAACATAATGACTAGTGATTTTTAGTCCTTTAGTTGGTGGTAATATATAGGGATTTGAACGGATTTAGTCGTATGGCGTAAACTATCGTACGTCACTCGTCCAAAATGTGTTGGCCGGACTCGTATAAAAAAACCACTACTCGACTTCATCTCGCACGGGATTCAGGACTTATAGTAACGTAATATACTATTTTACCACACTATGATGTTTTAAACTGTTTTACGCCACACTACATTATTTTAACGAACTTCCCACGCAAGTATTTAGTCCAGAAAACAGCTGTTTGCCGCCAGCTTATTCAAATGGGGTTTCATTGCGTACTACTGTGCTGCAATGAGTTTTACCGGACACCAATCAGCTGATTGTACTGTACGGTACTGTATTTATTTATTTATTTATTTATTTCCCAACGGTTTACACCAGTTTACAAGAATGTATACAATATTAAAAGATGGCAAAATACATGCAACAGTGAGTAGTAACAGCAAGAACATAATTAATGAACAAAAATTAACAAGTAACAAGTAAATAGATACTATATAATAACAATCTTGAATAACAATAACAATAGCAATAACAAAAATAACAAAATAGACAAGGAAAGACGATAAATTAACAATAAAAATTAGAAGCAGTGAAGATAGTTTTGGATAATACCAAAATCAGTGTATTTAGTATTTAGGTGGCAATGAGTGGTTATAAACAAAAACATAACCTCTCAATGACTAGTGATTTTTAGTCCTTTAGTTGATGGAAATATATAAGGATTTGTACAGATTTAGTAGTATGGCGTAAACTATCGTACGTCACTCGTCCAAAATGTGTGTACCGGACTCGTATGGTAATCCCGTACTCAAACTTCGTCTCGCACGGGAACGACCACACTCGTCCGGTTAACACTTATTTTCAGGACTAGTAACGTAATATACTATTACATATAGGTAAATTAATTGGTGGCTGAAAGTTACGTTTTGCAGGCCATGCCAGCTGTCATCGTCATTAGGGGATCGAGCAGGTTTTTACATCCCTAGGGCCGCAAAATCAGCTGCCCGCTTACTTTCTTAAAACATTAATGCATATTAAATACACAATCAGTATCCATAGCATTGCGATAGAGTTGTTTTACTGTCACCGCTGCCTAGCAACTATTTATTATTATTTTTGCTGATTCATCATATAATTATGACCTTAAAGTTGTAGTTGTGTTGACTATATCAGTGTGCAGTGCATTATCATTGAGGTGAATTAGTGGTAATAGGGTATAGTGTGGTGAATAATAGCGTTCGTATCACGGACTGAAATGGTTTTGCAGTTCTCAATTGTTTTAAGTCCTCGACTTCATATCGAACTTAAAAACTATCTCGAACCAGCAAAACATCATTTATTAAGTTTAGGCCTAGTAATATTTTTGAGACTGAAAATGTTACACTTATTTAAAAAGGACCAAACTCAGGAAGTGGATTAAAGGGCAATTTAGAAAATATCTCAAACTTTTTGACATAACTTTAAGTACTTTCTACCCTACAATTTAATATGGTAAAAGAATTGTTTATGTAAAAACCCTGATCCCAAAAAAGTGGTTTTCGAAGTGATGTGTTTGTCTGTCTGTATGTGTATGTATGGTATGTATGTGGTATATGTGTATGTATGGCACAGAGCTACAGACCACGCCTGTGGTCCGAGTCCGATTTTGATGAAATTTGGTATTTTAGGTACCAACCCATGATCTCTCCAGATGTGTTTTTTTTATTTTGGATTTTTAATAGTGATATTCCAAAACCCTATAAAATAATGGATGAATAAAATTTTCTCAGAATTGGCCCGAACGATTTTGATTAAAAATTAACATGTTATACTCTTTGACTATGACAAAAATTGTATAAACCCTCTATGCCGTAAAAATTATGGTTCAAAAGTTCAAGCAACTTTTGTGATTTTCCCTTTTAAAACCTATTGATTCATGGAAAATCGGATTTAAAAAAAACTTCATGGCCAATTTTGATTAAATTGTGTGCATGTTAAAAATCCAACTCATTTAACTAAAAACTAAACTAACAAATAGTTTGCTACTAGAGTTTTAAAGCAAAATTTTCCATTTAAATTTGGTTAAAAGTTTGATTCAAACGCTTAAATTCCCATAAATTTAAAGAAGTGTCGGGGGCACCCCTTCCCTCCCCGCATTATAAACATAACTATGGGTTAGCCCCCAAACCTTCCGGCATGGGTTAAGCAACGAATTTGGGAGGGATTCTGCGACGTGAGCTTTGGGGGGGATGGGCACCCCTGGACGTAGGAAGTGGTGAAGGAAGTAGTAAAGGCTGGCAGTGCAGAGTGAGGGATCCGTTTGGGCAGTTAGATAAATGTATCTAATACTTGAATGCTATGAGGGGAGGAAACAGGTCTATGACGTAGGAAATGGTGAAGGAATTAGTAAGGCTTACAGTGCAGAGTGTGGGAACTGTCTTTGGCAATTACATAATGTTTCTGCAATCCTAAAATGCTATGGGAAGAGAGGGAAACAGGTCCACAACGTAGGGGGTGGTGAAGGAAGTAGTAAAGGTGGGCAGTGAGTGTGGGAATGGATTAATGTATCTGCAATGCTAAAATGCTATGGGAAGAGACTGTTGTAGACTGTAGGTTAAAATGATTATGAAGCATGAATCGTTACATATTTCGATACGTATTCAATCGTTTACATTAGAAATTTACAACTGAGTTGGCAACAGCTGAGTTTTACTCCATAGAGGCTAAAAACTAATTTTATTCCCTAAAGCTGGGTTTTCTTAGGCGCGGAAGCGGAGAGAGGAACGCGGAGAGCGGAAAAGAGATTAACATGGGGTTCCGCTCCGCTTCTAGGAAAACAGTGACATCAAATTACCTAAGACAAGTGGAGTCCGCTCTCCGCGTTCCTCTCTCCGCTCTCCATTTCCGCGCCTAGGAACACCCGGCTTAAAGAGTAAAAATGCTACTTAGACCCGCAACGCATGCATCAATGACGACTGTTTTTACTGCAGTATGACAATAGTATATTTCATTACTAGGACCGAAAGTGGCATTTTCCGTCGCACGCTCAAGTTTTTGTGTGAGGCAAAGCCTCACACAGGGAACATCAATTTCACGTGCGAGGCGAAGCCGAGTATGTGAAATCTATTTTCACGTACGAGGCGAAGCCGAGGACGGGAATAATGGAGTAATTGCCGGATAATAACTTTCGGTACGAGTTATGAACGATACTTTTCATCACGACGCAAAAAATACACAAACACAGAATAGCAGACCTCAGTAATATTACAACTATTTTATTAAAATAAAATAAAATTTTCTAAAAGGAAACCTACGTATATTTCTCAATACATTTTGTTTAGATGTCAAAATAAAAGAATAAAACAACTTTGAACAATACATTCAGCTGATTCAAATCATTAAATTAAACCATAACAAAACACTAGCGCGCGCAGTGAATAAATGGAGAACTAATTGAGAACGAGGGAAAGTAAATTTAGAGCGAGGGAAAATCAGCTGATCGATTTTCCCACGCCCTAAATTAGAGCTTGGGAAACGACTATACTTTCATTGATGTCAGCTGTAATCGAAAATAGTTACTTTCGTTATGGAGTAATGAAAAAACAATATAATATGAACCCTTGATGACTCCGCTCAATTTTGTGGATGCATCTGCGAACGCTACCTAGTTAATTTTGGTTCATACACACCAGCAAAAAAATTATTTGCTAAACCATATTGTAATCACTCAGTCTTTAAAACTATTAAATACTATATTTCTTACCGAAAGTCAAAAATACAGTGTTTTTTCTCTATCCTATAAAAATAACTCTTTGTTACAAATACAAAATCCCAAAACAAAAACATCTTAGCTCATCAAGATTGACCAATAGGCCAACCCTTATCGTAACTAAACACCAATAGTGCAATTTAATAAAGAAAATTAAAACACTTAAAGTTTAAAAATGTTCTTACAGTACGGTAACTATATGATGATGTTATAGATATTTGAGCATGTGTTATATGAATACAATAAATTAAAAACATAATTTTGGGGATTGTAATTGAATAAAAATTGTTTATAATTGAACTTCAGTAACTATGTTAGGAGAATTCTAAACTTTATTGTCTATTACACAGAACAAAAATACATAAATCTAAGCTATGACTCACTTTCACACTAAGCTCATCTGGCGAAAAGTGTCTCACATCAAGATTAATTTTCAGTGCTTCTTTGTCATTGACAATGTTTGCCATTGCCTTGTTCTGTTTGGTCCGTTGTTGCATCAGACGTACCGGGAGACCCAAACCAAAGCTGGGCTCCAACACTGGACTGGACAAGTCATCCATCACTCTGTTTATAAAGTTGCGCATGATAGACATCTGCACAAGATATTACCATTCATTCATAACATTGTATTATTAACATAGCCAAAACTAACATGTTATGACATTCAGAATTAATAATTAAAGATTACTGATACAAAGTTATCAGATTTGAACCCCATGTATAATGATGTTCATATTCAACACATACAGGGTGAATTTTAAATGAGTTCCCCCCCTACTTTTTTCTGCATTTCTTAAGATATCATCTCCGGACCACGTCAGATCATTGTTGAGTAGTAAGTACTTCATTTTGACTGGGTATACATTTTTGGCCGCCATCTTGGATCCGCCATATTGGTTACAAAGTTTTTTTTTCAAATGTAAAGGTAGGGTTGTGACCCATTTTTTCAAACCAAAATTTTAAGCTGATTACAATGCCGCAATTATTTTTTAAAAATCTTGATTCGTTCTAAAGTTATGAGGACTTTTTATAACTTTATTTTTAGCGCATTTTAACATTGTGCATTTACAAACTAAGACCATAATCTCAAAATAGTGCTAGATAAAGATAGGTATACACCACCATTCATTGCCGACATATTTTCACTTGGTTATGACGGATGTAGTTTTTTCAGCCGCCATCTTGGATCCGCCATTTTGAAATGTGATCAATTAATTGAAATATGAAGGTGGTGTTGTGACCCATCATTTTGAACTACTTTTTTATACTGGACTCAATGCTGCAATCCGTTTTTGGTTATCAAGCTGTCTTGATGAAATATTAAAATAGTCTTATTTAAAATTTCAATATTTCAAAAACCAAAGATGCAAATGAAAAACGGATTGCGGCATTGAGTTCAGCATAAAAAGGTAGCTCAAAATGATGGGTCACAACACCACCTTCATATTTAAATTAATTGATCACATTTCAAAATGGCGGATCCAAGATGGCGGCTGAAAAAACTACATCCGTCATAACCAAATGAAAATATGTCGGCAATGAATGGTGGTGTATACTTATCTTTATCTAGCACTATTTTGAGATTATGGTCTTAGTTTGTAAATGCACAATGTTAAAATGCGCTAAAAATAAAGTTATAAAAAGTCCTCATAACTTTAGAACGGATCAAGATTTTTAAAAAATAATTGCGGCATTGTAATCAGCGTAAAATTCTGGTTTGAAATAATGGGTCACAACCCTACCTTTACATTTGAAAAAAAATTTTTGTAACCAATATGGCGGATCCAAGATGGCGGCCAAAAATGTATACCCAGTCAAAATGAAGTACTTACTACTCAACAATGATCTGACGTGATCCGGAGATGATATCTTAAGAAATGCAGAAAAAAGTAGGGGGGGAACTCAATTATCAATTATCAATTATCAATTAGTTAAGATGGGGACGCCACTATGTGCGTATTTTAACCCAAATATGAGTGAAGGATGAGTGTAGGATGAGTGGCGCGATCTTGTAGTCTTGTTAGTGACTAAGGCCGACATGTTCCTTAGACACAGCTGTTAATTAATAGCCCATACAGCTAATGGCAACTAAGGGACCTACAGTTTATAGTGGAATCCGAACCACATTTTTCCTTGTAATTTACGAATTGGTCTAATTATCAGGATAGTACTGCGGATAGTCGTAGTACTCACTAGTGCGGACGTTAATCCACACCAGGGAGCATCACATCCACAGTGCATCCCTATAAATATCCAAATTCACCCTGTATAAGTTTCTGGACAGAACTATTCTCCATGATCACCATGCAGTAGGCCTACAGGCTTTTGGGAGATGTTCCCGCTATCAACATTACTGGAAACATCATGCTTATTGTCCTGCATGCATGTCATCCGTCAACTAAACTCATGACCCACGTCACGACCCTTGTGAAGGAGCTTTGTGGCATTTTATTAGTTCTGCAGCTTCATGCTCTTTATAGAATGGCATTTTTGTCTTCATGATTTGTTTTTTTTTTACTTTGGTCTTGTTAAAATTGTTATAGTAGTACAAAAGATTTTAGTTACTGATATGGTTAATTGGCGTTGTTCACAATCAAACTAATCACTAATCAGTAATACATGTTGATGTTTAACAATATTATGGTGTTGATGTTTTAAGTTTAATGCTGTTCTGCATTATAGCAGGATACCACTGGACTGTTAGTATTAGTTGTGGTTCACTGTGTTGTACTTTACCAGGAAAAACTTATTTGCTGACCATTTGTAATCACTCGGTCTAAAACTATTAAATAGTATATTTTGTCGGACGGGATTTAATCAATTTACTCATCTGATAGTTGTGCTATTCATACAAAATCTTTATTATCTTGTGTTTTTATGTTTAGGCCCCATGGGGTGTTTGGGAGTGATATTAAATACATTTTTTATTCAAAAATTATTCACTAAAATATATTATTGGTTCATATTTTTTCAAAAGCATATTTTTTATATATTTAATATATTTGAAATATTATATAAAATTGACATTAATACACACTTGAGATATATAAAATAGATTTTAAATATATTTATTCATATGTATTTAATATATATTGTGCTACTAGGGTTATACTGCTCACGCTCAGTGAACATGAAATGGACTATTTGACTGGCTACCAAAAGTCTTCTATTACACCTGAGTAAATTAATTTTTTGACAGTGAGCACTGTTATTTCAGTCAAGCATGAATCTTATGATGATTTTTTTAAATAAATCTTTCTGTAGATGAAGATTGAAAGTTCACCAATACATTTAATTGAATGTTATCCACTTTGTGTGAGAGAATAAGTGCAAAATATAAAACATTTCATTTTTGGTGTACCTATAACACTATAAGTTTCTGAATTCTAATATAACCAAAATGTAATGATCCCTTATATCATAATGAATATTTTAGAACTAATTCTGGAACATATAATTTATTTTAATGGCTTGAAAGAGCTTTTAAAAATACTCTTAAGTTTTATAAATTTTATGCCCTTGGATAACCATACCTTGGACACAGGATGAATGATCAACACATTAGGTTTGAAACTGAAATGCAACTGAGTGATAACAATACAGGATCAAAGAGGAACTGAGGTTTTGAAATAAATTGCATGATAAAGTGGCCTTTAACGCTCGCAAACCCACATTGTTGCACTGACAACAAAGCCTTGTGCTAGAAACTTCAACAGTCTTGATAAATTGCTTCTGCACAGAACTAATCAATACAGTAAGTGTTCAACACTAAAATTGTTAGTCACATTATTTTTGCAACACTAATACAGGTAGCACTTTGCCGCAACAAATACTCATCTCTGTAGAAATAGTACATGACTGTGAAGGGAAATGTATTGGAATTAAAGGTAATTATAAAGTCCCCATCTTAAATAATTGATTGATTGATTGATATAATTCAAAGTTACAGTTGATTTGCATCAGAATTTTTGTAATAACTAAATAACTAAATTAACTAAATGTTGATAAAATAATACAGGGTGAATAAAAAGTCAAGAACCCCCCCATCTAATATTTTTGTAAGTAAATATACAGAGATATCCTTTTGATGGTCGTGCAATCCTAGCACGAAGTTTCGTTTTATGATTTTGAAAATTTTGAGTGTACCACGAAAATGGGGATTTTTGGGGCAACTCAAAATTTTCAAACGTAAACCCCATCTAAGTGACACTCATTTTGATGAGTTTATAAAAACTTAAAGAATGGTGAGAACCAAAGTTCGCTAACTCTTCTCTATCCAAAATGGCAGCACATCCAAAGTAAAATTTTGTCTACTCTTTTATTGATTTTCTTGTGTAATAGAGTAATTTTCCCTCCCCCTCTAATTTGTTCTTAATTAAATATTACTGAGTTATCCTTTAGATGGTCATGCAGCTTTGGCAGGAAGTTTCATTTGATGATTTTCAAAATTTTGAGTGCCCCCAAAATGGGGTACATTGGGGGCAAATTAAAATTTTGAAATGTAAACCCCCTTCAAGTGACACCTCATTTTGAAGTGTTTACAAAAGCTTAAATAATTGTGAAAACCAGAATTCACTATCTCTTCTCTATCCAAAATGGTAGCCAATATTACCTATATTCTAATATTACAACCCCCAAACAACACACATACATAAAAGTTATGTGAGTTATGTTATGTGGTTCATAAGCTGTGTCTGCCTGTAATATATATACTGTACTAGCTGTAACCCGCGGGCTTTGCCCCGTTTAACTTCTTAATTTTCAAGATGATCTCGTTCGCATGGCTCAATCACGTCCTGGTTGAAGTTCGTTCGCTACGCTCACTCACCTTTTGGTTGCAAATTAGCTGTTGTCATAAATGTAAAAGAAATAATAGTGCTGCACCCTGTTGGTAATCCTTGTAACTTTAATGCTATTGAACATCATAGAACAGAACCAACTTGTTTAATTGAAACAGCTGTTAAGATTCATTAATTCCATTTCTCATAAGGTTAACATGGGAAACTCCAGAGCCACTGGGGCGGAGCCGATTGGACGGATCACGAAATTGATGGTGTATAAACCTATTCCATGAAATTCTACACGTATGTACCAAGTTTCGTGGCAATCGGTTCAGCGGTGTCTGAGTTTATCACTGCCAAACAAATATATATATATATACAAACATCCTCTTTTATACTTATAGATCTTGAAATCCAACAGAAGGATTTTGACTAAATTTTGGAATTAATGACTTAGAGCCCTAAACACAATATTGGTTACAACCACTAACTCAGGTAAATTCGTATTTCACTACACAACTTGTTACATTTACAAATTTTACATTGGCCTTATGGGTGACCATGTTGGTTGAACAAAATAACAAGTAAAAATTAAACAAAAGACTTGACACATGTGTTTATATCAAGCCATCCACAGTACTGTATATAGGTCGGCCGCTTGGAAAGCGACCTCTTCGTGGCATTGGTGCGAGAGAGAAATACCGAGCTATGGGAGTGAGACAGTCTATGGCTCTACCCCCACTCGGCTGCCGCCCGCACCCCTCCTATTGGCCGTTTTCACACTGCACGACACGACAATGGCACGTCACCGACACGGCACTGCCCTGGTGTTGTGGGAGTTGGAATCCTGTGTTACCAAATGGAACTGCTTACACACACACCGACACGGCAGTTCCGTGCCGGTGCTGTGTCGTGCAGTGTGAAAACGGCCATTGGCAGAGATGGGGAACATACCCTCCCTCGCCGTTACCTCCCCTACATGCGCTAAGAATCCTCGCGCAGGTCGCTATCTATCCGGCCGACCTATAACAAATTATGAAATACAGTACAAAGTGATAATCATTAGTAGTTGATGTAACTATTGGCAAAGATTACACGATATAGGGGAAAATAGAGCAAGTCAGTGTTGATAAGTGATGAGTGTTTCGTGTTGGTACCGTTGTTTCACTTTTATTTAAGGATAGATTTTTAAAAATTTTTATGCACTTTTTTATATTTTAAATAATTTGGACAGCCGTTAATAAGTTTAAATTCCATTGGAACTTAAATAATAAATGCCAAAATTAGTTGTAAAAACGGTATTTCCTTTATATTGCTTTTAAAATCAAAATAAACTATATCAAGCCATGGCTCGGTCCCCCAGTACTTATTAATTATTTCTTCCATTACATTGATGTTTCTAATTTTTTTATGTGTAGACTTCAATACATTTGACTGACACGGGCTACCATTTGGGATAGAGAAGAGATAGTGAACTCTGGTTTTCACCATTCTTTAAGTTTATGTAAACACTTCAAAATGAGGTGTTACTTGAAGGGAGTTTACATTTTAAAATGTTTAGTTGCCCCCAAATTCCCTTATTTTGGGATGACACTAAAAATTTTCAAAATCATAATAGGGAACTTTCTGCTATGATTGTATGACCACCGTAAGGATATCTCTGTATATTTACTTATAAAATATTAGATGGGGGTGTCTTGACTTGTTATTCACACTGTATAAACTTAACTTAAACTGAGTTTATGTTCTGTGCATAGTTATTAGGGCGTGATGTTGTGTGAAAACAATTTGTCAAAAAGATTGTAATGTGATTATTGTTCAGTAAACTTGAACCATTTCATATAATATAACACTATGTTTTCTTCAATGTACAATATCTTTTCCTTGCAACATGTGTTCTTAATCAAATTAAATTATTATATTGTTAACATATGTTGTATTCAAAAATGTAAATAAATCTGAGTTCTTGTTCTTTTGTAACCATTAAAAGTGTGTTCATTTTCTCTCTCTCATATTCATTAACACGTTCGCTACCAAAATTATATGGAATTTACGTTCGCATAGACCAGTGACGCAATTGTGCGTCGACTCGTTTCTCACAATAGACCACCGACGCATATTTGCGTCAGCTGGTCACATTGAAATAGACTAACGACGCACATTTGCGTCGGTGTTCTAATGTTATTAAACAGCGTATTTCTTAGCAACGGTCTATTTTAAAGTCCGGATTTTATCGTATCGGTCTAGAGGGATATCTGCCGCAAATGTGCGTTGCTTGGTCTGTGGATATGACGATTGGTTACGTCACACAACAGTTGGCAACATTGTTTTTTACATTGTGTATTCCGCGACATCACAGAACAGATGTAAACGTTATAACCTTTGGCTAGTGTTTAGTGGAGTTTCTTTATTTGTTTGTGTAAAAGCTTGAAACAACCAAATTTACGACGACGCTTACGTGCGTCGCCTGGTCTATTGAAACGAAAATGTAATCTTTTTAACTGGATTTCATTAAATAGACTGACCGACGCATATATGCGGCGTTTTAAAATTTGCTCATAACGAAAAATAAAAACAATATTTATTGCTTACTAATTCACTTAAGGTTATTATGAAGTCAATTAGTCCATTTAAACGATATTTCTCTTTTGGTCTGTCGGCAATGTTATTCCTATATCACTTGGTCCGTAAGGAACGTCATGATCATTCCTTTTAGTCTGTAGGAGTGACCGGAGCGACGCAAATGTGCGTCGCTCGGTAGCGAACGTGTTAATCTCAATATCTCCATATCTCTACATATTATCCCTCTGGTCCTTCGAACTAATTATCATTAAACCCCTTTCTCATTTCTATTCCCATTTTTCAATCATTCCCTATAATTTTAATAACCATTCCCTACAAATCATTCAATTATTAGTGTTATTTCTAACAGATGGAATTGGGTTATGAAGTTCTCCTACAATCTCAAATTTCATATTTAAATTAGCTTAGCTGATTTCCTTGAAACAGGTAGTTTTTGTCATGAGGATTAATGATCAAAGCAATTATTATATAATTTTTGAATAAATTTATTTTTTATGATACTAAAGCTTAAATTATGTTTCAATCACTTATAACATGAATGGAAACTCAGGATGCCCATCAGCCAAACTGGAACAAAATAAAACATAAAATTTAAAGAGCTATAATATAATATTTTGAATATATTTCACAAAAGGTGATACATTTCAATTGATTTTAATATACTCGGTCACAATATTTAAAGAAATAAATTGAGTTTCCCTTTACCCAGGAAATGTTCATAGTTTTTCTTTTATCTATTCCAGCCTATAATTGAAATGTAATTACAAAATTGTTGAAGAATTGTTGAATTCCTGTGACACATTCACTCTAAAACAGTTTTTTTTTTAATTTGTTCAAGCATTAACTTACCCTTTAAAAAAAGAAAAGTCTACGATCCTTCCAGCTTCGCCTTTGTCAAGCTTCTTCAGAGCTGACATATCTTCTTGCTCCAATTTGAAATCAAATATCTGTTGACATTTCCACCAAAATTTTAATACTAGCTAATATGCTACCAATTTTTTGAAAGGGTGTTTTTTTTTAGCTCAACCTAAATTATTAAAAATTGCTAATTACTAAAAGTATTGTGAGACACATTCAATGACAAAACAAGCTTGTAATATGTTGGTATCCCTGTTTTCTTTACTTCATTGTCAAGCAGCTGATATGCATTGTTGCATAGTTATCTGGCTTAGGCAAAAGTCTGGAACCCCCCAGTTAACTTTGTAACGCGTTGCAGTAGGAAAACCAAACTCGGCACATATTTACATCATAAGAAATTGCACTTTATCATCAAAGTTACAACTTTGCCCCAGTCCCCAAAAGGGGTCATTTTGGGGCAGCCCCAAATTTTCAAATGTAAACACCTATCATGTGAACCCTCATTTTAAAGGGTTTATCAAGAGAAATTGAATGGCGCAAACCAGAGGTCAATATCGGGACACTAATCAAAATGGCAGCAATTTTAATTATTTAAGGGAAGCAGTGCGTGAAAATGCTCAAAAAATTAACTTTTATTAAATTATGACAAAATATTGTGTATTTTGTGCTGTTTAAGAAAATATATAACACTTTATACTTGGATATTTTCTTACATAAGAAGGAATCTTTAATCCTCCTTTAAGATAAATTAAGGAAACTACCCATTTTCCCGGGTTTTCCTGATTTACTAAGCTTGTCATAGTATTATCTTCAATCAAACTGCATATTTGCATTTAGGATAAAAAACTGAACAATTTGAGTACCCATAGTCTAATATTGTAAATAAAAATAATTTTCCCGGATTTTTGAAAGAGGGCCCTTCTGGATTTTACCGAGCCTGCCCTTCAAGGGTTCAAATGTGAATTTCCGAAAGTTAGTTTTAATAAGTTTAGGTACCATTCTAAAGAAAACTACTTAACTAATCAAGCCCAAATTTTACACAATACTTCCTGTTACCTTGGTGAATAATTTTATGCATTTTTAGAATGTTACCATTAATTTTACTTTAAAAATAAATTGTTTATTATAAAAAAAAAACTATTAAAAATTAGTAATTTTTATTAAATTTTATATTTTAAAAACTATACCTAATTTCTTGTTTATATAGCATGAAATCATAGAAAACAATCTAAGGAATGAATATAAAAAAATTTAAGTCAATATCTCTAACGGTTTTAAAAATAAATGTACCTATCTTATCACATGTTTTCCCATAAGAATAACATGGGAGTGGTATTCGCACACTGCTCCCCTTAAGATGAGCAAGCAAGATAAAGTCTGGACACCCCCAGTTAACTTTAAAAATTTAATATTTTAATACTGACCAAAAGGTCAATTTTCTTTTTTTATAAAGGTATGCTGAGTTTAGTTTTTCTGCTATAACCTGTTAAATTTTAATAGGTGATATTTCAAAATGACAGCCATTTTGATTAGGGGTGCGATATTGACCTCTAGTTTGGGCCATTTAATTTGTCTTAAGAAACCCTTTAAAATGAGGGGTCACATGATAGGTGTTTACATTTGAAAATTTGGGGCTGCTCCCAAAATACCCCATTTTGGGGGCTGGGGAAAAGTTGTATCTTTGATGAAAAAATGCATTTTTTATGTTGTAAACATGTGCCGAGTTTGGTTTTTCCACTGCCACACGTTAAAAAGTTAACTAGGGGTGTCCAGACTTTATCTTGCTTACTCATCTTAAATTAAAATGGCTGTCATTTTGTGACGCTTGCGTCACAGCTGAGCCGCTATCAACCGTTGCAATCCGCTTTAGTCGTGTACACTGGAGGGAGTAGGGAAGGGGTAGAATAAGAAAAATATAAAAGTAATATAAGTAATGTACAGAGTTTTCGAAAAAGGATTTATTAGACGTGTGATAGGAATTTTTTAACACAAACAGTTACCAAAACCCCGGAAGTCCCCCAGGTCAAATGACACATTTTTTACATGGTTCAAATACAAGCATTGGGTGATTCAATGATCAAAAGATTAAATTATTACACTACAAACACATCACAATGTCCCTTAGTCATAAACAGATCATTTGGGATATCAGGAGCTAACATTCACGAAGTAAAACAATTTTTAAAGATACAGAAAATCAAATTTGAAACACATTCCTTTGTTAATTTTCTTAGGTACCAATGATATTTTTAGGGAAAATGATAGCAACAAAATGTGTATCCAATTCAAATCCTTGTTAAAATTCATTAGGAGAAATTCCCCAGGTATTACAATGATAATAGTACAACTTCCGACGTACCCCAGAGCAAAATTCACACCTTCCAAAATAAATCAGATTTAACAGTTTAACGTGTTTTCAAGCACATTGAATAATGAAAGTACTAGATTTTTTTCAATGCAGAATATGTTACACGATGAGAAAGACTTTCATAAATTTTATAGCCACAATGGTAGGATAGACGGCATTCATTTGAATGATAGAGGAAACCAAAAATTTGTGTTTAATTTAGTCAATTTCCTGACGTAAACAAATAGCATAAAAGGAGTAGCGAAAATGTATCAAATCAAATGATTGTTTATTTGTTGTGATAATAGAATGAATGTTATTTAGGTTTTTATTGTGGTAATTAATTAATAGAGGTATTGAATTAATGGTTATTTATTTATGTGAATTATTGGAAAAAAGTAAATTATAAGATAGGAGAGTGATAAATAATGAACAGTCTCATTTTGTGAATAAATTTATAAGCGACAAAAGTAAATATGTTTGAGCCGTCTAAGGTACAATATCCGTGGGACAGCCGTCCATCACCAGGTGTATCTTGGATCGAAAAACTAAATGCGCAGCAGGCGATAAGCCAATGTAGGGAATGGGACATTGTGCCAGCAGATACATTGGAATTAAATAGAGGAATTTTAAAAAAGTCATATCAGAGTCACACAATCTCTTGACGTAAATGAGTCAAACTCAGACTCAACGTCCGCGACAAACAAAGAAACACCAATAGATCTAATCGGCGTTGGTAAAAAAGCAGGAACAGAGCCAAATCAAACGGCGACAGCTTCTCCCCGCGACCAGGAATCAGAGCATAATGAATCGCACCCCGGACAGTCAACCAACGAAAGCATTAATAGGCCGACAGGCACACCTCAAGCGATCGACTGGATGGCAATTGTTCAGTCAACGGCAGCGGTGGTGGGACAAAACATCGCAGCCGCGTTAGCTATAAGTAGTCGCGAAGTCAACCGTGAACCGACAGCGTCGACTAGCGCACCCCGCGTACTATATGACATGGTAGCGGCGTTAGACAGATGTACAGGTGCAGATGGTCAAACGTTATTAAAATTTCCGATAGGAGTCAAACAGATTTTTGAATTGTCACTAACCGAAGAGAAACAAACCTTAGTACCTAGCTATTTTGCCAAAAACAGACGGTCAGTTAAGGTCACTGTGGGTGTCAGCCATATCCAATAATGTAGCATACTCCAGTTTGTACAACCAAATCGTAGAAACGTTTTTCCCAAACAGGGCAAAGCAGCAATTAATCGTGAATTCAGTATACCGCACTCAGGGGCAAAATGAACCACTAAGTGAATTCATAACAAGCGTACAAAACTCTGCCAGAATTTTACTGGATTCTAGTGTGAATTTACTGGATGTAATTCTAACAGGGATGAATCCATCAAGTCGAGCCAGTTTGGCGGGATTTCCGGCCCCAAGATCGGTAGAGGAATTACTACACTTAGTACCACGAATGGAAGTAATTAGAGGGTCAGCGTGTGAGACAGATAGGTCAAACAATGAAAATCGACGACCAGATCATTTTGTTCCAAATAGGCCGCGTTGGCATGTTAGGAGTGGGGACTCAAATCAGACGTGGAGGTGCCAACAGAATGGAAATGTCAGAGCGAACCAGGTTCCATTTGGACAAGCGCGTTTCCCGTATAGGCCCAATTCATTACAATACGGCGCGAATCGACCAAATGGCGATCAGATGTTTAGGTCGCACCGGATGCATCAACCGCAACGTCCATTTTGGCAACAACCGACACAGCTTCAAAACACATCAAAATAGATCGAGTGAGCAGTATCAAACTCACAGGCACACACAACCGGGCAATGTTCAAAAGTCAAACTTCAACCGGGGGCGGCAATAGGCGCGATCCGCCCTCGGAAATGTCAAAGCGCTGATTCAAACGCGGAGCAAAGTATTATAAATAATAACAAATCCAAAAATGCTCCAAGAATTCCCAAATTACATTTGTGTTCAATTCCGGTTAAATTGGGTAACTTCACTATTAAAGCATTAGTGGACACAGGTAGTTCTTACACAATAGTTTCACAGGAGTTTTTTCAAAAAATTAGGAATCTCAAATCAGTGTTAAAATCCATAGAGCAAACCAACAACTTGGCAGTAGCGGTAACAGGAGATAAAATTATATTTTTAAATAAAGCAAATTTGCACTTTAAAATATCTCTATTATCTTGGAACCATCACTTTATGGTCGCACCCAAACTACCAGTGGAAGTAATATTAGGTTCAGATTTCTTACACAAATCAAAGGGGGTAATAAATATGAAAGAATTTAAACTAAAGTAACCTTCCCTTATGGTTCAGGTCATTCAATGGCAATTACTCCGAACGACGACATTAATCACACAGAATCGCCATTTAAAGTAGGTGAACAACTTAATCAAGAACAGATGCACATTATCAAGACACAGTCAATGTAGCATTAAGGAAGACATTAACACAACTCAAACATCCGAAAAGCACCAAAGCCCTCAGAAGTACAGTGGTGACCGTCGCTCTGGCCCGCCGCTGGAATGCCCATGAGCACCACGGAGCCACGCCACGAGGCACCGCACTGGATAACGCGAATCCAAAGGCACCACCACTGTCACCGAGTACCCAATGTCCGGCGCGACCACTAAGGGTGGCACCACCCGAAACCCTGCCTTCCCACCTTACCAAAAAAATTTTTGTTTCAAGCCGGGGAGGTTGTGACACTCGCGTCACAGCTGAGC